TTTTGAAAACTTGTGAAAAACCATGTCTACCAAGCCTGCTGCTCACAAATAAATATTAGAAATATATATAGCATATCTAATAGTCTACTATCTGATCTACACTGAAAATAAACTTTACTCTCGATAGTACTGAATAATTAGAATAAAGAGCTCGAAGACATGCAAATAAGCCTTTTTGAAAATTCATGAATTTTGGCCAAACAACCCCTTGCCATTTTTGTCAAAAAGTGTAATTTTTCAACATTTCATGAAATGATCCGCAATAACACATTTTGAATAGACAGGGGTCGAAGACATGAAAAGATATGAAAATAAGCCTTTTTGAAAATTCATGAATTTTGGCCAAAAATGAGGGGCTAACCCCTTGCCATTTTTTAACATTTCTTGAAATGATCTGCAATAACATATTTTAAACAGAGCTCGAAGATATGAAAATAAGCCTTTTTGAAAATTCATGACTTTTGGCCAAAAAGGCGGGCTAACCCCTTGCCATTTTTGTCAAAAAGTGACATTTTTTCACATTTCATAAAATAATCTGCAATAGCATATTTTCAACAGACTGGAGTCATAAACACCTTCTCAAGATGAAAAGATATGAAAATAAGCCTTTTTGAAAATTCATGAATTTTGGCCAAAAATGAGGGGCTAACCCCTTGCCATTTTTGTCAAAAAGTGACATTTTTTCACATTTCATAAAATGATCTGCACTTAGCATATTTTCAATAGACAGGGGTCATAGACACCTTCTTGAGATGAAAGGATATGAAAATAAGCCTTTTTGAAAATTCATGAATTTTGGCCAAAAAGGTGGGCTAACCCCTTGCCATTTTTGTCAAAAAGTGACATTTTTTCACATTTCATGAAATGATCTGCAATAAGCATATTTTTAATAGACTGGGGTCAAAGAGTTTAAATGATATGAAAAAAGGCCTTTTTAAAAATTCATGAATTTGGGCCAAAATGAGGGGCTAACCCCTTGCCATTTTTGTCAAAAAGTGACATTTTTTCATATTTCATAAAATAATCTGCAATAGCATATTTTCAACAGACTGGAGTCATAAACACCTTCTCAAGATGAAAAGATATGAAAATAAACCTTTTTGAAAATTCATGAATTTTGGCCAAAAATGAGGGGCTAACCCCTTGCCATTTTTGTCAAAAAGTGACATTTTTTCACATTTCATGAAATGATCTGCAATAGCATATTTTCAATAGTCTGGGCTCAATAGTTGAAAAGATGTAAAAATAAGCCTTTTTGAAAATTCATGACTTTTGGCCAAAAAGGTGGGCTAACCCCTTGCCATTTTTGTCAAAAAGTGACATTTTTTTACATTTCATAAAATAATCTGCAATAGCATATTTTCAACAGACTGGAGTCATAAACACCAAAAATCAAAATCAAAAATAGAAAAACAGCCTTATCCTGAATTAAACTCAAGTTTATTCCTTGAGTAACTGATTATCCAAAGAATGGTCCTCTTGGTCAAATTCTTTTGGTCTCTAATTGTCATACAAACTCAATTTTTTTTGAAAACTTGTGAAAAACCATGTCTACCAAGCCTGCTGCTCACAAATAAATATTAGAAATATATATAGCATATCTAATAGTCTACTATCTGATCTACACTGAAAATAAACTTTACTCTCGATAGTACTGAATAATTAGAATAAAGAGCTCGAAGACATGCAAATAAGCCTTTTTGAAAATTCATGAATTTTGGCCAAACAACCCCTTGCCATTTTTGTCAAAAAGTGTAATTTTTCAACATTTCATGAAATGATCCGCAATAACACATTTTGAATAGACAGGGGTCGAAGACATGAAAAGATATGAAAATAAGCCTTTTTGAAAATTCATGAATTTTGGCCAAAAATGAGGGGCTAACCCCTTGCCATTTTTGTCAAAAAGTGACATTTTTTCACATTTCATAAAATGATCTGCACTTAGCATATTTTCAATAGACAGGGGTCATAGACACCTTCTTGAGATGAAAGGATATGAAAATAAGCCTTTTTGAAAATTCATGAATTTTGGCCAAAAAGGTGGGCTAACCCCTTGCCATTTTTGTCAAAAAGTGACATTTTTTCACATTTCATGAAATGATCTGCAATAAGCATATTTTTAATAGACTGGGGTCAAAGAGTTTAAATGATATGAAAAAAGGCCTTTTTAAAAATTCATGAATTTGGGCCAAAATGAGGGGCTAACCCCTTGCCATTTTTGTCAAAAAGTGACATTTTTTCATATTTCATAAAATAATCTGCAATAGCATATTTTCAACAGACTGGAGTCATAAACACCTTCTCAAGATGAAAAGATATGAAAATAAACCTTTTTGAAAATTCATGACTTTTGGCCAAAAAGGCGGGCTAACCCCTTGCCATTTTTGTCAAAAAGTGACATTTTTTCACATTTCATAAAATAATCTGCAATAGCATATTTTCAACAGACTGGAGTCATAAACACCTTCTCAAGATGAAAAGATATGAAAATAAGCCTTTTTGAAAATTCATGAATTTTGGCCAAAAATGAGGGGCTAACCCCTTGCCATTTTTGTCAAAAAGTGACATTTTTTCACATTTCATAAAATGATCTGCACTTAGCATATTTTCAATAGACAGGGGTCATAGACACCTTCTTGAGATGAAAGGATATGAAAATAAGCCTTTTTGAAAATTCATGAATTTTGGCCAAAAAGGTGGGCTAACCCCTTGCCATTTTTGTCAAAAAGTGACATTTTTTCACATTTCATGAAATGATCTGCAATAAGCATATTTTTAATAGACTGGGGTCAAAGAGTTTAAATGATATGAAAAAAGGCCTTTTTAAAAATTCATGAATTTGGGCCAAAATGAGGGGCTAACCCCTTGCCATTTTTGTCAAAAAGTGACATTTTTTCATATTTCATAAAATAATCTGCAATAGCATATTTTCAACAGACTGGAGTCATAAACACCTTCTCAAGATGAAAAGATATGAAAATAAACCTTTTTGAAAATTCATGAATTTTGGCCAAAAATGAGGGGCTAACCCCTTGCCATTTTTGTCAAAAAGTGACATTTTTTCACATTTCATGAAATGATCTGCAATAGCATATTTTCAATAGTCTGGGCTCAATAGTTGAAAAGATGTAAAAATAAGCCTTTTTGAAAATTCATGACTTTTGGCCAAAAAGGTGGGCTAACCCCTTGCCATTTTTGTCAAAAAGTGACATTTTTTTACATTTCATAAAATAATCTGCAATAGCATATTTTCAACAGACTGGAGTCATAAACACCAAAAATCAAAATCAAAAATAGAAAAACAGCCTTATCCTGAATTAAACTCAAGTTTATTCCTTGAGTAACTGATTATCCAAAGAATGGTCCTCTTGGTCAAATTCTTTTGGTCTCTAATTGTCATACAAACTCAATTTTTTTTGAAAACTTGTGAAAAACCATGTCTACCAAGCCTGCTGCTCACAAATAAATATTAGAAATATATATAGCATATCTAATAGTCTACTATCTGATCTACACTGAAAATAAACTTTACTCTCGATAGTACTGAATAATTAGAATAAAGAGCTCGAAGACATGCAAATAAGCCTTTTTGAAAATTCATGAATTTTGGCCAAACAACCCCTTGCCATTTTTGTCAAAAAGTGTAATTTTTCAACATTTCATGAAATGATCCGCAATAACACATTTTGAATAGACAGGGGTCGAAGACATGAAAAGATATGAAAATAAGCCTTTTTGAAAATTCATGAATTTTGGCCAAAAATGAGGGGCTAACCCCTTGCCATTTTTTAACATTTCTTGAAATGATCTGCAATAACATATTTTAAACAGAGCTCGAAGATATGAAAATAAGCCTTTTTGAAAATTTATGAATTTTGGCCAAACAACCCCTTGCCATTTTTGTCAAAAAGTGTAATTTTTCAACATTTCATGAAATGATCTGCAATAACATATTCTAAATACAAAGAGCTCGAAGACATGCAAATAAGCCTTTTTGAAAATTCATGAATTTTGGCCAAACAACCCCTTGCCATTTTTGTCAAAAAGTGTAATTTTTCAACATTTCATGAAATGATCTGCAATAACATATTTTAAATAGACAGAGGTCGAAGACATGAAAATATATGAAAATAAGCCTTTTTAAAAATTCATGAATTTCGGCCGAAAATGTTGGGCTAACATAATCCCTTGCCATGTTCGTCAAAAAGTATCATTTTCTACATTTCATGAAAAGATCTGCAATGACATATTTTGAATGAGACAGTGGTCAAAGAGATGAAAAGATATGAAAATACGCCTCTTTGAGAATTCATGAATTTGGGCCAAAAATTATGGGCTAACCCCTTGCCATTTTCTTCAAAAAGTGTCATTTTTCTAAATTTCATGCAAAGATCTGCAATGACATATTTTAAATAAACAGGGGTCATAGACACCTTGCACAGATGACAAGATTTGAAGTAAGCCTTTGTGAAAAATTCAGAGTTTTGGCAGAAACTGATGGGCTTAACCCCTCACCACTTTTGTCAAAAAGGGTAATATTTCCACATTTTATGAATTTATCTGAAATTACATAGTTTGAATGAACAGGGGTCGTAGATACTTTCCCCTGGTGAAAATAGGTCTCTGTGAAAGGGTTCTGAATTTTGGCCATAAACGATGTCCCACTTGCAGGTAAAAAAATGAGGAGGTTAAATTCTAAGGAAAATAACGACCATTAGTTATGTTCTTGTTCAGTCATGATGATCGTTCCATTTAAAAATAGATTTTCTAAAATCATTCTCTTTCCTGAAATGTAACAGCTGTCTTTTCACTTTGGACAATCAGGTTTCTGACACGGTTATACCAGACTATCTGAAATCAGTCCTGCAGTACTTACTGATCCTACTCTTGATATCCTAAGTGGGACAGTGGTCTTTCAAATGAGGTATAAACTTTCACGATTTCTGGACTGAAAAGTCAAAACAGGCAAAATAAATAATACCAATACACTTGTTCTAGATGATTTGATTCATAGCAAGTTTATTACAGGTACATAAAGGCAGTTCCAGCTTCCTATATTCTTCACAAAATTACAGCAATTCTTGTAAGAGATCATCCTACATGTATGTACCTCGTATTCTATTATATAATTTCACTCGGATCATTTATAACACAGCTTTATATCCATATGAAATAGTACCACTTGTAAACTACAATAACAATTTTAATACAGTACTACTGCATACATTCTATATTGGTAAATATGTTTTCTTATGTTTCACACAATATAATTTCAATAAATCGATTTGAAATTAAACCAAGACCAGACCTCTCATGGTTTGAGGCCTTCTGTTTCATAATTGATCACAAATGTTTTTGTGTTTATGTCTGTTAAAAAAAGGAATAAATTGATGTGTGATCATAGAGGCAAGATTATTTCATCTATCAGTATTTACAAATATATACAACTCTAACTTGAACCATTTTATGATGATACAGTCTACTTAAGCAGCAAAATACATTAAGCTGAATGTCTGGAAGATTTAAAATTATATATTTTCTACTTTTAGTTTATCACATCATTGCGAGTAACATACAAATATCTTTATACCTAACCTCATTGAAATTCGAAATTAACCTATCAAAGACATGAAAATGCTTCTGCCTATCATATTAGGCATCACCATAAAAGTCAATTTATTTAAGTATCATCTTTATGATATCCCATGGAACCAAAGTAATATCTTTTGAGTCTGCCCCACCAGGACACACAAGCTAAAACAAGCACAATTATGGCTGCTCCCCTTAAAGGCCCGTTTAGGTGTGGTATGTTAAACCCCCCCCCCCCAAAAAAAAAAAAAAAAAAAAAAAATTACACTTTAATAACGTCTTCATAAAAAATAATTGCGGCATATCTTGTTGAGGCTTTATTCTGAATGTCTCAATCTGAGTTCTGGTGATCAAAGAAAACAAAACCTCATACATGTAGCTGTAACTACAGATTCAAAGTAAAGTTGCAGATTATGAGTTAATAGGGACTTTTAGATTTGCTGAACGACAACATGGATTGCTACGATCAACGTCCTTTTAATGCACTGCCTTGAATGGACGTCACACATACCAGTCCACGCAAATCTAAAAGTCCTCATTTCCTCACTGTTCTACAGGACCTTTGTCATATACAACTTTATAAAAAATTTAAAAAAAAATAGAAAAACAGCCTTATCCTGAATTAAACTCAAGTTTATTCCTTGAGTAACTGATTATCCAAAGAATGGTCCTCTTGGTCAAATTCTTTTGGTCTCTAATTGTCATACAAACTCAATTTTTTTTGAAAACTTGTGAAAAACCATGTCTACCAAGCCTGCTGCTCACAAATAAATATTAGAAATATATATAGCATATCTAATAGTCTACTATCTGATCTACACTGAAAATAAACTTTACTCTCGATAGTACTGAATAATTAGATAATATATTTTGTTTGATAAAACTTTCATGCATCATCTTGAGGGTGACCCTCCACACAGAATTTCAGTGTAAAGATGGTATTAGAAGCAGTAAGACCTTATAACGCCTGTTGGGAGCCAGATTGGCTATGAATGGACAACGTCCTAACCAGGTAGAAACAAGCATTCAATGCAGTGTGATGGTGCTATGCAAAAGAGATACTGACTAAACAATACAACTTGCCATTCATCCACAGTTGATCAATTTCTGATTGGCAACTAGGACTCGTGCCAGGATATATTGGGTTCAACCAGGTTCAGACCCCATTCACCTTGTTTTTTTGCTTGTCAAACGTTTTTATATTGCGTAACTGGATCCCCTGGATACGTCGTTGTTGTGTCAGTATTTTTAGTCAATGATAATGCCAGCATGAAGTAAAGCCACCAGACTTACACCAAACTAATAGGTTTACATACACCTTTCATGTATCCTTATAAACTCTAAATTACATGTGATTCCTAGATGAATCCCCACAAATAAATCCGTCAGCACAAAACAAATTCAAAATAAATTGTGACGGAGTTCGAACAACAACAAAAATGTCTAAAAAAGATATTATAAAATGTTTGCAAAGTATGCTGTAGTTGTTACACTTGTCTATAACTGTGGCTAAGAAACATTTTGTTATGTTTTGCTATAAAAAAATGTATTCAGTCTATACCAGGGACAAATGAACAATTTGAGCTTCAGAAAAAAATATTTTTCTATGAATATTCTAATTTGCCATGCGGCGTGTTTTAGAAACACATTTCAGTAACACATTTGGCAAACCAAATATGATCTTGATCAAAGAAAGGTTTTGCTCTATTGCTAAATAAGGAGCACACAGTTTTCCACATTGCACATTGAGCAATTGTCTACAATCAATAACCTCCAATAGTTCTTATACTCTATCTGTTTGAGACTCAGAAAGTTGTAACTCTGTGTTAACGTGTAAGAGTTAACCCATTGCTTACTGGAACCTTGTGGTCCCTTTGTTAAGTCTATGGGAATTAGATAATTCATTAGCCAACGGGTTAATGCCCTTCTGGTTATAAACATGCGACTTTATCATGAAAATAAATTTCTGAATTAAGTAACTTAAGCCCATCATCTCAATTTGACAGCAAAGTTATAATCTAACATAGCCTTGACATGAATGAAAAAAAACAAAACATTTATTATGCTTCATTGAGATCTCACTTTAAACATAACGACAATACAAAGCATTTCCATCATGATAGAGAAATGCACTCTGATATTATTAGTAGACATCTTACCTTTTTTTAGAATGCAGCAACATCACGATGAGTACGTAAGTACTTGTGACTTGCCGTTCTTGATTCTTTCTATAAGAATATATGTTACCCATACCACACGTATGACCCCAAAATACCCCCTATATTTCACACACAATAGCAATATATATTAACCTACCTTTAATACCAAGTTAGATTTCTACAAAATATTATCAACTTTAGATGATAAGTATGATTCACCTGTTCAAGTCATTAATGCAATCATATGGACAGATAAGATATTATAATGATTTCAATGATCCTGCAGTAAATAAAAAAATGCTCTTCCTGAACTGCGTGTAAGTGCCCCTATACCTTCAAAGCAAATAATTGCACCATGATATCTTGCGTACATTAGTTCAAAATTCACTCAGTTTGAAATTCTGTATCAAAATCAATGTGCTATTGTGGGAAGCTAATTCATTCTAGCTTAAATCCTATGGTGCTATTTATAGACTTGTAGTTTCTTGTAACCGGTTATGTGCACATAGCAAAATGTAGATGTTAGTGGGTTAATTGTTTTGCCTGTTTAATGACACAAGCTCCTGCAACAACAGTTCAGTGATCAATATCCTGTAAGAACTGGCAATCCAACTTCAACCCTGGCCCAAACACTATACCTAACCCTACATGTTACCTTGAAGCCAAATTCAACCCTAACCCTAACCTACCCGGTACACCTTTTGATGAAATAAGACCTACAGCCATTGTCACTGGAGCAAATGTTTGAGCAACGTCCATCCTCACTACCGACACAATCCATGTCAGCTGTAATGATGAAGTGATCAGGGATTTGGAAAAGCCCTGTAGATTGGTCAAGTGATGATGATCATGATGGTGATGACGAAGACAATGATGGTCTCGATGACGACCTCAATCGTCGTACTCGTTGATGATGAACTGGTATACGAAGGTGGCCTTCTTGCGTGTGATCTGCTGTCTGTTTGTTGTCCTGTTCCTCACGGCCGCATCTTCCCTTTCTTTGTCTTCTGGTGGGCAGCGGAGGAAGAGCTCACCAAATATTGTTGCTATGGATATGAAGGGACAAGGAGAATCGAACTTGGATTTATGTGCTTTCTTTTTTAAAGCCCCACTGCACTACTTGCGCCCTATATATAGCATACAATGCCTAATTGGTGCCTGTTGGTCCCTCATGATCCTCTTTTTCTTATGTTAATTGAGAGCTTATTTGATGAGATAACCACCAAGGAGGTCTAATCCTTCCTGGCCAAACTAGTGCAGACGAGATTTAAACATTGTGTTCTCTGAAGTCAGGAGTAGTCTAAGGAAACCAGGCTGAGATCTAAGTTTTCTTTGTTAAACATGACCTTTGACCCAGGGTCCTGTCTACATACGTGTATGTTAACTCACTTAACTGATTTAGTAGAATACAGACTTGAATGATTGAAGCTGGGTATCTCACCTAATGTTTTGGCATCTAGTCTGTTGTCATCACTGTGCATGAGTAGTTCACGGATCAATGCTGTCAGGTACTTGAAGACATTCCTGTGACATCTTGGTAGCTGCTTCATGATCTGATGGTGAAAAAGAAAAGATGGTCTTTATTTCTCAGACTTTATGAATGGCTGTGTAGATCCTTTATATATGATATAACAGACCTTTATTTTGCCTAAGTTCAAATTTTGCTAGTAAAGTCTTATGCCCAAATGAATCGGAATTTAAATTTATTGATTCATCTGTCATCCTAACAGAAATTCTTGATATTGGTAAATAAGTATATATGGTAAACCACCTCCTCCCCCCCCCCCAAAAAAAAAACCCAGCAACAACACACGCACACACAAAAGCCATGGTGTCATGGCAAAAAAAAAAGGTGTAAAATGGATGGTATTTGGAGAAGGAAGAAAGACTAGCTACATATACGTGAAACAAAGGATCTCAAGTATATTTGCTTGTCAGTGTGCTCAAATATACTGCAAGGTTGAGGGCACAAAATGACAAAAAATTAATATTTTGCCAATTGATATGAGGCTAAGGCAAATTACCCCATCAAAGGGATCAAGGCTTTATTGGTTGGTTTGTGGTCATGTTTTGTATCAACCATCTTACCTGCTTGCACAAAGTGAAGTTGTTGGCACCATCCAGGCATTTCTGGTAGAATTTGTTGGGAATGACTGGTTCCTTGAGACTAGCCAGGAATACCAGGAGAGACTCTGCAACGGAGTGGATACTCCCAGCTGAGGTCACAGTCAAGGTCATAGGTCAAGGAAAAGTACATTTACCCATTAACATTACTAGACAATGGGCTTAATAGTAATAATAATAATAATAATACTAAGCGCTTTACAGATATATTATTACCCCGGTCATCGGATTCAGGCCTACCCGCACACAATGTGTGCACATTCTCCACTCCTTGGGGAGCATTCCGGCCAGTCGCCATTTTACAAGTGCACACTTCATAAGTGGAATAACCAGAAATACGTGGTGTCCAAAAAAGTGGTCACAGGAGCATGTGTCATACGACCATAGTTCACTCTTTATTCACTGTGAACCTAGACTACTGCATTGTTTAGAGTAGATGGTAAATACCTGCCAAACGTTATACATTCAAAGTATCCAAGGTAAAAAATAGGAGTAGTGTACTCTACATGATTTTTTTACAGATGTTTTCAAAATATGAGAGGAATCTTAGGTTCCTATTAAACACTAGTTTGAAGGCAGAAAAATAGGAATCATTTCTCCAACATAGGAATGGTTAGCAGCTATGCATATACACTATATTTATGAGAAAAGTTGAGTGTTTTATTGGTCGACCAAGGCAGTTAAAGGGTTAATGTTTAAGGATACGAATCTCCTCCGGAAAGCCTGTATCTAGGAAGTCTCTGATGGCTAGTACCTCTGAGTGTAGACCCTCCTGACCAAACAGGTTCTCCTATTAAAGAGAAGGTTGAGTTTTGGAAAGAGGTGAAAAATAATTTGTGAGTGTTATCATTGTATTATGCAAGTGTGGAAGAACATCAGATTAAACATGTTCCCTGAAAAGCATTGCTCTTCAAATGCCTGAATACTAGTATTCTAAATATGGCACGTAATGATTTTTATGCTACATGTTCGTGTAGTCCAATATACATATTTCTATGTATAGTGCTTGTAACTTTACCAAGACTGGGCCATATTTCTGATCATTTTGATAATTCCAAAACCTTGCAGTACACACCAATACTTATATGCTAGATGATCAACCCTTTCTGATCGATTCCACACCGTTTCTGTCACAATGCAATCGCATGACCCGAACTCAACGTTATCTTTGAAGGTGAAGAAACATCTTAAAAGATTCATGAGTCATTACTTCGGGTTGGGGCAAACACTATATGACAAAGTCCTTGTAACTCTGGTATGAGATGTTCTTTTATACACTACAGTTGATACATGTATAATTGGTTGAAGGTTTTCAAATGCCCTTAATCAGTTAGTAATATTTGTAATGGCATTGCTCTGGTACATATTTCTGTTCCATCATTACATGGATATCATATTTCAATAATATGACATCAACTTTCAGGTCAAAGTTTTAATAGCTAACAGCTTGAATTCATTAAAGCATATTATACTTTAGTTGGCTATGTTTTATGCTGAAAGCTGAAGGCATTATCAATAGCATCGACCAAACCTCCCCACTTTCATTTAAAAATGCAGTTACTAAAGAACTTTTTTCCACAATTTAATTGTCCAACCTCCACCACCTTAAGTCTAAACTCTTCTTCAGAGTATTTATGAGGAAATTAATCCAAGTTTGGGTGGACATGAAACATACCTGTAAATTTCAACTGATATTAAAATGCGGTAACAACAAAAATTGTGAATGTACTTGAAAGTAGCATGTACCTTGTGAATTCCATTTCTGAAGAGATAATCCACGAGCATCCAGATCTCCTTAGGAATGTCATAGCTCTGGAAATCAGCACTTGAAGCCTTCTGCTTGGTAAGCAAGTTGGTTTCCTGCAGAAATAAACGAATTTACAAGGTTTGAAAGACACTGGAAACAGGGCTCAATATTGATAGACACCCGGGAATTGTGAGTGCCCAAAATATGAGTGTGGACCCCAAACATTACAAAATACATGTACCATAAACTTTTCAACCCAGTAAAACCCTGTAAAAAAAAGGAGGGGTGGAGCCTTGAATGGATGATATTTAATGTAGTGCTGCATAAAGGGAATTATTTGTATGAAGTATACCATAGCCAGATGTGAAGGGAAAAAGAATTGCAAGGTACTGTAGCTCAATAAAATGTAGTGCTAGATGAAGGCACAAGAAAAATACTAAAAGCCATGCTCCCTGAAAAAAAATCATGACATAAAGAGCTAAAACTGATATGCACCCCTGCTACCTTTATTAGGCTAAGTGCTGAACTGTCGGAAAGATGGATTAACTAGCAATATCTTTGTTTACTGAAATGGTGTCGAAACTATTCTCAAGGAACAACATACTTACCAGAGCGACCACCTGACTCGCCGACATTTCATGTATGGGTTCATGCATCCTTACTAAGCCTTCCAGAGAAGCTCCAAAGCTACTAGGTCTGTAGCTACCTGTTACTGTGATGTGCAGACAGGCAGTCAAGGAGTTATATTCTGAAACAGTTGTGTTATTTTCCTTTTTCACTAGTTACGGATTATAAAAAAGCTACATTAAGGGATTGAGTAATGTGCCTTCAGGCAATTATGAAATCATAAAATCATAAATATTTGTTTTCACTTGTAATTCCAAATATTGCTATTACGGAATATTCTATTTTGAAGAGTCTTTTATGAATTATAATAAAAGTGGGAAATACTTTTGAGCTTTCTCCTTCTCTATTAATCTGACATTGCAGAAATGTATCAGGGAAAAAATGATTGCTCTTCAACTGCCTGATAAAAAAAAAAAAATGATAAGCTTTCATGACTTCTGGGTAAAATAGAAAATCACCTACAATTTGTGTTCATGCGACATGATTATGTAGTCCCACATACTGATTTCTGACTGCAAAGCTGTTCACTCACTATACATCCTATTTCAGGAAGATTTATCATTTTGTTAATATTAAAACCTCAACAATACATCTTAAATATTCTAACACACTACATTCCCAAGACGAGAACTCAACTTTATCATCAAAGCATAAGAACAAATGTACATTAAAAAATACACACATTGCTTTAAAGGATATATAGTAGTCTTTGCCATTCTCAAGATGTAGTATGAGAATATCCTCTACAGTGTCTGTGCCTGCATTGAATGCTGATGCTGTGTTCTTATCAATAAAGGCTGTCATCTTCACCTCTATCATGTCACCTGAAAACACAAATGCAGACACAAAAAATGTTACAATCATTGAGGTATCATTATAGGTGTCATGGTTGAGTGGATACGTCACAGGACTGTCGATCACAAGGTACGCGGTTTGAGTCTCACCACGGCACTAATGTCCTTTGGCAAGACATTGATCTACATTTGCCACACTCAACCCAGGTGATGTAAATGGGTACCTGACAGGAATTAATTCCTTGAAATGCTAGAGTCCTGTAATGGCAGCCATGCTAAAGCCAGGGTAATAATCTCCCTCTGCACCTCAGAATAGTTAACTAGATCGATGCACATTACAAATGCTGTAGTATTAGTATTATTATTATATATTTTCTAAACTTTACAAAGAAACTGGTATTAATCTAACAATTTGTAGCTGTTCCTATAATTCTTTGAAAAGTTGGATCACAAATGACGCGTTTACTTTATTTTATTATTCATTCTTGCCACCAGTGATCGTACACACTTTTTACATCCATGCGTGGAGATCTACATAAGGAAAGGATTAGGAAGCGAGACATGAGATGATGTGAGGAACATTCAGAGCAAGTTGCGAGTAAAAACACATGACCAAAGATGGGGAGAACAGAAAGGACCGTATAACGACAGTTGTTCGTTACCCGTACTTATACACAACTGTTATCCACTTCTATGCCAGTGTGTTACCACTTTTGAAGAATTTGTGCTTTGTTTCCAGAGAAAGAGACCCAGATACATAAACTGCATGACATAATAGTAGACCTGACCAAAACATTCCTGGCATGTTACATCAAGCCAGAAGTGCTACAGCAAAGCGACAAGAAATTGAAAAGAATGGACGTCACAGAAAAATCATTGTTGCTAAAGCTTGATGATATATACATAGGGCCAAAAGCTGAAGCTATTCTAGCAAAAGAGAAGAAGAAGAGGGAAGTGAGACATGACTTTCTAACAAGGGCCCTCAATGCCTACACTTCCACGACAAAGTGCTTGCAAGACAAATTACCCCTGGCAAACAAATTTATTATGCATGTGTCTGCTCTGGACCCCTTCATTCGGGGTCATACACAAGCACAGAGGTACATGAAAGCACTTCCCAGTCTCCTGACCAATGTCCTAAAGGAAGATGAGCTGGAGAAGTACATGTTAGAGGTTCAGCAGTACAACATGGCGAAGCTCCCAAATCCTACTCCTGAAACTAAAATAGATGAATGGTGGGTTGAAAGAGCTTGTCGATATCCAACTATTTGGGGAGTAGTGAAAGCAGTAGTAACCTGTTTTCACAGACCATCTGTTGAGAGTTCCTTTAGCATAATGGGTAATGTAATAACCTCTCAGACTGCCAGCATCAGTATCAAGACATTTGCCTCCATTCAAACTGTCAAGTACACACTGCAAGCTTAACGAAAATCAGCTGTGCACCTGTATCACCTGCCCTCGTAAAAAAATGAAAACGGCATATGAGAGATATGCTACTGAACTTGAAGACTTGAAGACAGAATACACAGCTAGAAGAGCAAAGCTAAACCTAAAGAAAAGTAAGCTAGTTGCAAAGCAAAGAGCAAAGGAACTCAATTTTTTAGCAGCACAGAAAGCATGAAATGCACACAGGGAAGCCATGAAGAAGCAGCAACCAGGAAAAAAAGCAAAGTACCAAGTAGTCAAGCTAGTGACAGGTAGGTCACTTATCAGTACATCAATAAAATTTAAGTATTGTTTTTAATAATCTCTTGTACATTTGCTTTTTCATTGCAGCTTCATATAATCAAAAAAGTGAAAAAAAATGGTAAAGCCTATTACATAATTTTGTGGAAATATTTGCCCATGTACATGTATGTTTATACTGTGTTGTAAAGTGGTCTAAATTTCACATTTTATTAATAATGGGGCGCTGCCCTCTTGAACCCCTGTAAGGGGTTGCATCCCCTGGACCTCTGCTTGATAACCTCACTAAAAGATTTCTAAAACTTATTTTTATTTTACCACTCACTATCAGGTCTGAAGATGTTTGACAAAATAAGTGAGTTGTGAGAGGAATGACTGACCTGGCATCATGAATGTTGATTGCGGCTCAACCTTGAGCCATGGTTTACAGCATGACTTATCGTCCAGCTTGGCTACAAACTCCACCATTGTATTGACCTGACCGGTGTTGGCTACTTCAACCATCTCCACTCTCTCCTCCATGAAGCGCAGCTCACCAAGCTTCAGCTGCAATGATGGATGACAATCAGAATCAACATTTTAGTGAATGCTGCTTGAATATACAGTGCATATCAAAACAATATTTTTAAAAAGTTCCTATCCGTAAAGTTAATAGAAGCAAACCACCTTTCATACCATGGAGATAACTGTTGAGATGCTAATGCATTATTTTGATATGTGCATCTTATTGTTTCCATTTTTAGAAAATCAAATCAAAACTACATGGATGTTCGACTGCATGCAGTAGAAAATGATGCCTCTGCCATAAAGCGATTTAACCAAAACAGAAGCAATTTTAAACATTCAAGTTTGATTGTAATCCATTAACACATTCTCAGAATATTGTGATTACAAGCTATTTTTCATATACATGTATGACCCTTTGAGCTTTAACCTCATGACCCTAAAATCTAATCAGTTCATTGGCTCTGCAAGATACATACATGGCCCGAGTTTGAAAGCCATCCATCATGAGAATGGGACGTACAGCATATGGATGGACAACCAGAAAACATAATGCCTCTGGCTACTTTGTAGCGGAGGCATAAAAACATTGCCACAAAGATTATCCACATTCATGGAACAATATACAGAAGCAGAGTGCATAAGGCTAATGTAGGCATACTCTCATATCACCTTCATAGCCTCTCAGAGAGTATTTACGGAATATGTTGAGTATTGGCTGAGATATGAACATCCGAATAAATAGATTTCAATACGAAATCACTGTTATTTTGCTCTACTTCATAACATTACGGTTTTCGACATTTCAACACTATTTTTGATGCTCTTTCAGAAAATGAAGTTCAAATTTGGATGACGTCACAATTGTCCACTCATGCTTGTGGTATTCACTCTATAAGACTTACCTCATTTCTACCCAACGTAACCTGTGGTAGGGCCTCGTTCTCTTGCCTGTCTAGTTTCCTGATCTCTTCTTCTACCACCTCACGGAACTTCTTCTCATCCACCACCTTCACCTATATCAGTCGAAAATCAGTACCAAAAAAATGTTAAAAGGTGAAATCTTAGATGTTTAAGCCTTATTCTGACATGAAACATGCGGTAGTAAAGCGGCATTCAAAAAAAAAAAAAAAAAAAAAAACATCTTGGCAAATAAAATGATGGAATTGTTGTGTTTTGGTGTTATCTGTGTTTCATTCTTTTTGAGAATATTTATGCCTTTCACTTTCTTTCTTTTTTGTTTACTATTTGTAAACTTGTACACTTCATAAATCTCTGTTTTTGATATACATGTATAAATATTTTCTTTTCTTTTTTTTCTTCTTCTTTCCCTTCTTGCTTTTCCTTTTTTAAATAGCTTAATCTCAGATCCACTAGTCCACGAAGACCCCTCACTGCGCAATCATCTCAGCCATCATTGTCCTAGGCAACTCTGGTGCTGGTGGGAGGATTCTGGGATAGATCTTTTGAATCTCTTGTTTTTTTACCATCCTCAATCCGCATGAAGAAGGCTTTACTAACGTATTAAAATGATCCCAACCAATGAGAGTTTACCTCGTAAAGAAGAATCAGCGTGATAACATTTCTACAAGCACTCACCCCGATGTCATAGAGAGCACTGACTGGTTTATGATCACTCAGTCTGAGCTTCATGTGGCTCCGGTAGACCTTAGGGACGATGCAGGCTCCACGGTGAAGGATGCGATCGCACCAGGCTGGTACCCTCTGCTTCTCACTGTCATTAAACAGTATTCAAGACGGATGAATAATTCATTGGTTTACATAGGGAGTAATGAATAATTCATTAGTATACAGGAAGAGTAATGAATACTGCATACTACTTCATACTAATTACCATTAAAAATATGGCACCTTGTGATTTTTATTATTAACAAATAGTAACGAACGAACGAGTAACAAAGATTGATTATATATTTCAGTATACAAATACTGTTTTACAGTGATGAACACTGCATGTTATTCAACGCAATGATATATTATTACATAATATAAAGACATATGAAAAGATTACTTGTTTGCAGCAGTAAACAAACATGTAATCATGAATAATCTTTAGTATTAAACAAAAGAGATGAATGATTCTTAAGTATCATAAGAGATTAAATGTTTGTATCATCAGGAAAATGCAAGGAAAAGAACATAAAATGTAACTGGCAAAAAATTCTGGTAATTACCACCTTAAAAAAATTGATGAATCGTGTGCTATACTTTGAAGAAAGATACCAGCCAACTACCAAATTGGTGTGTTTACAAAAAGAAAATTCCAATTATAATAAAGATATTGTTTTTACATCTTTACATTTACAACACTGTTGATAATAGAAATGATTTGAGCCCATGCATCCCTCACCTTGAATCCCACTCGTCGCTACCAGAGTTGTACTTGTAGGTTGGAAGGAAACCAATAGGAGCCTCGTCAAAGCCTTTGAACACCCTCGAGAGTTCCCTCTGTCTGTTCAGCTGTCAAAGAATAGGATTTTGAAGAATATATTTATATATTCATATAACCTTAAATTACATTTGTACAAAGTTCTCTCTCTCTCTCTATTTTTTCCTCTCTCCCTCTTCATTCTATATCACTATTAAACTAAACATAAATTCCGTGTTTTTTTACCCCCTTTTCCCTTCCTTTCTTTTGTTAATTACTTTTATTTAGCTCTCTGGTTTTCCCTGCTTTAATCTCTCTGTCTCTGTCCATTTCCTTTTTACTCTTTCACTATGTTCCCATCTTATTATGAATCTTTCCCAAAGATCCCCTCTTCTCCAAGCTCCCCATGTCACTCCCCATCCCATGTACATGTAGGAGTGTTGTGGCGGAGTTGTTTAAGGCGCTTGACTGGAGATGCGAAGGTCAAGAGTTCGAATCCCGACACGGCACTAATATCCTTTGGCAAGATATTAACCTACACTTGCTACTCTCCACCCAGGTGTTAAATGGGTACCCGGTAGGATGTGACCGTTATTGTTAGTCAAACAGTTTTTGAGCATCAAGTAACGCTTGAATGGAATGCTCCCCAGGGAGTGGAGATTGTGCACACGGTGTGTGCGGGCAAGTATTGAAGCCAATGACCGGGGTAATAGTATATCTGTAAAGCGCTTAGAGACATTTGTATTAAGCGCTATATAAAATAATATTATTATAATCCCCACTCTGTTTCCTTTCCTCCTGTATCTTGATAACTATTTTTCCTCTTACCTGATCTTGCATGAGCAACTCCTTGAAGCTGTTGTTATATATAAGAGTTTTGACAGTGTCCACAGCAAGATCGTTGATTCTGTAGTTGAGATCTCCCATCCATATCACAACACTGGGGGAATGAAAGAGGATTACATTAAGATGAATTCTTTATCTTCTAATCTACAGGTAAAAGCCAACTTTGCATTTTAGCCAAAATCGATCCTCTCTTAAGATGCATGATTGCAGGATCTGAACGTTATCAGTTTATAGGGGCAGGCAATGTTGGCCAAACAGACGGGCACAATGAGCCCACATCAAATGATAGCAAAAGAGCATCATTAAATGGAATAAATGAGCTTTGTGGCCAATCAGCAAGGAAAGGGAGCATTGCATGAGAGTAGTTCAACAAAATCAACCAAATTAATTGTGGAGGTTGAATGTATGCACAATAATCAATATTACTCTTATGGGTACCTTTGTCAGGAGAAAATTTGTCCTTGACATTTTTTTTCTGTATGAAGTCCCGACATATTAGAACTGAGAGTGTTATGCACTGGTGAGAAACCAGACTACGACCAACAATAACAAATGAAAGTACTTTTTCAACTTCCACCTCAATCTACAATCTACTCAACAGTCCAACTACAACTACTACACATCAACTAAAATGGCTATTATACAGTAGGCTTACGGTTGCACCATGTGAGAGAGGAGGATTGGGGAGTCCTGCAAAGAACTGTCAGTAATCTTTCTTTCTTGAGAGTGTGAGTAGTCCTGAAAAGGAATCTCAAGAAAGAAAGATTATCGACGGTCCTTTTCAGGACTCCCTAATCCTCCCCCTTTCTCACATGGTGCAACCGTAAGCCTACTGTATATCAACATGTACATCACCATGCAAGCCGATACTAAAAAGCAGCATCTGAAATGGCTAATGTTACTACTTCTGCTACTTGCACTTACTCATGCTGCATGACGCCGAGGGGTTGATGTTGCTCCCTCTCAAACTTCATCCTGGCGCAGATGTCGTGGTAGTCCTGGTTCCGCCTCTCGTACTCCTCCATGTGGGCCGCCAGATGAGAGTTGATGAAGCAGAAGGAGGTGTTGTGGAAGTTGAATCGCACCGCCACGGCCCCCTTATTGCCCTGAGAGATAGATGGCAATTCAAGATGATTTGTCAGATATGTGTGTGTAAAGAGAGGAATTTTCAATTACGATAGTCCAGGGCCCTGTCTTACAAAGAGTTATGATTGATCTTAATCAATCGCAAGTTTGAGTCTCCTATCTCTTAGTACATAATTGCTATTGATATTAATCGCAAATAAGTTGCGATTAACATCAACTCTATATTAGAAAGGGCCCTGCGGTATTAAAAGTCATTATGATTTTGATTGTGATACTTGGTTTGGACCGATACAAAAACATGCTGAAAACAATACAAATTTAAATTAATCGGGCGAAATTTGCAATTACATGTAGGAGCATATGGAATCAAGTTCAGCCAGCTAGGTATTCTTTTTAGATCCGATGTTCCTATTTGCATACAATTTCCAAACAAATGTGCGTCAGGTACATGTAAGTGAAAATGTAGAAAACAGGGCAGAGCTTTATCTCATTTTTATTAACATTTTGCATATATAATACTCTTCATTTACAAGATTCAGTAGGTTTAAAGCCCTACTTACATGTATAGCTACTTGCGCCCTCTATATAGAAAACAATGCTGAATCGGTGCCTGTTGGTCCCCCATGATTATCTTTTCCTTATGTTAATTGAGAGCTGATTTGATGAGATAACTACCTGTCAGTGACCTTGCAGGGAGGTCTAATCCCCCTGGCCAACTTAGTGCAGAGGGGCTTTAAAAGCTCAGCTTACCATTTTGCCCATGATGCCTGTACCGACCGTCCCAGCTATGACCTCATCAATGTAGGGATAGTGCCTCTCTTGAATGAATACCAGTAACATCATACCAACTAGACGGATCAACTTCAGCTGAAGGGAGATGGGCAGAAAAAAAAAATCATTCATTACTATTGATAGCATGCAGAGCTATGTCTAAATATCATTTTAAAACCATTACTGTTCAATCAACATTATTGTTATGTTATGTTTACATGTATCAGTATTTTTCTTTGCATTGTATGATTTTCCATAATATAATGTACATGTACTGTCATTATTGTGATGTGTTGTTGTTAATAAATTCAAATTCAAATTCACACTTAACCCTCTGGTAATAAGGGGTTTTCTCTATAAAGGCATAATTATGTGTAAATCCTCCCAGCCCCCACTGACATTAGCCAACTAAAAATTACATCACTGATCAGGATGTTAATTTTTCTCCATTGAACAATTTGATGGTAACCAATCTGGGTAGGGCTAATTCCTAGTCAATTAGAACCTCCAGTGCCTAGAATACCATGCAATTGCCACAGTAGCAATTGTATCCTTTTTATTTTTATATTTATATTGCAGGGTTGCTAAGAACTCACAGTCAGGATAGATCAAATCTAGAGTTAGAGTCATTTCAGTTCCCCTTGATGTACATAAAGTGTTTCTGAATGTTTACTTGTAAGAGCAGATTTATATCTATATAAGTTGTACATGTACACCTGTCAGTTAAAACATGTAGTGATAATAGCAATCTTTATATCACGGATATCAAAATTGTTTCAACAAATTAGCCTGAAATGAGACCCATAATGTTGAAGTCCTATATGTAGAGCTAAATTCCAAAAGGAGCTAAATTCACTTTTGATGAAAATTGAGTTATTGATATCAGAACATTGTTCACTTAAGTACCTGTCTTTCAACAAAATTATTTACCTAAATTTAGGGAGCAATTATGAAAATATGCACCTTCTAATATCACTTTTCCATAGACGCCTGTAAAAAATTTGGCAAACCATTTTTTTTTCTTCTGAAATAAAAAAAAATAGATTTAGCTCCTTTTAGAATTGAACTTTTCATATTTTCTGCACATGCTTGGGGCATGGAAAGCCTGAACAAGCCTGAAACAGAAATGCAACAGGGCATAAACTCAGGCAAAATCTTGAGAACTGTCATCCCTGTTTACAAAACATTTGTCCGCTGTATAAACCTACCTTAATATAGACGCCATCTTGATGGAGACACATGATGACCCGTTTATGCCACTCCTCCTCCCTGATGGAGTCATTGAAGAGGAATGCTTCCTTGCTAAGGTCTAACTCCTGGAACCCTATGGCATACATGTCGGGAGGCTTCGGGTCTGCGGCTAACCAGTTTCTCAGGTCCTCCGTCGCTCCCTTACCATTCACGTTCCATGTCCCAACAAAGGCCCTAATTAGAAAAGATCAAGGAATTTTCAAGTAAATGATTATATATGGTTCAATACGATGTTTCAATGACAAAGTCAATTCTTTCGCTCTTTAAAGTATTTATGAAATGTAATGAGACACAGAAACATACATAGCTGTCAGATAATTTTCTGATGAATTCAATCCTTTGTAGAAATATTTCCTTTAATGTTGGTTTTTCTGAAGCTTTTTCACACACCTTGTAGCTCAATTCTCGCTACCCCAAATAGCGATTCTGCCGAGATCCGGGGAAAATCCTGAAAACGCGCATTGCATTATGGGATAGCTTTTCGACATTACAGCTTCCTGTGCAGGCGTTCGTGATCACAACCCTCTCTTTCACGGTAGAGTTTAACGGCCTTTTGTGCTAAAGTCACTAATTCTGCCCGAAGCTTTCCATTGCATATTATAATCTGTACAAATTACACTGATTGGCATCGATTTTAGCGTGCGTGAAAACTCTGCACAGCGAACACAGGCGCTAGCGCCAGCGGGATGGGACTCTATACCGGAAGTTGTAGTGACGACCCGAGAGAGTGAAAATTACCTCGTCTCGCGAATTTCGAGATTTTCGTACCTATTTAGGGTAGCGAGAATTGTGACTAGATTTTGGAGAAAATGAAATAGAGGAATTATATTTTTAAAAGTGTAAATTTTTCCTGTGTCATGTCCAGATTTGTCACATGAATAGTGATATTGAAATTGCAGGGTGCTGGGAGCCGTCCTACAGTAGAAATGGCTAGTTACTGGAAGCTGATTTGGGTTTTTCTCAGACTGAAAAGGCACAAAATATTATGACATCTAAATAATGTCCATTAAGGACAGCTTGAAGTGAGGAAATTTTCCTTCCTGGTCGTTACTTATTTCATACACTATAATTTACATTGTATGTTAAAATTTAATTCCTCTATATCTATTCATTTAAATATGTTTTAAAAGCTGCTTTGAAATAAACTATAAAAATATCAACTATCTGTGATGAGGACCTAAGTAAAGATACAATTCAAATTTTGGAGATTTCAAATTGTTTATTAAACACTATCAGGGGAGTTTTTCACAAAGCCTTTTTTCAATGACAAACAACAAAAAATCTGTGACAAATCTGCTGATAACCAATCAGAAGCAAGGATTTCAGTAGCTTTTAACAAAAACTGTCATTTGTCACTGATGACAAGTTTTGGGAAATGGGGCCCAGTTGATCACATACCTGAAATCATGTGGAAATGTGTATTCTGCTTCTCTTCTTTTGAGGATCTCTTCTCTGATGCCGACTGGTTTGAAGGGCTTGACTGATGCATAGCCCAGCGTATCTATATCAGGTTGTGAGCCCCTGTCAATCGATAATAATAATAAATAATTAAAACGGTGCTTATAAAGTGCTTACCACCGAAGTCTCTAAGTGCTATAACAAAACAACAACAAAAAAATAAAAAAATAAACCTACAAATTACAATACATCTGAAATATACATCTGAAATATACATCAATGTGAACAGAGTAATTTAATCATCAAAAGCAATATTGAATAAATGTGTCTTAATGAAGAACATGAAGGATATAAAAACCATATAAATTTATTATCAGAGGACTGGCTCAAGTCACAGACCTACTCTGAAACGATAGACAACCAACAAAATCTTGACCTTTCGGGTTCAAGCCTCACTAAAGGAGCTACACAAATTTGATGGCAAAATTTCAGTTTGATTGTACAATGAAGTGAAAGAGGATGATATTTAACAATGAAGTCCGCAAGGATTCTCAAAATAAATTCGTTTGAAGAAGAATATTGATGAAAGAATACAAAAATTAGGTTTTCTGCGTACAACACAAAACCTAAATTATGTATTCTTTCATCAATATTCGGCTTCAAACACATTTATTTTGAAAATCCTTGCAGAATTGTGTGTTAAATAACATCCTTTTTTCACATTATTATAACATTTACCGTAAGTGAAATATTGTCATCTAATTTTGTTGCGACTTTTGGGGCCCCCAACACTTTAGAGGGGCTTTGATATAAGTTTGTCTTTGGTCTATTGGCAGTTTAAAGTCAGTGGAGGTCCCATGACTGGGGTATAAGCACAGATCATATAGCTTGTGTTGGTCAATTTGTATTTTTAGAATTCTTGTTGAATGTAATTTTCAGGGTACCAATACAGCATTCATCTCCCACCAAAGGACTTGTCAGTCTAACAGTGAAAACAAAAATACTTCCACTTGCTGTCATACAATGAGAATACCTTTGATTACAAAAGATCAGTTCTTTTTTTTCTTTTTGTTTTAATGATGCATAGGATTTAATGTGCCTGCGTGAAACCGAAGGACCACTTACATGAGGGATGTCCTAGGTTCCGCTGTGAAGGCGTGTCCATCTAAGTTGGTGTAGAAGGTGCTTCCTCTGGCATCCTGCTGGTCTTCTTGAAAGTGATTGTCCCGTATAGGCAAGCTACCATTGCGTTCTAAATTCAGACTGGCAAAGCCATCCTCAAACTCAGTCCCTGGCACACCTACTTTGTCCACACCTAGGATAAGCAAGAAAGGAGGCATACATGTACATGGTTTGAAGTTGTGACTGAATTATTAACGTTTGCCAATTTCACGTAAATTTCCACAAACTGGAAAGGTCAATGCTGTGCCTGTTGCTATTCAATTATTTTGGGGAATGAAACTTTCAAAAGTTTTTATCGCTCACTAATTTTACAGAAGTTTCAGGCACAAGAAAATTTTCTATTTTTTCAGAATGTTAATCTAATGTAACACAGCACATGATATAAGAAAGATTTTAGTAAATTTGAAAAGGCATAACAATGAACATTACAAAATTTGAATGCGATGTTAATGATATCCATGAACCCCAAAGAATTGTGAAGTAAGCACATTGTGTTGGCACTTAAAGAATTTCAAATCTATGCTGTGTTCACATCATGATGAATAAAAATAAAGATGTGAAAAAACCACCGTGTGTTCACATTGATCAGCAGATTGCATTCTTTTACTGTAGGACAAAGCTCAAATTCCTGAACAGTGTGAACTACTCACTAGATGTGGATGAAGAGGATGATGAAGAGGAAGATGAGGATGTTGAAGAAGACGATGAACCACCAGCATTATTACCAAAGTCTTGTGATATTCTCCATGCTACAGAAAGACAAAAAAATGATTTCCAGATAAAAAAATGATTTCCAGATGAGAAAAGAGAAAAGAAAATTGTATAGAAGAGAGCAAACCACATTCAAATGAACAAAACACCCATTCACGGTTAAGGCCGCCATTTTAATTTGCGAGTAAACATTGCCTCATCAATGTTTTCAGACGCGCATGTATTGAGCGTCACTGCCTGCGCTGTGCGCTCACATCTCATTGACACATGCGCTTGCATGCTGCATAAAATAAAAATTACTTGTAATTTAAAATGGCGCCCATGGCGGCGCATGCGCACTCTTGTAACCGTGATAGGGTGTATTACTTGTACATGTCGAAGACCTTTTTTCTTTAATGAACTGTTGGATTCTGTTTTTGTCTCTAATAGATCAATGTTATGCCCTTAAGCACCACAAAGGCATACCTGCTAAACTTGAACAGAAAAAAAATGGAATCCCGAAATGGTGAAATTAATAATTTTTTCTTCCAATGTGGTTGAAATGATTAGGAGCTATGCAAAGGGCTGAAAATACAAGTGAATGGTATGTGGAAAGAGATCACCTTTTCCCGATGAAACTACCAACACAAGGGCACACAGATTAAAATCACATTTACATGTAGCTACAGTGCATGAAGCAAGCAACGTTATTTGAAGAATTTTACAAACAAAAGAAGTGGACTTTACCAGTATGTGGACCAAGAGCAGAGCACATTTAAGTAATTAATTGTAATACAAGTAGTAGTAGTGAGTGGTGGTTATTTTACCTGACTGCTAAGAAAGCATAAATGCTTGTTAGTAAGCAACCACAGGACCATAGGATATAGGTCCTCTCTGAGAGACCTGGTAATGAGGATTAATGCCTTACCAGAGGGCACTAGCACATCGACTTTGTTTCAAACCCAGGTCGCCGGATTACGAGACCACTGCTCTACCAACTGAGCTATCGCGCCTCCTCTTAATAGTTTCCGCAATGCAGAGTTTTTCTCTCTCTCTCTGTACACACTATTTTGATTCTTGTTAAGACTGCATGCTCGTAAACAATATACCAAGCTTGGTATATAGCTTGGTATATTGTATACAAACATGCATTCTTTTTAATATCATTCTCAAAATCTATACAAGTCCAAAGCTATGGAGTAATGACTCAATGCAAATGTATATGATACAACTATTCTGTTCTCATAATCTAGACAACTTGTCCATTGTCAGGACTACCTGAACATTACACTAGACTTCTATCTTCTAATATCAAACTTATAGTGAATATAAAGCTTACCAGATCTAAGAGACTTCTAGATCCTATGGATGTATTAGGCAGAAAACACTAGCTTTGATTTACTACTACACAGCTTTGATTTACAAAATACTGTAGTTTACACACTGTCCGACCCTAGCAGGAACTACATGTATATGACAATAGCATATAGGCATGCACTGCTTGCCTAATTAAACAAAGTGATTAAAATGGCAACACTGACACCAAAGCACACAAATGGGACCATTGTTTACTCTTTTCAGCTCTGCACACAACATTAACAGTTACATTTACATGGACAAGCAGGGTGGAGGTGGAGGGGGGGGGGGGTTTATATCAAATTCAGTGCATCAAATCCAAAAGATAATGATATGCATAGAAACAAAGGAGGCTTGTTTCTTTATCAAATAACCTTTCTACAGCACAGTTTTCAAACTTTTCTTAAAATGATTATAAATGCACTGGACGTGAGCACTATGCTATTGATTTCACAACTAGCCTTTAAAAAGAAAGGTTATCAATGCTCTAGTACTCTGTAATATGATAGACCAAAAACAAACAAAAAGAAGAAAAGATGAAAGGTTAATAACCATGAACAAAGAAAATGAGTGAGGTTAGAAAAAGGGGAGAATGAAGAGAATTTTTCAATATGAATAACAAGGGTGAATAATAGATACAGAGAAAGGGGACTAAAATCCTTTTATTGTTCATATATTGAGCTTAGTTTTCCAATAGAAAAACAAAAACAAAATGACAGTACCTTCTGATGTTGAAGAAATTGATGGGGGCTTGGGATGGACCATTTTTGTTGTCGGGGCCCTGGCATCAGTACTGTCTAGTAGATTGTGCTCCGAAGCCAGCTCACTCTGCGCTTGGAGGTTGACGTAACCGTGCAGCACCGGGTCAGAGGTGACGCGGTTCATGGACGGAGGAGGGGGTGCATTCACGCCCCCCACATCCAGGAGGGGCATTGTTTTAGCATGGGACATGAAGGGGTTAGTACTGGCAGTGGAGGTGGAGGATGGCACAGGGGTAGAGTGGGGGGAGATGGGTGACGTGAGGGGGGCAAAGGATGTCATCCCGAAGGGGTCTGTGGACGTGGGCGTGGTCGAGGAGGTGAGATTGAGAAGGTCAGGGGTCGGCTGAGCGCTAGCCCCTTTGATCTGGAGCTGGTACCGCTGCATCCAGAAGAACTGGGGGACGATGCCCTGCTTCACCTTCTCAAGGCAGGCTATGGTATAAAAAAAAAAGATAAGAAAAGGTGATGCAAATGGCTCGTCAGTTACATGTACTAGGTGAAAATATCACATGCACATTATTCTTCCTATATTACATTTTTTTCATTTACACATAATAATGTACAAGCCCTGATGCTGATGTACATTCATTTTGCAGTAAGAGAAACAGTCACAATTTGTCAACAAAAGAATCACGAATAAGCTAACACCTTTCACTCTGGGGGGACTCTGATGCATTCATTTACTGGGTATGCCAGGGAAAATACAATTAACAAAAACAGTTTTTTTCCTTCAAAAATTAAAAAGTAGTGGCTATTTATGATTGCGTGGCTCAGTTTTATAGGACATATCGAGGGGTCAGTGACACAAAGACGTAACTTCATTTTGGCCATATTTAGAAAAAGTGGTTTATGTGTCACTGAGCACTTGGGTTAAGTCTATGTTTCACAAGCCATTGACTTCAATGGGGTGTTGGGTGGGGTTAAGTCTTTGTGTTTCCTGGAAAGCCCACATTTTCCCGAACATTTTGGCAAAATATGGAGTTACGTCTTTGTGTCCCTGAACCCTAGATATAAGCCAAAATGGTTTACCTGCCATTGATTTCTTCACATTGTTAAAGAAGAAGGAGGAGGGCTGAGCGAAGGGGACCTCCATCACCAGATTGGTTCCTGCAGCCTTGATGTGCGCTCTCACCACGGCCTGATCCTTGGCTAGGGTTTCTGGGAAGGTAAAGAAATGTGCATAGAAATGGATATCAAGCATGACTCAATACATGTACTCACAGGCTAAACACCAACAACCAAGTAAACATGGGCCCAAATAGTATAAATATTCAAACCTGCTTTAGTGACCACCTGTCTTCAAAGACCACATTTGTTGTTTCCTTTGAAAATGGTTTCTCATTGAATCATGTACTAAAGGAACCTGTCTACAAAGACCACCTGTCTATAAAGGCCACTTTTGTGTTTCCCTTGGGCGGTCCCTATAGACAGGTTTGACTGTATATTTAAAAAGCAGGACCATGCATACAGACCCTAAAATCTCTAGCTGGACCCTTCATCTAGGGGAAATAAAAAAAACATTTATTAAGGTCTAAGGAGCCCTTGATCGATAGAATCTTCAAATCTTGTAAATGATTGTACGTGAAACATACATGGTACATCATACATGTGTTTGATTGCTTTCCCTTCCTAAGCACTGGTACATGTACATGTACATGTGGTGTGCCAACATAAACATGCTTCCTGTAGCTTACATACATGTATATCAAGTATTGGTTTCATTCTGACTTCATTCCTTTATCCATTTTTCTTTCTTTCTTTTCTTCCTGAGTAATAAATGGCATTCTATGATCTCAGGTTACAACTGATGGATTAAAGTCCAATTTGTCCGAAAATAACTGAGATTGATAAGATATGGTGACCTTTCGAGTCTAAAAAGATCACAGGCAGATACATGTATGAATGATCATTGATCAATATGATGCAATTAGTTGATTAAAATTTAAACCTCAGTATTCATGCATTCTACAAATAGTTTGGCTGAAAATGTGTGGTAATCTAATATTAGGGAGAAAATTCATGTACATATTAAATACAGTTTACATGAATGATAGAAAAGATATACATGTACTGTACATTTAACCATTAACCAAGATATTTCTATGTACCGGTACATGTCTACATGACATTGATGTTCGTACAGGACTTGTACCTGCATGTAGACATTCATGTACAAAATAACAAATGTACATGGACAGTATAGCACATGTGACAATCACTACTAAATATTCTGTATTGATTTTACACTATCAAAGGCATTGACCTGAATAACGTACAATGTTTGTCTCATTATTAAAGTGCAAATACCCATAGAGCTAAATGTGAATTACCCTAGTGCAAACTACATGTACATGTGTATATCTTTAATACAAATATTTTTAAAACTATACAACAGAATTACATTCATCATGTGAAAAAAACAAAAAACAATAATACAATCTGTATGGTAGTTTAAAAGGTAAAGACCAGTTTTGGAAACGCCTCCATTAAAAAAAATGAAATGGAAGCTCTTATTCTCAATCACGTGAAAGAATATGTTTTGACTAGTACATGTAAGTGATGATGAAACCGCCTACTAATTGATATATTGGGTATAGTATTATATCTATCTGGACTGAAAAGATATACAATGTAGGGTAGTCCCATACATCTTCTCTGTGTACAGTGCTTGTAACTTTACCAACACTGGGCCAAATTTCTTATTATTTTGATGATTCCAGAACCTTGCAGTACACACCAATTCATACATGTATCAACCTTTTCTGATCAATTCCACAACGTTTCTTTCACATGAAAAGAACTGGTCTATACCTTTAACCATTTAATACAAACAAAAAAACATTTTGATTCCACTTTATACAATAAATCATTTCATATCAATCAGAAATATGTTTTGCAACCAATAAATAGCTCTACTAGTAGGACATAAGTGTATGTGTACATGTACATGTATGTGCATTATACAGTTGAAAGTACATCAGCTGGTTTGAATAGTTTCACCGGTACATGGATACTCTTCTCTTGTGAGACACCTGTGTGCATCAACTGTCATGCATTGATTTTCTGACCTGAGCAGCGTACAGGTCATAGTGTTCAAAATATGACTGTCACATCAAACACAGACAGCTCTGCCAGGTGCTCACCCCACCCCCCTGAATGTTTGTATATACAGACGATTTCATTGTTGATAGTATTTTATTTATAGATTTTACCTGTAATTTGATTTCCTAAAAGGGTGCAATGTGATGTTCAGTAAAATATGTGCAGGATGAACAATGTAAATACAATTTGACCACACTAGCATTAAATACAGAATACATGTGATATAAACAAAGACAATTACCCTTCATACTGAATTGAGTGTACAAAATACTCTGACAAGGTTATAACCATAATCGGTCTCAACAATTATATTCTGATCAATCAATGTACTTATGATTATAATTAAGGTACAGTACAGGTGTAGGTGCTGTATGATTCTGAGAAGAAGCAGAACAAAATTAAAAAGAAGAGAAAGGAGATGACCATTTTAAAGAAAGTACCTGTCAATTGTAAAAATTTTAAAAATTTTAAACACTGGATCTATGTTATCTTTTGATATAAACCGAAATGCTACAGGTACACCTGTACATGTACTGTACATGTAAATTCATTTCAGTTAATTCAGTATGCTAAATAAACTCATTTATTCATTCATTCCCATGGTCCTCCCCTTGGAACTACAGACTAGTTCAGTAGTATTTGTTTGCTTGTTGTTAAATGTTAAGGATGTTCCTCAAATTTATTGATTTATATAGAGCACATGTGATACAATCATTAAATATTTTGCACAGTAAATAATTTCCCAGAGTAAAAACAACCACCACCGAGATAACATATCACACTTCAATGGACTATGCCACACGTTCTAGTTTATAATCAACCTTCTATCAGCCTAAATAATCACCTTCACCCTTCATACATGGAGTAATTAGTTTCATGGAGTAATTAGTCTTATTTAGTGCTGTAGTCAAACGTTTAACCATCCGGTATCCGACCGCCCATGGCGGATTCCGTTTTCAATTGGACGGTTTCGTTTTTCCCGTTTTTTTTTTTTTTGTTTTTTTAATAATTTTTTTATTTTTTATTTTTTATTTATTTATTTATTTTTTTATTTTTTTTAAAGTTTCGATTTATGCCCCTCCACCTGGCACTATGCCTGGCAATATCTCCCAGCTCAGTAATCGGTGTGATGACTTACCACTTGGAAACTAGAACAACACTCCAATTTGTCTGTCATCTTGGTTTGAAAGTAATCTTTGTAATAGATCTCAATATATATTCATCCAAGTTTAACACATGGTGTACCACAAGGTTCTATCCTAGGTCCTCTACTGTTTTTAATTTACTTTAATGATCTTACACATTATTCTAAAACGACATTGTTACTATTATTTGCGCCTTCAGTTAAATCACCTTCCTGCTTTTTCACACGGCCAAAAAAAAAAAAAAAAAAAAAAAAAAAAAAAAATTAATTTTTTTTTTTTAAATAAATCGTTTAACCGAAAACCGTCCGGTTTTGACAGGCGGTTAAACGGAATTGGAGATATCCGTGATGTTACAGCACTAGTCTTATTAGTTAATTTTGATTTCTATAGGTTTTCAATTTCAATGATAATAATATTGTATGTAATTTTCCAGATTTTCAACAATGTGTATTTTATCTGTATAATTATATTGATGATTTGTAGTTAGATAACATTTTTATTAATTCTAAATATAGTGCCATGTTATTTGAATTTTAATGTTCATTTTTATCTTGTATAAAAGCTTATTGCTGCCCTGGATAGTTACCTATAATACCTACTGCAAGATACAATGTACACCTTCATATATGCATTGTATGTATATATATGTGAAATATGAGAAAAGGAGTTTCTTCATACCAACATTTGAGCCTCATAAATTATACATTAATTAATCTTTGTGACTCGTCCGGTTTTGACAGGCGGTTAAACGGAATTGGAGATATCCGTGATGTTACAGCACTAGTCTTATTAGTTAATTTTGATTTCTATAGGTTTTCAATTTTAATGATAATAATATTGTATGTAATTTTCCAGATTTTCAACAATGTGTATTTTATCTGTATAATTATATTGATGATTTGTAGTTAGATAACATTTTTATTAATTCTAAATATAGTGCCATGTTATTTGAATTTTAATGTTCATTTTTATCTTGTATAAAAGCTTATTGCTGCCCTGGATAGTTACCTATAATACCTACTGCAAGATACAATGTACACCTTCATATGCATTGTATATGTGAAATATGAGCAAAGGCGTTTCTTCATACCAACATTTGAGTCTCATAAATTATACATTAATTAATCTTTGTGACTCTCCTTTACCGCCATGTACAGTATAACATACTGTATTAGTACTTGCATGCAAGTAACATCTTTAATACAAGAAAACTCATGCTGTGATATGACTGTATGCTATTACATGTAGCGCATGTAATATACATGTGGAAATTCATGTTGTGCAGTGGGTTCAGAATGGTATGGTGCATTCATGCACAAACCTACCGGGACTAAACATTTCTTAATCCATTGAAACCAAAGTCAGGCTACAGTGTGCAAAAATCCATTCTCTACCAAATACAAATCTTTAATATGGAATGGGTTAATATTATTTCTTGAGAAAAATAATAACAGCAAATATGCTTTTTAAAATATTTTCTCACCTGAAGAGGGCCATGCTGAGTATTGTAAATGCAAGCGTGAATATTGAAATCATAATTGGCAAAATTTCAAATTGTTAAGTCCATTCTTACTATTAGTATTTATAGTAAAGTTAAAGTCTGTACCTGAAGGCATGCAGTTCATGTGTACTGTTTTCAAAAAAGGGTCTACATGTATACAGTATATGCATGCAGTTTCCACCTTTATTTAGAATGGACAAGTCTGTGTACATTTTTTGTACATACATAATGTATGTACAGGTATGTACATTATAATATAACCAAAAAAATGTTTTAATCATTTAAATGGAGCATATATTACACATGCAGAGGAACTAGTAAAGACTGCTCAGTGGCCCTTTTTTCGCGCAAATGGTTTTTCTTTACAGGTTCCATACAATTTTTGATGAGAACTATGGCCAGGGGATATGAAAAATTTAGTCTATTGAGACAGGTTTTCTTTCTATTTGGCAAAGCAGGTTTGACTGTATGACGGTCACCACCATACTGTACATACATGCACACAAATCATAGACAGCAAGGGGAAGGATCAAAATAGATATTCATTGCAATAACAATAACAAGGTAATAAAATATTTAGTAAAACTTGAATGACTGATATTAGTGTATAAATGAACACAAATTGCGTTATCCAAGCTCTAATCAACAACAAAAATAGCAATTACAGGCCTTTTGTTCGCCATCTGTTGGTAAAAGTAATATTTCATTGTCAGAAATGAGAAAAAAGTGATTTGCTTGTATTTAATTACTCACCTATTGTGTAGCTGAAATCCCCCTTGATTGGTAGTGCACGAACGAGTGTGAGGTCACTACTCTGCTTTATAATGTCAGGTCTGGTGAAAATCAGCAGTCTAGATGGAAAAGAAATAGGACCCAAAAATATATAAATTAATATCAATTAAAAGAAGAAAACAAAACACTTGACAAAATTTGTCATGATGGTTTACCCCCTGGATACTACTGTAATTGTGACTGAGAGTTTCTATAAAGCTTGTTAAAATCATCGTAAGTAGAGAGACAAAAACAAATTAAAAGATTATTTCATCTATATTTGCACATTACATGTACATCAGGGGTGATAGTGAGCACTAAAAAAAAAAAAGTTTTTTTGTTTCCCCCTCAACCACGCCCCCCTCGAGTAAAAAAAAAAAAAGAGGATTCGCGGGGAAAAAATGGCATCTAACAACATTCCCCCCATTCGAGTAAGAAAATTGGGACAAAATCGGGAAAATTGTGAAAAAAATAGGGCAAAATAGGGAAGAATAGAGAAAATAAGAGGGAAATCAGGAAAATCAGGATAAAATATGGAAGAAGGAAGAAAAAATGGTGAAAAAAAAAAAAAATCTGGATTTTTTTTTTTTTTTTTTTTTTTTTTTAATAAATCGGGAAGAAAAAAATAAAATCAGGAAAAAATCGGGAAATTTTTTTTAAAAATCGGAAAACCGATTTAAATCGGGTGTTTATCAGGCCTGGTACATGTACATGTATCTTTTCAAAATGGTTTTGAATAATGTCTTTTCAATTATATGTATGTATCTTCAAACATAGATTTATGATCTTTATTCTCGTTCTGAGATTCACATTCTTGATGACTGTAAAAATGCAGATAATACTAAACAACTTTCCTTTATGTACTGTACATCATATATCAACTCAGACAGCGCTACATACATGTACATGTACTGGCACATAAGAATACATTTGTCAATTTACACTAATAAATGTCTCCCTCTCCACATGTACCGATACAACATCAATAGAATGGCCCACTCTAACCTTGACACAGCATGCTAATACACACAGTACATGTAGTACATGTTCGTATTGACTATGAATTTATACTTGTGCATGAAGTTCATGAACTTACATGTACTGTATGTGTGTTTACATGTACATTTCCTGAAAGGGTCTTTAAGGTTATAAAGGAATCCACTTTCACCCTAATGAAGTGACAGTGAGACCATCAGAAATTGCTTCTATGGTGGGTTTGAAACTTTGTTCCATGGTGAAAATTAACCCCCCCCCCCAAACAACCATAATACAATCCCCCTAACAAAAATAATACCATTAAACTGAAGTATACAGTGCTTTTTCTGTTTGAAGCAAAGGACAGAAAATAATGTACTGTAAACGTACATGTGATTCTTTGTCTCTCAAGTTTTTCTTCACATTCTTCATTTCAATTTCTCTGTTTGTCTGTTTTGTTGTTGTTTTTTGGTTGTATTTTTTAAATTTCCTTTAGAAGTCTCTTTTTTAGCACTAAAAAAGAACAATAATTCAAAGAAGATATCGATATCTACATGTATCTACATGTACCACACAAAAACCACCAGTTGCCAATCAACTCATGTTGCAGAAATGTAGCCAAAATGACAAAGATGTGCCACGCACTGGTGACACGTGATCAACCCCTCTGGCAGGTTGCACATGTGTATTTTTGGACAAATCTCAAGAAGTTGGTTTCCATAAATACACCTCCCACACGATCTTGCGGTTACGATCACGTCAATACATTGGGAGACTCCCACTTGTTGAAGTCGATTGTCGTGAGGGTCAGGATTTCTCTAATTAAGTGCTCAAGAAAAGAGGGTACTGCTTCAACCAAAGATCTACCATCAAAAGTCTTCTTAGAATATCCTTTATGTCTGACTCGTCTCTGTCACACAGTGTAGAATGTCATACAAAATGAACAGTCTCATACATGCACCTGTCTTTGACCCTTTATTTAAAACCAGATCAATTTTGTTTTTAATGAAAAGAAAATTGGGAGAGCACAGTATTTTTCACATTTCTATATGGTTATTTCTTCTTTTGTGTTTGTGTTCGACTTTAACTTTATTACATGTTGTACCTCTTTCACATTACATGTACTGTATGTTGTAATCTTCAATTACAGTGTAGGCTAATTAATTGTTAATTTATGAGCATACATGTACAGTGTACATTGTAGATTTCAGTGTATAAAATGCTGCCTACGACCACAAACAGTACATATTAGACTATTAATTTGGGGGAATGCTAAGCCTGAGAGAAATTTACCTGAATACATTACAGGTTGTAAATGAACATTACTTTTAACCCATCTCTGTCACTGCAAAACATTCCAATATTTTCAATCATTTTTTGGAAGAAAACAAATTATACTTACCCTTGCTCTCCGACTCCTCTTGCTGCAGTTGGGCAATGGACGAGGGCTAGCAACCGCTTGCCCTGTAACCAGTCGGGTACAAGTGTGCCTTCCAAATAGTGCAAAGTTAGTTAGTCAAGGTAATATATTATATCACATAGCTTGAAATAATACATTCTTTTTGAGAGAACTTTAATAAGGCAGTGTTATCAATTTGTACAAATTAAATGTAGTTTTCCTTTAAATTATTGTAAACCTACAGGAAAACTCACATCAGATCTTGCTTTCCGAATTGTCAGTTTTGCTTTCGTTCCATTCAAAACATTCTCAACAAAATGTTCTCATGTAATAATTGCACAGTTCGGAAATTGTACGGTACTTCAAACTTTATGACTCTTCCAATTACAGAACTCTTACAGAAATTGTAGGCAATATCGCATGGAGTGCGCATTGCCTTTTACTATTTTTTTTAAAGGAGTAGTTCTATTGTATCTTTTTTTTTACATTTAGAAATGAAAAAATTAATATGACCATTAAAAAGTACTTTTGAAATGTATTTATATTAAAAAGGACAGTTAATAAATTTACAAGTATTATGTGTCATTAAATTTACAAATGTGCAGGAACCCTTACAATGGCCATAATATGAATATGTTTCATCAATTGTTTGTACTGTCATTACTGTAGGTTACAAAAACTGTGCTGCATACATGTACATGTAATTATTAAACAACATTGCCATTAGATGAACTTTTTGAGTAATGATGTTCTAGCCACACAACCTAAAAGTCTAGTAAAATAGAGTTGCCTACTTTTTCCTCTTTTGAGCAAACAAATGGAGATAATATATCTGTATACTGTACATTTTTTACCAATAATTTGAATAATATGGCCCGAAAATAATTGAAAATCTGAAATAGTTGATTAACATACACTGTACATGCACATTTGAATCAGTGTTTTTTAATCATCTTAGTATCATCTATTAATTTTTATTAGAACAGGGTTGGGTATGAAGCTACATTTATGAACTTAGTTGTACAGTATACATGTATGTAGTTTCAGAATACAATCAAATTGCAATTTGTCAAAAATACCCATAGTCCTTGTCTACAGTATGCAATCAAAACGTCTTATTTCAAGCAGAGTTTGATACAAAACAAAGGTCTACTACTACACAGAGGCCCATAGATTTTCACTCTGGACCTCAAAACTTCATCAGTTCTAAAAAGGATTCAATGCACAGATCCCAAAACAGGATTCTTGAACTCCTGGGACCTTCAAGAAGTAATGAATTATATTCAGAAATGTCTTTTACAAACTACAAAAAGGATTTGATTTTTAATACTGATTTAGGGTAGTTTACATGTCATATACAGTGTATACCAGTATGTAGATATACTGTACATTGTAGATCTAAAAATGATTTAAAAAGGATATGTCTATGCATTGCTCTCCTGCAGCAGTGTTCAGTTTCTCCTGTACAGCTATCTTTATATCCATACTGGAGTTCTTGTCCAAAATGTCACTTTCTAAATCAAGGGAACTAGTGCTTCACAGCCCATCCTCTGATAAACGGATTGGACCAATTCCTTGGTGAGGTCAAAGCAATATCACATTGAATCACAGAGTCTGACCATTGGTGCGCTGCCTGATCCTCAAGGCTTTCGTGATCGCTCCACAATCTGTTATTAAAATGACATCTCTATAACCATCTGAAACACACAGAAAGCAATACTGAATCACTTGTAGAGCACAATGAAGCTCCACTCTAGGTTGTCAAACATGTACGTTAACTCAAAGCAAAAGGGAAAGTACTGTACTTCCTCCTGCTTCTCCTTGTGACAAAGAAAGATGTTAGCTAAAGAGCAGAAGAGGTTAACCATCCCCTGCCAAGTTCCCTTGTTCAGTCTTTAGACTCGAATCAGCATGACTGGATGGTTAGTCACGTGTTGCCCACACAGCTAGCACGAGGGAATGCCTACACCTGTGAAGCCCAGGTGTTATGACCTAGCTATGACTAAACATTCCCACATCCAGCATGAGATGACAGTTAGACGTCCCGACGACGTCAGAAGAACGGGTCCAGTGACACAACGAGCGTATCATACAGTCATTAGCCAGACGGTGAGAAGACTTCCCCTGTGGAAGCTGGTGACATTAATGCTGGGTTGACTTCTGATTCTTAGCAGGATGATGTGAATGATCCTTACACTTCCCAAGTAATCCAAGTGCAAATCCAACTTTAGGCTGTGTTCGCTTTCATACAGTAGTTCCTACACATGTACATTTCTTTTCCTCAGCAAAAGGAAATAGTCAGCCTTGTCTCCAATGACAATGACAATGATGTTGGCTACCTTCCACGATGAAGCTGTCTGAGGAATTGTTGGGGTTCTACTTGTGCTCACTTGGAGTTTGCCTTTAAGAGAGAAACAAAGAAATTATTGAGTATGAATCAATATGTACATTAATATACAGGCTGAAGTTTCATCTTTCTCCCCTCTCTTCTTCCTACATGTATCTCCTGTTTTTTCTCTCCTGATAACTATAGAGGGGGTGGTGGGAAGTTGAAATACACGGCAAACTTCATTATTTAGCACAGGTTCACAAATGCATGCTTTCCTCTTCATCCCATCTGATAGATGTAAGCATACTAGTTGTACTAGTAAAGAAATTCAGATACCAGTTTTAAAAAAAATCATAAAATATGTACTTTCCATTTTCCAAACAATATCAAATTAAATCTACGATTCATTTCAACCTTCAATTTTCATATACATGTATCTTTCTACACTTAATACACGTGTACACATACATGTACATGTACATGTGTACACTGTATCCTCCAAATCTCCTCATATATTTTCAAAGATTCAGTCTCTAGAGAACGTGTTTACACAAGACCTCTGAATAAACAAAACATCTGCAGTGAAACCAGTTATTAAAGTGTACATGTACATGTACACAGAGCTGCCAACATTTGATTTGGGTAATCAGGGAGATTTCTGAGAGAGCAGCATCGAACGACTTCATTGTTGGCGGGAACCAAGAATGGCCTTTTAGTGCCCCTGGTGGGGGGGGGGGGGGGGGCAGGGGGCAGGCCCCCAAAAGCTCTTGGTTTTAAGCCTCTTTGAAACCCTTTTAGAACACATTTTTTCAATGATTTCTCAAAATGGAAGGCTTTGATATGGCACATTTTATTTGCATACAATTGATAACATATGAACTTCACATCATATTTCAGACTATGAACTCCTGTTACCTCTATTGTGAAATGGGGGATGTACTTGTGGAAGGCAAGGACTGGGGTGTGCTTGAGGGTTTTCCTTGAAGTGACTGGTAGGTTGCTTGCTTGAGTTTGCTAAGGAGGTCCTTGCTATACTCCCTTTGGTAGCATGGGACATCTGTGTTGGCAATTTTCTCTGTTAGGAGTGCTTGAAGTGTTTTCAAATTCATTGATCCCCTGAAATCAGTTTTGTTCTTCCTAACAATGCTAAAAACTCTTTCACATGAAGCATTGGAATGTGGTATCACAAGCAAAGATTTCATCACTTTGCTCAGAAGTGTGTATTTCTTTGAGCCATTGCCATCCTCCATCTTTGAAATTGCAGACCATTTCTTGTCTATTCTCAAGTTTTTGTTCAGGATCTCTGGTTCCCCTGAAAAGTCTTCAACCTGGTATTGTGCAAATTCCAGCTCAAGCTTGTCCAGGTCTCCATTCTCTGATTGTCTGTTCAAAATGCAAGGGTACTTTTCAACAAAGTATTGCACAGATGAAAATGACACATCTCTTCTGGAACTGACATCAATCACTTCAGCCTCCTTAAGGAACTTAACATCTAGTGGCCAGGTTTTCAAGGCATAGTCACATGCTGATTCATAATACTTCCTCACCGACAAGTAGAAGTATGTCAAATCAGCATCTGTAAGACGAAGGGGAGAATCATCTTCTGGGCTTGTTGTACTCTCCAGGTATTCCTTGGCATCTTTTCCAATCATTAGATCTTTATCTGACTTCTGGCAATCTCTCTTACCATACTGCACTTTCTTGACATCAGAACATTCAACAATCACTGTTGGCTGCACGAATCTAACAAGCATATCTTGGAAGGTTTTATTAAGCTGCTTATTAAGAATGTGAATGCAGGGTTCTTCTCTCTGTAGGAGTAGGTTGATGTCATCAAAGATCTTGTTACTGTATTTGAGGAAGTAACAATACAGTTTGGTTTGGGGTGATATCAGCAAACGATGGACTCTGACCAGACGTGATTCCTGAAGAATTGGTGCAGCTTGCAGTCAAGGTTCCAGCTTTCAGAACAGGTCGCTTGGCAGGTAATGCACCCTGAGGCCCGCTTGATTTCCTTTTCAAAGTCCTTGAAACCGATGAGTATTGCTTTGATGTAGCTGTCAACGAGCTGGTTGATGTAATGGATGTCTTGGCAGTCTTCTCAACGTCAACGTGCAGATTAGTATTTCAAATAAAAACATAAAATCGTGAGAAAATCCACCCTTCAAGTCCCGCACACGTGTTTATGAGTAAGTCTAAGTTTTAGGGAGATTAATGAGGTCCCCAACTACTGACGAAATGAACTCAGGTCTATGGTATAGAGGGGTAGACTATTTCTCGATTTTACAAATCTAAGAACTGTTCATACTAACCTGAAAAAGCTCTGTATTCCTTTTGTATTGCCCCTTGCTTTCGCGGTTTGCTTGTGTTTGTCAGATGTGATGTGGCGAAATACATCATTTCTTCCCCCACTCTTGATGGAGATATCTGCGCCGCAAACTGTACAAAATGCGTAGTATTCGCCTTTCGTAGATTTCCCAACACAAGGCCATTCCAAGTGGTAGTCATCTTTATATTTCTGATAATATTTCGACTTCGACATTGTCCTGGATGATATTTTAATACTCAAACAGAGAGCAAAATACAGCCTTGTTTTGGACAAAGTTGACTTACGCCTTCGGAAGATGCAAGTTATATCGATGCGTTCCCAACGGCAAAGGAGATCAGAAAAAAAAAGTCGGCTTCAAAATCCACTCTGCAGTAACACTGCCATGTTGGTATCAAATGATAATCCACTTAAAAATCACATCGCAAAAGTCCCCAAATCAATCCAAAAACTGATGTTGAAATGTGCAGTTTTTTGGGCCGATCGCAGCAGACAAAGTCTGCTTGTTGTATCAGTGCAACTTCTGGCTGCTCTGACGCGACCGATCGGAAACCGGCACCAACGTACCGGGACGCTACGGGGGCCGGCGAGGAAGCCGCCCGGCAGAGCAAGCAGGCGAATTGCTATCACACAAACACCACTCACATTATCACATGTTCCCAATGGTTTGTTAGATTAGCCCGCCAGTCGTTCGGCGTAACTCTCATTTATTACGCTGTTAAATAAAGTACGATATCACGGTAAATTTATATTCGACGACTGGATAACAGGAAAATTCATATTACAGAATTGCCGTGTGTTTGTATACGTACGTACGAACTCAACATGCTAGTCTTGTGAAACAGTCGTTTATGAAAATAATACAACTTAAAATCTGGAAATCCGGGAGATTTTTGCATGGGGTCGGGAAAACGGGATATTGGGTCAAAATCCGGGAGTCTCCCGCAGGATCCGGGAGACTTGGCAGCTCTGATGTACATGTACATGCATCCGTGTTACTTCCTTGGGTTTCTAAATATCTTTTATCACTGCTCCAGGATATAATATCAAACTAAATAACCACTTTAGAAATTGATCCGGGAATGCCTCCCCCACAAATTTCCACCATGATCAAAACTTGACTTTCACTGTGAATAATTTGGTAAATGAACACTAAATTGCTCCTAAAACCACCTAAAGATTGTTTCTCTGACATTTTTTCTCACTAACACTAACATGTACATACTTAGTTTTGAAGCCAACTTGAAAAAAAAAGTACTTGGGTATTGGGAGGGCCCATATAAAAAAGAGTGTATTTGAATGCCATTCGTATACATGTATATTTCACATTGAAATCAAATCTGATATTACTTGAAACATACAGGTCAATAGCTCAAGCATGAATTATTATAAATGAAGTTCCTGTCCAAACATTTTCGATCAAAACACAAAATGAGGCCCAACTTTTTTCTAGCTTGCTTTGTTCCCTCGAAAAAAAGCTATGTATGAAGTCATTTATGCTGCTGCTAAGCAATTGATTTAATATACAAGGTATGAAAAGTAGATTAATGGAACAGTGGTTGCCCTACATGCAGTGCCCCGCCCCCACACCTATCACAAAAGCCAATGTCTACCGGTAGATAGTTCCACCACTGTTTGAATCTGACAGTGGACCTTACATGTAGATTCTGGGTCATTCCATGTCAAATCACCCAATGGTTTTAACCCGACCATTTTTGATTTTGATGAAACTTAGTGTACTTGTTGAGTGTGATCTCACAGCACCAAATCCCAAATTTTAGGTCAATCGGGTGAGGGGTTTGGGAGATACGGCCCACCAAATTTTCAGATTTTTTCAAAAATGGGGGTGGCAGGCCTACCTTTGAACCCTTGTATCTCGAGACCTAATGGGTCAATCTTCACAAAATTTGTATTGTTGGAAAGGGAATTCAATAAGGATTCCAAATCTGCCGCCATTTTGAAGATTCGTACATGTTGGGGTACTTTGACCGCTTGACCTCAGATTTGACCTTGAAATTGACCTTGTGGATCACGTAACTTTGACAACATTTTTCATGAAATGTAATCTCTGACATGTTCACTAAAACATATAAAAGTTTCAGAGATATAATATTTTTTGTTTAGGAGCAATAAGGATTGAAAGTATCCATGCTCACAGATATTCACAATAAACCCTATTATAATGTATACAATACATGTACATGCAATATGCACAGTACAACATACATCTTCCACATGTTTTTTTGTTTTAGGCATATCCATCCTAAATGTCAGTAGTACTTGAATAGAAATAAAATGACAAGTTCATGTAGGCCTAAAGGGTTAACAGGATGTATGGCTTTAGGCCTCTGAGTCGGTTCTAGGATAATTACCCCCCTGGAAAATTAACCCTCAGGAAATGTCCCCCCCCCCCGAGGACAATTACCCCCCAAGGACTATCACACCCAGAGGATTATTACCCCCCAGAAAATTACCTCCTAGGACAATCTGTCCCCGCCCCCCAAGGACAATTAACCCCCGGACAATTTCCCCCTAGGACAATTACCCCCCCCCCCCCCAGGAAAATTACCCCTCAAGAATATTATACCCCCCCCCCCCAAAAAAAAAAAAAATCTGCTTTGATTAAAACCACTTTATTATCAGGATGGACTTCCCCTTTAACAAATAGGGGGGGGGGGGGTAATTGTCCTCTGGGGGTAATTGTCCTTAGAGGGTAGTTTTCCGGGGGGGGGGGGGAATTTTCCTAGAACTGACTCGGAGGTCTAAAGCCATACATCCTGTTAACCCTTTAGGCCTATATGAACTTGTCATTTTATTTCTATTCAAGTACTGCTGACATTTAGGATGGATATGACTAAAACAAAAAAGCATGTGGAAGATGTATGTTGTACTGTGCATATTGCATGTATTGTACATGTACATGTATACATTATAATAGGGCTTATTGTGAATATCTGTGAGCATGGATACTTTCAATCCTTATTGCTCCAAAACAAAAAATATTATATCTCTGAAACTTTTATATGTTTTAGTGAACATGTCAGAGATTACATTTCATGAAAAATGTTGTCAAAGTTACGTGATCCACAAGGTCAATTTCAAGGTCAAATCTGAGGTCAAGAGGTCAAAGTACCCCAACATGTACGAATCTTCAAAATGGCGGCAGATTTGGAATCCTTATTGAATACCCTTTCCAACAATACAAATTTCGAGAAGATTGACCCATTAGATCCCGAGATACAAGGGTTCAAAGGTAGGCCTGCCACCCCCATTTTTGAAAAAATCTCAAAATTTGGTGGGCCGTAGCTCCCAAACCCCTCACCCGATTGACCTAAAATTTGGGATTTGGTGCTGTGAGATCACACTCAACAAGTTCACCAAGTTTCATCAAAATAAAAATGGTCGGGTTAAGATTTTCAGATTTTTTGGGTGATTTGACATGGAATGACCCTTCTATGGTCTGATCTGGCCAGGGTTAAGAGGTCAAGCACGTCAGGGAGATAGGAGTGATCACATGAAGCTACTATACACTGTAATGCAGTGTACAACAGGCTACTGGGGAACTGTGATCTAAATGTAACTCAAACACATACCAAAATTCTATTTAATTTATACACATACTATATTATAGAAGGGCATTAAACTGAGATGGATTCCCTTTTCCTGCATTATTTTTCTGACACGCATCAGTTTTGTAACTTCCTCAAGACCTTTAAAGTGTTTTCTTATGTTTTTTTAATTGTATAATGAATATTTGTCAATGCAAATTTCACTGGTAAAATGTTTAGAATTCTGCTGTGACATACATGACCTTTGTTATTCTTTTAAAAACTGGAAAAAGAATTTATGTTATGATGACAGCTCAAAACAAATCTTATGAAATAGATAAACAAACATTGAGCAAAATGGACAAATAATACCATAGAAACTTAGAAAGCATACAGTGTATTAGGTTAAGGATAACATTAAATTTTATTGTGTTTGCAAGAGTCTCAAAGATCAAACTTGGGTAAAAGCCAACATATACAATTATAAATGAGTCCTAGATGGCGATATAACATTACACACTTCCTTGTTATGCATGAAACATTAAAGTAAACACTAGAATATCTACATGTTCAGTAATATTTCTCTGAAATAAAGGGGAAAAAGGAAGAAAAACCTACATGCTAGATAACTCAAATGCTTATTTCCTTGATCATATTCCTCTCAAAGAAAACAAAACGTGACAACATGAAATGAGATGTACATGTATTCAGATTTCATAGTATACTGATAGGACTACTATTATACATTTTAATATTTTTGTCATCATGTTTCTTGTAGTAATCAGCCATATAATGTGCATGTTAACAAAATGTTAATACACTCTTTCACAGTTACAAGAGTGTGCATGCCTAGACATAGGCGTCATTTTAAATTACGAGTATTACAAAGATGTTTACTCGTAATTTGAAATGGCGCCCATGTCGATATGATGTGAGCGCACAACGCAAGCAGTGCCTAGATGCAACAATAAATACGCATCTAAAAAACTTGGAGGCGCAATGTTTATGCGCAAATTAAAATGGCGGCCTTATCCATGAAAGGGTATTAGGTTAAAAAAATGATTAGTTATTAATTAAAAAGTGTATGAGTCTGACAATCAGAAAAATGGTTAGAAAATATTTAACTATTTAAATGTTATAGATGAGTATTATTCAACAATTATTTGATATAACAGTAGTTGTTTTGTTAACTAGAATTAACAATATGAAGATAATGTTTTGATTTTGTATATTCTTTTGATACAATGTACCGGTATGTATAATTTGTAAACTGAATTAAATGAGTCTCCGGACATTTTATTCAGCATGCTGTTTGTATACAATAAACCAGAATTGAATTGAATTAAATTGAATTCAATTGAATAGACATTGCAGTGCTACACAATACAAATTTGGAACATGTGTACTTTGGTACAAGACCAGTAGATTTTATAGATTTAGACTACATGTATACTCAGATGTTGTTTGGCCTGGACAGTTGCTTTAAAAACAGCAATTTGAAGAAGTTTACAAGCAAAATTTTATAAATCTTTTAAAGCTTATCTGCCATAGTTTACAGGAGGGATTAGACCGCCCTACAAGGTCACTGGACAGGTGGTTATCTCATCAACTCAGCTCTCAGTTAACATAAGAAAAAGAGGATCATGGGGGACCAATGGTCACCGATTAGGCATTGTTTGTTGTATAGAGGGCGCAAGTAGCTACAAGTGGTGCAGTGGGCCTTGAAGTCTTACGTTGGACAATATTATAAAGGACAAATATTCATGATGATTAGTGCTATTTGATGAATACTTTTCGTTAAATCCGAAAGCAAAAGAGAAGTCTTTGTTTGTTAAGTGTCCGGACACCCGATCCTTTGTCATGCATGTACCCTTTTATAATTACCCTGACATACATGTACATGTACAAAAAGTGTTTTGAAGGGTGCAAAACTTTGTGACGACTTCTGTTGCATTATTCAGATATATAGGCCTTAAATGTTAATTGTAAAACAGCAATTTGTGTAGAGCCTGAATGTGCAGTGTATTTAAAACCAAAGCAACCTCAAAAATAGGTTTTACAGAATTTTTTAATTTGCTGTCCTCAACACATTCATGACACAAGTGTCAAGTCTAAAGACAAAAAATATGGACGACAATAGTATACAAAGCTAATTTGCATTTATAAAAAATGAAAAAATGAGTCCCCCCCCCCCCCCAAAAAAAAGAGAAAGAAGAAAGGAAGAGGACGTAGGGGGAAAAAGGATTAAGAGTCGAGAACGGTACAATGAATCGTCTCCTTTCTCTAATAATTTAATGAAACGTCAAAGGGAGGGGGAAACAGAATTCAGAACAAGGATTAAGAGTCGAGAATGGTACAATGAATCGTCTTCTTTCTTTAACAATTAAATGAAACGTCAGAGCTTCCGCGCTAGGCGCGGAGGAAGGAAAACTTAATTCAAACAAGGATTAAGAGTCGAGAACGGTACAACGAATCGTCTTCTTTTTCTAATAATTTAATGAAACGTCCAAGCTTCCACACTTCGCAAGGGAGGGGGAAAACTCTCCCCTCCCTGCACCCACCCCTCTAGGGAGCGCGCTTTGCGTTCTGTAAGTGATTCGCACACTTTACGTGCTCACTACCGCCCCCCCCCCCCCTAAAATAAAATCCTGGCTAAGCGCTTGCTCTCTCTCGTTGATCAAGAATGATTTGAGCAATAATTAAAGGGTCTTTTTTTTCTTCATAGGGGTAGACTAGGCCTTACAAGTAACATTAGCATAGGCCATGATCTCCCAGCTCCCCAATCACACTAGCTCAGTCGCTGCACAGCTAATACTATACAAATGTACATGTACAAGATGTAGCTAGCGCTAGCAGCTGCAGCGAAGCCATCGGCACCTTCTCTCGTTGACAGCCCACACGGAAGGCTCGGCGATCGTGGAGTGATGATCTCTCCCCATTTCCTCCTTCCTTCCGTAACGTAAATATGATTAATATGAGTTTGAAAAGTGCAAATTACATCGGTAAACCGTTCACAATTAACATGCCACACTTAAGTTCTTAATTATATATAAATCACATAATATCGAATGAAAAAATAGGATAACCTCACCCTTCTTTTACGTCGTAACTGCCAGAGTCCGAGTAGGCAAATTTCAAGCAGCTGACGTGTCCTTTATCACACTGCATTTCACAAACGTACTCCGTCGCAATACATTCATTTTTTCTTCTATAGTACGTGCAAGTAATATTTCTTTTTTTGTTGTTAATCACAATCGCAAATTAAAGGCAGGCTTTACTACTTCAGCCAGAAGGGATTAGACCGCCCAGCTAGCCAGCGAGGTCACTGTGACAGGTGGCTATCTCATTAACTCAGCTCTCATTTAACATAAGAAACAGAGGATCATGGGGGACCAACAGGCACCGATTGGGGAAGTTTTCTATACAGAGGGAGCAAGTAACTACAAGTAGGACAGTGTGCCTTTAAGTGATAACCGGTGGCTAACAGAAGCAGCAGCAGCAAATGATAATTATGACAATAGACTAGAGAGAGAGAGAGAGAGAGAGTTAGAGTTTGCATAGTCCTGGAATCATAGGACTGCTAAAATCGTTGGTTAAGTTTTAGCTTGATCTCTTCAAATCCTTCCGACCCGGCCTTGCAGTTTTTTCTCTCTCCTCCCTACCCCATCCCCTTTTTACTCCCCCTTTCTCACGATTTCTGTAAACAGTGTCATTCATTATCACTCTCTATATATGGATATCATCTAACTCTCTCTTCCAAACTGCCACATAAGCCCCTTTTCTAGTATACAGGGGTATCTCATTTTAGTTGTTCTTACAATTACTCAGAATCGATAAACACTTTGATTTGGGAATGCACACGTCTTTGTAACTTTCCTCATACAGAGCTATCTATAATTGTGCCCAGGTTATTCACTTCACTTTCAAGGGGATAGGAAACACATGACCATTGGCAGAGTGTACTGTGAAATGACCCCATATTTGCAGGGTTTCAAGATAATTTTTGACAACATATAACCCTTTTTTGCCTAATTACTGGCTCAAAATAAACTTTATATAACCCTATAGTATGACCCTTTTTGGGGAGAACTTTCCAGCTCTTTTAAAACAAGTTTTTTTTTTTCCCCTTCATATCAGCAAACATCCCTAAAAATGACCTCCCTCTCCCTTTCATGAAATTTCAAACTATCAAGCTTGCTCGAAGTCAATATAAAGGGATGCCAAACCTATGATGATTTATATAAGAAGATAAAACCATTTTCAGAATACAGCCTTTTCACTTACAAACTCACACCAGACATCATTCAGACATCATTCAATGAGACTCAAATAATGACAAAACACAATTTTGGTGAACTGAGAAATGATTATTTTTCAATGGATGGTGCGATGATGACTATTTCCACATTATTTTATCCGAAATAGGCAGTTCGCAATAAAATACAAAATAATTGAGTTTGCAAAGAACAAAAATCGCAATTGTCAAACTACCATAAATTCTTAATCCTGGATTAGTTAAACTAGAAATTGTTCAATTAATCTTTTTTCTTCCTCTAGCAATTAATAAATAATATTTGGATGTAGAGTCCTTGAAAATAAAAGATAAACATTAATTGAACTTTTAACAAAATAAAACTGGCAAAATTGATTACTTCCAAATCTGACCTCTTAGAGCAAAAGTTTTTTTTTTTTGTAGACCTACACGTACAAAGCAAAAGAGATGGATGTAAGAGGCAAGGGCTCCCTCTTGTGCTTTATTCCATTAGCAAAGTGATCCTCAGATATATTGTGATTTAATACCTTGGTCTGAAACCCTAAATATTCATTGATAGCCTCATTTATTTAAATACATACACTGATGCATTAAACACTGAACACCTAATCCCACCTTGAATTTTCAACACAGCAATCAAGAGTGAAAAGAAATGCCATTTTCATTTTCAGTTAATGTATAAAGCATAACACAATTAATACTTCTGAATTTCACTGTACTCCCTACATGAATTTGGATTTTTTTTTTTATCGCTAGATTTTGAATTAGTAAGTGAGAGAGTATCTATTAATTCAGATGAAATGTACAATTTTGAAAGGTTGAATTCAAAAGACAACAGTCAAGTGTATAACTAGAATTGTTTAAACACAATAGTAATATCATCGTTCATTATAAGTAAATATAACATAATTGTGATTATAACACCAGAACTTAATTAAGTAAAGCAAAGATCCCTAACATGATCACCTAAAATGGTGCCCTAAACAGTTGTATAGAGAGTGTAAGATACAATTGTGAAAGGCAATTAGATAAATTGGAAGCAATTTAAAATCTCTACCGTATGTGAGACATAGAAACTGATTAGCTAGATACACATATCTTCACATACTTCTACCTTCAACATTCCTGCAGTATTAGCAGTGATGATGAAATATAGAAAAGAACATTCTTTACTAACATTCTACTTCATACAAAGAATTTTTTTAAAATAGTAATTAGTATTCACGCTGATCTGTAATATCTTTGTACCACCATGTATATAAAAAAAAATGTTTTGTTTCTTTATGACTCTGTACATAATATCATGTTCTAAATTACAATCTGTAAAATGTTTTCGCATATTCTTGTTGATATCTAAATGTTGACATTGTGTATGTTTTGTTCAAATCTATATCATATTTATCCATCATTTCATCCTTGTCATAGTGCTTTCAGTGTCACCTTGATACAAGAATGAAAAGATAGCAATGTCTTGCTGATAATCAGAGCATCATTTGGTTCCTAAAAACATACAATTTCATTACCATGCAGCAGTTATGAGGAAAAAAAGAAGAAAAGAAAGTGCGTGTCTTTTCACAACCAACACCAACCATTTCTTGTAATTCATTCAAAAAGAAACAAATGCACATTAAACATCATTCTCATCTAATTGGTAGTACTACAGTAACAACATTCCACAAAGTCCTATCTACAAATGATGCTCTGATTAGCATAATTTTTTATGTTAATGTTAACAGTCCGCCTCAGTCGTCCAACGTCATCCATTCACACACAAGGAATTCATCAATTTTGCAACATGTCATCTCACTTATTCATTTTCTCATAACTCTTTACATGTATTCCACTACACATCAACCAGATATCATTATACAAAGTAAAATTATAGTCATTATAATCATTAAAGTCTAAACTGACATTCAAACTGAGTTTTTTCAACACACATACACAGGAGTAGATTATCTTGGAGATAAAATTTGGCAATTTGAAGAAGATGGTATTGCATTATGGAGCGGTTCTCTGCAAGATCTAAACTAGAGCAAATCAAAGCTTCTGCAACACCAACTTCAATCTTAGGCATATATTATTATGATCGGAAGCTAATTGTATCTCCAACATGGGAGTTAAGTTAGAAATGGTTGATTTTATTCCACTGTCAACCTCAGCATTTCCCGCCCCCCCCCCCCCCCAAAAAAAAAAAAAAAAAAAAAAAAAAATCACTGAAAGTTGTCTATATATTTTTAACATTTTTTTTTTAAAGCCTTTCATTACTTTTAGCAAAGAGTAATAAACTAAATTTTGTAATAAAAAAGTAAGAACCAATTTTTACATATCACTGTGTCTTACAATTTGATTCTAGTATGCTTCTTTGTGCATTGCTTGTACATTTTCATACCATGTGTATTTGAAGCAGTGTTGATGCTGGACACAAATGCAATTATGCTGATGAAAGCAGAAGGAAAAAAAATAACCTAGGAAAAAAAAAGACCACTTGGGCGACAACAAAATTTACATGTTTTCAAAAATATTCAAGAACGACATTCATAGGCTTATTCCACAAGATATTGCTCAGAGGTTTCATTACAAATTCATCTTTCAAAGACAAAACATCATTAAAGTATCAAAACATCCATGAGTACACACATTCACTTCAAAGCTTTCAATTTCTTTTTGGAATGATAGAAGGTAGCTACATGTAGAGCATCATAAAACAATCCCAACTAGGAAAAATTGCACTTTGTAAAAAAACACCCCTTGTTTAGTTTCTTTTTTGGTACTGGAATATTCAAGGAGGAAAACCCATTTGTTTGTTTCAATGAGGTAAAATACTTGTAAACTTTATAAATTGCATTTGTAAAAGCTCCATTCATAATAATATTATCAAAAGAGGAAGAAGAAATCGAAACGAGTCTTGTTTTCTTATTAAATGAAAACTAGAAAAGATACATTCGTCAAAAACTGGACTGCATCTTTGATGCTTGGCATTCCAAGATTTGACAAATTTAAGTTAGATCAGTACTATATAGCACCAACATGGGACTATTTCTGCTCTAAACAATTCTGGTAAAATCGATAACAGAGCCAACAGCACTGTATGAAAACACTGCTATGCTTCGACATATGACGTTGGCAGTATATCAAAGAATTCTTGGAATAACGGATACATGGCTGGAAAAAAATGTTTTCTTTTGCATAGATATTAAGGCCATTGGTGTGATTTAATCAAAAGAAAAACTCATTTTACAAAGGTCGTTTGGAGTGGTATAAAATTCACACAAAAATCATTCTCACTGTACTCCATATTTCAATAGTTAGCAAGGAAATTCATTGATTCATAAACATACATCATTATTTGTATAACACACACACACACAGGATTATTTCTCCAACCTCAATTCATACTCAAAATGGTCAAGTCAGGCCAGGTCGGGTTAGGTCAGGTCTAGTCAATCTACACGTCCAAGTCTCAACATTTTCTCAAGTCAGTCCATATATCAGTCTCTTTTGTAATGTGTTTCGTGTACTGTTTTCAATATTTCATGTGCAAAAATATAAACTTTGTAAATAAAAAAAATTCATATGTACATGTTCTGTTTGTGATGTTGTTTTAAATAAAGCTACGATAAAAGAGTTAAACATTCTTGTGCAGAACCATATTTCCAAGGAAACCTTTCTGTGAATTAAAATACCATGATGGAATCCACAAAAGCCCAAACATGAGTGGTTTTAATTAACAAGAGGACAAACCATGTTAGCACCCTTTTTATTCTTCAAGATTACACAAAACTGGTGACAAAAGTGATGGTAATGGAGCAAAATGAATTAAATCCACTATAGTTAGTTGTTCACCAATACAAAACTACACAAATAACCTTCCACAATGTGCAGATAAACCCATCCTCTCATGTCCCTTTTTTATCATATATAACAAAAAAATCAAGTTATTGCTCTTCTTAGGGAATAATAAGTCCAAGTTTCCTTTGGAGATATATCTATTGCTAATATATTCATAAATTAAACAACAAAAATGCATGAATCAATCTCTCAAAGGACTTCAAGTTCATATGGTTCTGCACAAGCACATGCACGAAAATGGGAATTTCGTCCCCCCCCCCCCCCCCCCTTCAATAATGCATGAATCTACAATACATTAATGTGACCTTGATTTTGTTTGACACAGATTGGCAAAAAAGAACATTATGTAGATCCAAGATTCTGTTCAGTGATATTGTACATTAACAAGCTGAAATAGATTATTGAAAGTCATTGGCCATACGCATCATCATTCAAAAATTTGCTGTGCGATGCAGAATTCAACAAATTAAAACAAGAGGTGAATTCTGCCTCCCCCCTCCCACAGCCTTATGGAGTAATACATTAAGTTCCTTAACTTTTAATATAATTGCAAGAAAAGACCTAAAAATATTTATATCAATATATCACCCATATATTGCTTGTGACTACAGTGTCTTCTTTTGGCCCAGGCTCAGAAAAGATGGATCTCTAAAACTTTTTGGAGTTTCCTCAATTAAAGTAAGAATACCTGTCTCAAAAAGTTCTAACAAAGAGAGACGATTTCAAAGGAGACTCAATTCCCATTTCCTTTTCTAAATAATATGTATGATGTACTGATGTATTAGTGTTGGAGGTAGAAGAAAAATGTAAATATGTTGTCTAAACCTGTTAATGTCTTTAAGTACATGTACGCATGTTTAATAAAAAGTGTCACATATATTCTTTTAAAGTCTTGTACAAATATTTCATGTTACATGTAAATAATAAACTTGTCAATATAGTCTTTTCGTTATATTTTGTACATAGTTTTGTATGTATTGCACTTGTATATATTCATGTTCAAGATAATAATGTTTATATATTTTCTCTCACTTTTTGTGAAAAGTGGAAATTTCAGCCTCTCCAAAAGCCTAAATTACAGATAATATATCCCTGCTGTCCACTGCTTCTCCAGTAAAATTCTCAATAATTTCATTATCAATATACATTACAAACAAAAACATTATTTCATATGGAAATGGTTGAAAAATTGCAATTACAAACATTTTTCTTAAACAGCATTATTAAGTCAAATGATAGCATTGTACCTGTGGAGAGGCTGAAAATGTACATGTTAATGTCAATATTTCTTCAATAAAATACACAATAATAAAAAAGGCTTGTTTATGTTGATGTTTTTTGCATCATGTCCTCGATGTTTCGCTTGTATGTTTGCTAATGTGCAAGGACTTTCGTCCATAATGTATGGTTCATGTCAAAATAATTTTGTCTCCATATCACGCACTTATTGTTAACATACACGGTGGATAATTCACAGGGAAATTCCATTAAAAATCATCCTACATTGATCTACTACTAAGTACTAACCAACTACATTATAATCTTCTTTTTTAATAAGAAGTTTTTTAAATCTACAAGTATGGGCTAAAGCTAGTTTCTCGAGAAACAAATTCAACTCGATGAATCAACAAACAGAGTGGAGAAGAGACGTGAAAAATTCGTTGCCGGAATTACCACCAATATTCAGGGTAACGATGCTAAATAATTCCCATCATACTTGAAACATGTAAAACATGCAAGAAGTAGCTGTATTATATAATGCTTATACTCTCTTATCATGATTTCATTCTTCAGAAGAATAATACGTTGAATAAGATTTTAACATTCTCCTACAATTTTTTTTCATTTTCCTGTATTTTTCTTTTTTTTTCTCTTTTTTTTTTGTACACTGTGTATATGTAACATTATCATCCGACTGATTCCCACAGCAGGATTACATAAATCGTCATAATAAGGCAGAGAATCTATTCTTTTTTTTCTTCTTCAAATAAGATCTAGAGGTAAACACACGTGTGAATCTTTGGGAAGCTAACAGGATCTTCCACAAGCCGCCAAGCTTTGTGAAAGTTGAACCATAACCCTGCGAAACAGTCTTAAATAGCACTTGAGAAATATACCTCTGGATTTGCAGCACTTTTCTGACAGAGAATAAGATAATTTTTATATTTTTTCTCTTTTTTTGTTTGTCCCATACCTTATGCATGATATTTACAATGCAGACTGGGAGTAGAGTAAGAGCTACAAACGGAATGACATGCAATGTCAGAAACTGAATCACACATGCTGCAAACAATCATTGTACACAGTGTTGTTTTTTAAAAACAGATTTGCCTCAAACTTGATGTGAAGCGAAATTTAAACACCTTAGATAGACATATTGCTTATAAACTCACTTCTCTTTCAAAGCACAAGGCTTTATATGATATGCAATGGAAGGAAATATGATAAGGAAAGAGAAAGAGGTGACGGACCGAAAGAGAATATTTTCACAAGTTAGTATTGTCTTTCAAATGTCGCTCTCACATCAAACGATTAGATTTAAGATTCCAGCATTTTGAACGGGATTCACTACGCTTCAGAAGCAAGAATCCCTGATATACATTAGACTTTGAAGAGAGGGAAAAGAGAAGAGGGAGAAACTAAAATGGCAATCCCCATGACCGTATATATACACTCATAATCTACAATACACAACAGAGTATGATGAATTTACAAATGACTCTATCATATATTTACAGATGCACATCCTCTATCTTCCTCTTTTTTTTACATTTTCCATGATTTCCATTTTTGTCATCCCACATTCATCAATTTAAATGATCATCTGTAGAAGGTTACACCCTAGCGGGAATTTATGGATAAAAGCATCAGGCTTTTTGTGTCACAAGATTTCATTTTTACATACATGTGTATTGCAATTTTGAATCCTGATGGTCTGGTTATTATCTTGCCTGTTCGATTCTCACTGGTCATGAACAATTGAGATCATCCTTATTAAATGATTGAAGTGACGCCATTTAAAAAGCACAGTATTTCTCAAGAAAGGTGCATCTCCTTCCCCCTTTTCTGACAAAGTACAGACACATTGAAATCTATACTTTTTCGCTGCATTGATCAGGGTGAATTCTATCGCAAATTCAACCCTTCATAGTAATTGCAATTTTTAAATGCAAATTTAAAGCTATATCCAAAAGGGAACGAATTGAATTGAATTGAATCTCTTGTCGAAACAGGAGTTGCACTCATTAATCATGAACTAGCATTAGTTGGTTATAGTGACATCAGGTATTTTAAAAGTCTATTTTCTCACTTCTGACAAATTTGTTTTTGGCTACTCATGAGTTGAAGTTCATACCTTGCTCATCGAAGGAACCATGTTAACTTAGTTTGTATGACAATTGCTATATATCGATTACACAAACTCATACTACAAATGAGTAACAGTAGTGTTATGGCTAACCCCATCACCCACCAACGAGAAGGCTACAATCAGTGCCTCTCTATCGAATAATACAACATCACCCCCAGCTTGTTATAATCTGTATACACCTTAGATTCTATTAGTTAACTCACTGCACCTTCAAAGGTGGATAAAACTTCACCCCCGGATAGGTATTATGACCGTCGGTCTAGAACTCAAAGCCTTGGACGTTGTCCTGGGGGTTAAAGTTGAACTGCTGGGCATCTGCGTTGACCCCTGGGGCCAGCTTCTCATCCTCCTCGTCAGCGCTGAAGTAGTGCTCGATGATCTCGAAGGCTCGTTGGTAAATCTCCTGGTTTTCGTGGCTCTGGAGAAACTCAATTTTGTCGAGACCTAAGACAAGCATTAAAGCAGAGTGTGCATGTTAATAGCACAATTCTAAGACATACAGATTCAAGTTCAGAGATCCTTAAAAAACATTTAGTACACCTTGATGAAAGTGCAGGGTCCTCATCAGTACTACAAGTACTACCAAGGATGAATTCTCCCCAATATGGAATCAATGATAATAATAGATAATGATAATAATAGACAATGATAATAATGATAATGATAATAGATAATGATAATAATGATAATGGTAATAGATGCAGGTATTGTCCTCCTAAACCGATTCTAAAGCACAGGCTCCAGCAACAATTGTTCCAAGGTCAATTTCTAACACTGTACACATTCCTATCTTCAAACCTAGACCTAAAACTACCGTACTTAATGGCAATCTGATCCCTAGCCCTTTTTTTTTGGACAATAGTAACCCTATAGCAAACATTGCCAGAGCATGTGTTAGATCACCAATCATTCCATCTATCTATTGCAAGGCAAATTATCTACATTTACACCTGGAACTTAACTATGGCAAGCCATTCATACCACTGGTTGCTCTCACCACTGTTCCCTCAATTATGATCTTTAGATAATATTTTTTCCTTCAATAATAAACTATCAACAAATGTAAATTTTGTAGATTTGTGACCAGGAATGGTACATCCCTTGAGAACCAATGCCAGGAATTTTTTAGAGGAACTAGTGGCATGAACAGCTTGCCATGGTTAAGTCAAACTTCAAGTCGATCTTAGTCTTTGTGAAACACCCCCCAGGCATGAATAAATTTCTGCAGAGAATCCTGGCCAGGCATATCTTACCTCCGCACTCCTCCACCATGAGGGCATATCTGTTGGGTGTCCCTGAGGCCTTGGCATCGGTCTGACCTAGCTTGAGGACGTTGTCCAGTCCATTGAGGGCCACCTGGACGATCTTGTTGTCCATCACGGTCAGGAGGTCACACAAAGGCTTGATGCAACCCTGGTCAACAATGAAACTGGGGAAGAAAAAAAATTAGTTATTTGGCTTTGATGCATTTTTCTTACATATTCAGTGATGGCAGAGCTGCCAACCTCTAGAACAGAAAATCAGTAATCACAAGGCTCAAAATCAGTAATTTCCTATTTCCTATTTTTTTTTTTTTTGTAATCCGTACTTTTAGACAACATTCCTTACTGCCATAATGATCATTAATTCTGTACCAAATACAAGAAACCTGTACTAGTTAGCATCTATGTGATAGCAGTTACCCTTCCAAGGACATTACTGGGCATCTTGTGAGTACATAATGCTTGTGATTGATACCACAAGTGAGAATTGATAAAGGAGATACACCAAAGGCAAGTCTCCCTTAGGAAGCATTACTACTTTATCAAGAATGCACTTCATCTTAAATACTGCTTCTATAGTCTTCCCAAACTACTGCTCTCCTCCAACTACTAAGCTCCGAGTTCAATTTCCTAAAAGGACAAAAATAAGGGAATCAAATGGAAATATCGGAGGGGTCGATATTTTGTCTTATATACCTCACTTAAGAAATCCAGCCATCTGATTGGTCGAATTGCATTCATAAACTTCAACTGTTCCTGTAAAATTCTCGGTAACCATGCATAAAACATTTCACTATTTTTAATAACCATGGTTATTAAAAAAATAGTTCAGTCTCCATGGTTACCCCATAGGTTTACATGTTAAAAAATGGTTTGAGCGATGGAGGATACCATATGTGTGCGAAGAAATGGTCGCTACATTTGACCAATTTTGTAATACAACTAGCAGCTAACTCGCCCCACGAGACATCTCGCCCCAGCATCAAAGACTGGGTCGAAATGTTCCGACACGATTCATCGATCGAGAGATACCAATGTGTATATGTTTGTGCTCATTGTACATTTTAGACGATATGGCTGATATTTGTTCACATTCTTTCGTCCTGGCCGTTAATTAGCAGACTACTGGTATCTCTCGATCGATAAATCATGTCGGGATATCTCGCTGGGGCGAGATGTCCCGTGGGGCGAGTTAGCCCGACTCCCTTGTGAATTTGTAGCATTGTTGTGCCAGTGATCGTGATCGAGTGCAGCGCAGACGACCGACTGTACTACTAGGCCAAAATGGCGGAATTAATAGAAACGCTCCCAAGATTTCAGCTTCTTGATGATGATCAAATGAGAGACTTGATTGATTCTGCTGACAGCAAGAACACGAAAAATTCCGTTAAATGCTCCATGAAAATATTCGAAGACTTCCTGCAAGTTATCAAGACAGACCTCGATAGCGTAAACAAGCTTTCAAATTCGGAGCTGGACAATGTACTGCAAAAGTTTTACGCTGGTGCCAGACGGAAGAACGGAAGTTATTACATGAAGAAGTCAATGTTAGCTATTAGATTCGGACTTCAGCGTCATTTCCTCAACTGTAATAAGATAGATATCATCAAGCATGAAGATTTTTCCAACTCGACGAGAGTTTTTAAGTGTTTTTCAGCAATGCTTAAACAGGAAGGAAAGGGAGTTGTAACTCACAAACCAGCTATCTCAGCAGAAGACATGGACAAAATCCAAGGTTCTCTTGATTTGGATGATCCTGTGGGTCTTCAGGACAAGGTATTTATGGATGTAATGTTGTACTTTTGCAATCGGGGTAGAGAGAATTTGCGTGAAATGACACTTGACAGCTTTGACATTTGTGATGAAGGGGGAAAATGCTCCATAACTCTGAAAGATACACTCACAAAAAACAACAGGGCAGATAAACTAGAGAAAAGCCAAGGTGGTGTCATGATTCCAACTAATGGTCCACGATGTCCTGTTGCCTCCTTCTTACGCTACAAAGATAAATTGAATCCACAATGTAAGAGTTTTTGGCAGAGACCGGCAAATGCACGTGCACAGGCCAAGCGTGAGTTCAAATCCAATCCATCTTCTTTTGATCAATGGTACTGTAATGCACCCCTAGGGAAAAACAGCATCGGAGACAAGATGAAAACAATTTCATCTCGTGCAGGTACCAAGGCTTACACCAACCATTGCCTAAGGGCAACCAGCATCAGTACCCTACAAAATGCTGGGTTCAGAGACAGAGAAATAATGAGTGTCTCCGGACACAAGGCGGAGACCAGTCTGAAACACTATGCTATGACCAGCAGTACAGCCAAAGAAAACATGAGTCATGCTATCGCGGCAGCCGTTGATCCGAAATCAGTACCATCCTCATCAAACATAGACCTAGGTCATGGTATCGCGGCAGCTGTTGATCCGAAATCAGTACCATCGTCATCAACATCTACTGGTGGTCAGCGTAGTGAAAGCCAGGAACTGCGGGAACTAAATGACATTTTCAATGAGATCACAAATAACCCAGAGAACTTCCCACGCACATGCAACATCACCACAAGTAGCCATGTAGCCACTAGTCAGCAGGTGCAAGCCCCCACGTATAATTTTCACAATTGTACGGTAAACATTTTGAACAAATAGAGTTATTTTCTACGGTTGAGTTATTTTCTACGGTTCTACGGTTGAGTTATTTTCTACGGTTCTACGGTTGAGTTATTTTCTACGGTTCTACGGTTGAGTTATTTTCTACGGTTCTACGGTTGAGTTATTTTCTACGGTTCTACAGTTGAGTTATTTCTACGGAGTTCTGAGTTCCTGTTCTGAGTACCTGTTCTACCAGTTGATTGGTAAGTTGACTCTTCAGTATATAAAAGTATTAATGACTGCTTTGATATTCGAGAAATAGTTGTTTTTTATACGCTCTCGGGAAGGTTACAATTGTGCTATTGCCCTCGGCACGCCTCGGGCAATAGCACAATTGTAACCTTCCCTTGAGCGTATAAAAACAACTATTTCTCTCAAAGCAGTCATTAATACTATAATATTGATGAGACTATTTCCTGTTTTGACTTCGAAATAACATCAAATATCATCACTAAAATTATTCATGAATGAAACCCACTTTGAAATTATTGTTTGCAAGAATGAATACATATCACATAGCTAATGCAGAAGAGATGTATCCTTTTGCAATGTCTGCTCAGAATTCTAATGTCGGTGCTCCGACAGACAATGATCATTACCTGATTTGTTCGGGGCGACCGCCTGAAGTAGCATTGGTGATGGCCCAGGCGGCTTCCTTCCTAGTCTTGAATTCAGCCTTACCCAAGATGTCTATCAACGTTGGGATGATGTTAGCATCAATCACAGCCTGTTTAATAGGAGGATACAAAAATTAATGTCCATTAGTCTTGTGATGACACTAATAAAGAGATGAAGAGAATCTAATAAAGGGAGATTGACTTGGTCTAGCAACATGTTCACTTGGACAGCTCTCGGCCTTCCCCTACAAACTGGCTCAAGCGACCGTGGTTCAAAGGTTGAAGCTAAAAATTTGGTTCGAACGCAAAATGAGAAAAAGAGAGAAGCTGAAAATTGAAAGCTGAAGGAGAATGCAATACAGGATAGGAAAATTGTTACGTTTGAACAGTGAAATCAATTTTTTTTTTTTTTTAAATAGAAAAATAAATAAACATAGAGAAACATGATTATTGTCAAAACAAACTAATTCTTAGCTATGTGGTACATCCTTCACATTCACTTACTTGTATCTGGGCACGGTTGCCGGCGGTGATGTTGGATATCGTCCAGCAGGCCTCCTTTCGGATGGATTCCTTGGAGCTACTTAGCAGGCTTAGAAGGCAGGGAAGGGCTGAACAATTTAAGACAACCTGCAGCAAATATAATCCACAATAATAGTTTCATTTACAGAGCATATTGGTTAACTCTGCATAAGTTAAATCTGTTGGGAACAAAAAAATACTTATGCAAAGTTCGACTTAGGAAGTGTAAATCACATGTCTTGCTTAATTTGGTCCAAAAAGTAGATTTGACTGAGAGAAAATTTGACTTGTGCGACCTTAAGTTATACAGAGTCTAATAACAGAATCATCCATTTTGTGATTTAATAAACGTGTCATGTTTATACAAATTTTGCCTTTACATATTTCACACGGATTTGGAATGTTGTAATATGTGCTACTTCTGCTCTAAGATTATGATAAAGGTGATGTTTTCTTTTTCTTTAATATAACTTTCAATTCTATTAATCCATTGCCAACGTGAACCAGGTAGCTCCTGTATTGAGTCTAAGTGAATAAGAAAATTCAGTAGTCAACGGGTTAACTGACCTGTGTTTGGACATCGTCACCAGTGACAATGTTACCTACAGCTCTCAGGGCAGCTGATACCACACTATTGGAAGAATGCCTGCAAGAGGATTGAATGAGATCATATGTATTATTCACTTGGTATTTCACTCTGCATATTAAATACAGAGGCTTGTAAACTACTCAATTTAAACCCGATGCTGGGATTAATCTTTGTTCAAATTTGTGTTTTCCAAAGAGACTTTAAAGGTCTGAGGTCTTAGGTTTCTTTTCATTAATGCAATCTTAGACCCAGCATCGAGTTTAACTGAATTAGTAGAATACTGACCTCACTGTCTCATTTACATTAAAAACATACAGGGATTTGAGTAAATAAACTTCAAACAAAATACAATTGGATGAACTGTGGCTGGTTGCACATTGCTATCAAAAATGTTTGTTTACATACTTCAAGAAATATGTGAAGGCTAGAGACAGAGACTGCAATATCAAAAAAGAGCCGGGTCTGGAATAAATTATTGATTAACAAAATGTACACTAAACTTTCAAGTAAAAACCCTAGGTCAAAAGGCTAGTAAACCTAAGTCTTTGACAATTTTTTATGAGGCAAAGCATGCAGAAAGAAAATTCAGTATGTAAGAACTCTTCAGAAATTAACTCACTTTTAATGCATTGTACAAAATTGTAGCAAAGCTAGTGACCCTAGCATTTAGTCCAACTTACATGAGTAGTTCTACGAGTCTGCGGCAGACACCACTGTCAATGACAGCCTGGATCTTTTCATTAGGTCCATCCGATAGATAGGACAGTGCCCAGCAGGCGTCGGCTAGAACATCTTGATCGCTACTGAACAGGAGACGGGATAACACTGGTAGACAAGGAGACACCTGAAGGACAGATGGTCAAGAAAGGTTTCATAAGAAAGAGCCCAGCTGGCATGAGTTACAATGTCTTGATTGCTACTGGACAGGGGACGGTACAACACTGGTAAACAAGAACATGAAGTCTCCTTGATAATAGAAAATATGAATGATTTGAATCAACATTTTATGCCTTTTGAAATAACTTTTACAAAACATCTTCAAAGATGCTAGAGGCTATCCATAATTGTTAAGTCCAATTTAGAGATAAGTTCAACTTTAAGATCTTTGTGAAACACCCCTCCCCCCTGATATGGTAATGCCTTCGATGAACTTACTTGCTTGAAATCTGGAGGGGGCTCTTTCCTCTGCACAGATTGGACAGGGCCCAGACAGCATTCCTAGTCATTGAAAGCCTATTGGATTTTGAAAGTACCCTGCAGGGAAAGAAGTAAATTTAATTGGACGAATGACAATATTATTCCCCCAAAAGACCATACATGTACACCCTTTTACGGTTAAGGTTGCCATTTTAATTTGTGAGTAAACATTGCGTCATCAATGTTTTCAGATGCGCATATATTGTTTCGTCCCTGCCTGCACTGTGCCTAGCTCACATCATATTGACATGGGCGCCACTTTAAATTACAAGTAAACAACTTTGTTTACTCGTAATTTAATGTCAGCACATGCGCACTCTTTTAACCGTGAAAGGGTGTATTCTTTTTACAAGCATGGTGAAAATTAATACTGATCACCTCCCCCTCCCGCTCAAAAGAAAAGGAAGAAGAAAAAAAAAGAAGTGTTCTTGATTTCTAATCGCCTCTTGCCCCCAAATTCTGGTATGTCACTGGTATAGACCAACTCACGATTACCACATGTCCCAAATTACCCCGAAAATCCACAGATCTTCAAAACAAAAGGAGATCCCACTTTGACACTTTGAAATAATCACTCCTACAGCGATGGAGGTGCTACATAAATAGCCTTTGTTTCCCCTTTTCAAAGAATACTTCCACCTGTGTATCATGGAGTGCACTGCTTGTGAATAAATGAATAATGATTAACGTACATGTAACTTTAATGAGCACATCCAGTATTTCGTCTCCGTGTATTTCACAATTTGGTCTGCAATGACCTTTATCTACTCATGCTCAGACTGCACTATGAACTGGCTTATAAGGGACAATGTAAATATTTGATTATATAAAGCTTAACAAAGCTGTCATCTGAGTCTTAGGAAGGATCATAGCCCATAAACTATAAGACTTACGCTAGTAGATGGACGAGGATACCGCAGTTCAGGACACGATCCCTGCATTCTGCACTGTCTCCTGCAATGTTACCTAGAGCCCATACAGCCTAGAAAGACAAAGACAGAGACGGGGAATTAAATTGCATGATAATAATATTAATAATAATCATTTAAAATCCACTCCAAATTTTATTAAATTAAACCGAAAATTGAAATTCTTTTTGCCCCCTTGATCGTGAGCCCGGCAGCCACTGAGCAGCACCAGATCGACAAAGTGACACCCAGTATTTCTATTAAAATATTTGTATATCAAGACCACTACACGATACAGCAAAGAGTAGAGCAGGTCATTATATGCCTGTTCTGTCAAACTGATTTCAAGAACTAATAAGCAAGGAAAACCGAAATTGCAGATATTATAAACAGGTGGTCGCTAAAGCAGGTTCTTGCTAAATCAGATTCTGGTTTATACTGTTCCTGTGTTAGAACTTTTATAAATAGCTCTCACCCTTATAAACTCATTTTGTAAAAGGTTCCCTCCAGTATATTTTTTCCAAACAATATACCTAAATGTCAGCACCAAATGTGAACATAGAAATAATTTTAGAATTTATAAAATTTAAATGTTCTAATCAATTGAATTAATCTAGGAATACAATACTACGGAATGCAGAATGAAGTAAATGTTGATTAAGATTATTGTTAAAGCCTGTCTGTACTAGTTTGGCCAGGGGGATTAGACCTCCCTGCAAGGTCACTGGCAGGTGGTTATCTCATCAAATCAGCTCTAAATTAACTTAATAAAAAGGTCATCATGGGGGACCAACGGTCACCGCTTAGGCATTGTTTGCTATATAGTAGCTTTAGTAGTGCAGTGGGGCTTAAAGGTTAGGAAATCAATGTACCTACTGAAGTATAGGGATGTGAGCTGGAATGTAATCATAAGTATCTCACCTGTTCTTGGACATCGTCGTATGGGGATTGAAGCAGTTGTATAAAGATTGGGACAGCACCTGCATCTATGACAGTTCCAGTCTGGGCGGTGGTACCGGATGCAATGTTTGTGAGGACCCAGGCAGCTTCAAACTACGATGAGAAAAAGATTGACAAAGTGTAATGCATACTGCATTGAAAATGTAAGTAAAAAGTGTGGGAGTAAGATGAACAATCTAAGAAACTACTCCTAGAAAAGCAATTAAGAGAGAGGAAAAGCCATGTGCAACATAGGGACAAAAAGGAAGGAAGAGAGAGAGAGAGAGAGAGAAAGAGAGAGAGAGAGAGAAAGAGACAGAGACAGAGACAGAAACACAGAAAAAATAGTTAATTTGTTACTCTTACCTGGAGGACACTGTTAGTTTCAGCCTGAAGGAACTGCACAAACCTCGGAACCACGCCCATCTGAATCACCTCATCGATGGGTGGGTTAGGCTCTGTACAAGGGTGAAAGGTCATTGTGACGTCAATATACATGTATCAAGATTGGTTTCCTCAGATTGGATCTTTACTGATTTAGCTATTATATCTATTTCAATTCTCATGCCAAAGGGGACACATTGAAACAAGGCCTTATTGAAACCGATTGAAAATACAGAGTAAGTTTATAAAAATTAAGGTAGCACAAATGGCTTTAGCTTTAATAAACTCAATATATCATATAAGAACAATAGTTTTGTCAATTTTAACTTCAAAACCTTTCATCGCTTTCCTGTTTTAACAATAAAACATGACTGGTTCAATCTTTTACTGTATACCAAGTATGATAAAATAAAATAAAACCCATTTAACCAAAATTTGAATGTCTCTGACTTCATTCATTCTACCGGTAAGCAAAATTTTTGGAACATTCTAACTTGTTATTCTTCATTAATGATTAATTCAAATACATGTTGCTTTGCTAATTTTCTAAGGGGAAATATTGCAATATGACACTACAACATGTATGCACATTATCTGCCTGTACAAGGTATCCCATTGTCTTTCAGTTTCATCCCACATGTAGATGTACATGTATGTAAGACATAACATGTATACTATAATATAATCTAACAAATAAGATTTTATCCCATAAATATGCATGTTCCCAAATGCTGTTGGTTCATGAATCGTTTAACATTTGGCGCTCCTTCTACGAATAATCCCTTTTCGGGAGAGGAGCATTTATGCAAGGAGGATATGAAAACCATTGTATAACAATGCAAGGATATCCTCTTAGTTTTATAACAGGACAGAATGAAGACACATATATTTTTTTCTGTACACTTTCTATTGAGAAAGGTACATGCAGAAAAGCAACAAATTAAAAAAAGAAAACAATCAAAAACTTAATAAGAGCTACTTGAATTCTTGTGGTTTAGGATGGCTATCACTATCACATGCAGTTTGATACAAAAAACATTTCAACTGACATACATTCTTTGAATTACTCAGACTGATTTTATGTGCTCATTTATAAATTGTGGGCAAATCATAATATTGACCCAAGTTTGTTTCTTTCACTGTTGCTGGAGAAAATTAGTTTAAAAATTGTAGCAAATTGTCTATTTCTGGATTTTTCTTTTATCATTTCAAGCTAATTACCCCTAGAGGCGGGACTGGCAAAAGACTTAATTGATCAGTATCAATCTTCTTGAAAGAGGCTGCTTCGATATTAATTGGGCCTTGAGGACTTGAATGGAATCCAATTAGCACTAAATATAAACTTTTGCAATTCATGCAATGATTTGCCAACTCTGGGCATCAAAGGCAATATGCAACATTAAATCCATTATGATACATAGCAAAAGACAGTGAGTAGCAAACCCATTTGGTGCTTTAAGTAATGAAACAAAGCAAGGTTGGAAACTTTAATGTTTTTTCTTTGTAAACAAATAATACACAATTGCAAAGCATAGATCTGTACATTTTCTTTACCTTTTGATAGCAATTTCCTAAACCTCTGTGTAGCGTTGAGTTGCATTTCTGGGTCATCTGACATTACTCTTTCGACCATGTCCTGTGTGACAGAACTCTGGGAAAAAATTAGAGAAAACCAGAAGAACAAAGAAGATTAAGAATAAATTACCATAAAGAAGGCCTACGTGTACGCTATTGTGATGGGTCTTGATGTTATTTACATGTATCTGTGGGTTATTTCATCAGTTACAAAATAATCTTAAACCTCCCTTTCTACCTTTCTCATTCTCTCTTTCTTTATACATGTATTTCTATCTCTTGCTCTCCTTCTCTCTCCTCTTATTTGTTTCGCTGTCTCTTTGCTCATCAGTCTCCAAAGATCTCAGATTTTAATTACATGTAATACCTCTCCTCTATCTTCTTTGTATTTTTCTTTCTTTTCTTGACCCCCCCCCCCCTCCCCCTCCCCACCCCTCTCCTTCTCTCTCTCTTTCTGTGTCTCTTCCCCTCCCAGCTTCCCCTTCTATCTATCTCCCTCCCTCCCTGATTCTCTCTCACTCTCCCTCCCTTATTCTTTCACTTTCTCTCTTTCTCTCTCTCTCTCTCCCCCACTCCCTCTCTCTCCCCCTCTCTCTCTCTCTCCATCTCTTCCTCTCACCCCCACATACCATCATAACATGAATACTATTAAATGCACTTTCCCTGAGGTTCAAAACCAGAAAGAGAACACTTCCTCCCAGCACCGACTAATGCTGACAAATTATAAACATGGAAGTCGTGTGGGCGGATTTGCCTCCCTGTTCACCCAATATACATTACACAATGACGTTAGATGATTCAGTGCTTCCAGCCACACATGTACACAATAAAGAAAAGAGAACCTGAATTACGTGTATTACGTACATGTAAGTAATGAATGCGCGTTAAGAGGTAATAGGAACTGTAAAATCATTTTCTCTTCCTAGTAATAGTAATACATGTACAGGGGTGTACATGTATTAAAAAACCTTTTGTTGAATTCTATTGAGCTATATGACATGAACATGAATGTCCACATGGTATGCAATAAATTGTACAAGCAGAAAAAGCCTAAGAAGAAGAAGAACAGAGGGGAAAAATTAACATGATCATTGTTATGTACATCTCAAGATTAAATTAAGTTAATTAACCTGCTTTTATCAATTATTGTGCCACGTCTAGAGGACATATATTCTTGAATTTTTCCAAGTCTTAATTGACTGCCCCTCGGGTACAAATATAAATGTACATGTATAACCAGGTTTATTATGGGTCACATGATGCTGCCATACTCTATTTCTTGAAGGTGTTTATCAGTTAGAGATTCCTATTTCCTTGGCATGCAATTAAGGTTATTCCTTGAGGAAAGGGGTACAATTTCTACACCGATTGCACATTCTTCTATTTTAAACTAACTGGTCTCTTTCTTTAAAAGAAGGTTGTGTGTGTTGATGCATTTGAGCCTAATCTTTAATAGAAGTGTAAATGTTTGAATGTACATGTAAATGATTAAATCATGAATGTACATGTATGTACATGTACATGTACACTGTAAATGAGAACCAATAATATAAGTATCTTATCAAATTTACATCTACATGTACGCGGCAATAACCGTATATAATATCAGCATGAACTTGAAACCAAACATAACAACTGACAACCAACTGAATCAAGGTTCACAATACCTTCCTAAATATTACTTTAGCAGGAAAGGTATGACAGGAACTGGAAGTGTATTTCCACTAACTCATCATGGACATGGAAACAAATTTAAACTAAAGTTGGAACAAAAGTAAGTATTTGGAATGAATGAAAAATGACATTTATGCACACTGGAGTGTGGAGAAAGAAATGCAAGGAAAACTACTCCACTTCCAAGAAGGTACACTAATACTGGACATGAACCTGGAGTTTACATTACCTATCCGGGTGAGTCAACAGTATTTGGTTTCATATGCATGTATACATCCTCTCCCACAGTATCCCAAGAATACAAACAAGAAAATTAATACACATTACGCTGAAAACAAAATTGTCTATTATTTGGTCTGATTCAGGACTTGGTATTAAGGCTGTCATTTTTATAGAATCATTCAATTTGTTTGATTATCGCAGCCTCAGTTGAATTACATGACAATTTACAATCAGATTAAAAATAACATCACATTTTAGATATGTCCATAATTATTAGGGCAGAATAATGATGTACAAGTGTTTGTGCCTACACGTATTACATACCTGTGATGAGGAGATGTAGTTCTCCTGGACTGTGATATCTGGTGGTTCTAGGACAACATCTACGTTTCTCCTCTTGAAAAGCTGCATCAGAAATGAAAAGAAAAGAGCAAACATTTGCTTTGTTATTGAAAGACAATGAAATCTAATATGATTTTCTACTATAAAATGTATACATTGGACTGACTGAATAAAAAAAGAAAGAAAACAGTACAATTGGACTTTTTTTTCTTCTTTTCAGTACCTACATTTGTACTACAGTAAAGTAGAATCATGGAAGACAAAACAAAAAAAAAAAAAACACACACAAATAAAGTGGAGGTCATGTTGCTTATGCTTTATCTATCATATTACTTGTTAAATATTTATGGAAACATAGGAAGAGAGAAAAATTATAGGAAAGCATTCATGATTCATGGTGTGTTGCATCAAAATAATAAATCACCAAAGTTTGGGACAAGAGGAAGTGAAAAAGGGAAAGAATGAATAAACATGTTAGTTTTTAAAGGGATGTGAAGGTGTATACATGTAGGTAAAAAGAAAATTTAGAAAGAAAAATATAGAAAGAGAAATGGAAAGAGGGAGGAAGAAGAGATAGTAAGAGAAAAATGGAGGGAAATGTAATATAGAGAAAAGGAGTTGTAGAGTGAAAGAGAAAGCACATGCAGCGATATAAAATATTATACTTTTTTATCGTCATACAGAGAGAGAGAGAGAGAGAGAGAGAGAGATTAAGAACGACAGAAACAGAAACAGAAAGTGAGAAAGAGAGGCTGGGGGACTTTTTATCTATTAGACAAAATATTTCTCATTCAATATTATATGTTCCACTCCTTAAAATTTCTCCCCCAAGAGACGACATTCTTCACCTTACTCATAGGACTGGATGACGTCAAGACGTGGTCAATCACGCACGGTTCACTGATCCCTTGCTTGTACACAAATACACAGTCCTGATCAATCTTGAGTCATTGGATAATCTATAGGACATCCCCTCTTGCAACGTCCTTATGGCACTAGCAAGAGTACAAGTTCAAAACCCACCTCTGAATTTATGACTAATTACCATGTCATACTTGTCAATGCCATCATCATATAGTGGTAAAAATGTGACCTTTAAAAGCAAGCAGACTTGAACAGCGTACCCTATTGAATAAGAGTAAAGTACACAGAGCTTTCACTCTGGAGAGGTGGAAGAAAGCAAATACTATGTATGCACAGATGGGAAGACCTCCCCATGACCTCACTCTATCCTTAATAAGATGCACTAAGTGATTGAACACAATATTCTTTGCTTCATCATATTCAAAGAAATATGCATACATAATTGATGCACTATATATTCAAGTTTCAAAAGTAGATCTACTATTATAGAAAACAGCGCAGCTCGAAAAAGAGCTTCCATAATTCCCTTGCTTTTTAGCGATTTTTTGTTGTTTTTCTTCCCACACATGGATACCCTATTCACCTTCTTCTTTTTTTCCCCCTTCTCCTAGACTTTTCCTAATAAAAAATAACAAAATCCATCATAAATCTTAGAATTAAATGAATTATTCATGGATTACATGTAAAGGAGTTCATGAACTGCATGAGTTAAAGAGCTTAAAGCTGCTTCTAAGATCTATCTTCAATTTACTTAATGTATATTTCAAATTGCATTCCAGAGTATAGGCCTACATGTACATGTACAATGTACATGTACATGAGCAATTTATTTACTTGTGAAAGAGTAATTGCATCGCATCAGCCTTCCTGTTCCATTCAAGCATACTGCGTTCTTTCAACTTGTTAGAACTGGCTGAATACATGCTGAGCTGGTGTTTGCAGATGAAACACTCATTTTACAAGGATAAGGTTAGTCTCTATTCTCTCTCTCTCTCTCTCTCTCTCTCTCTCTCTCTCTCTCTCTCTCTCTCATTACACACAAACACACACACACTTTTCTCTAAATCTTGCTGTAGCTCTCTGCTCTGCTCTCTACATCCCACCTCTCTCTATCCCTCTCCTCCTTTTCTCTACTACCATCTTCCTCCATCTCTCTTTCTCTTTCCCCCTCTCTCTCTATCGACTACTCCTTTCACATGCACTGTACCTGTATTACAGTGCTTGCTCATTACTTAGTCAGAGCCACTGCACTGTGAAGGCATGTGTAATTCTATACAAGCCCGTTTTCAAGTGCAGACTGAAGCAGCTAGAGTATAAGATTTTGATGATGGATGCTCAGCCATTAGTAAGCATATCTCTCATCCCCCCCCCCCCCCACACACACACACAAACCATCCACCATCCCCCCTCTCTCTCTCTCTCTCTCTCTCTCTCATACTCATTCATACAGAAGTAATGTAGGTCTCTCCATGACCCCAGTCATCCTCCTCCTCCTTCCCTCTCTTTCCTCATGGCACCCAAAAGTACATGCACATGTACACAATTCCCTAATCATGTAATGAGTTAAATACATGATTAAAATTAAATTATTCTCAATTTGTCTCCCCCTCCCCTTTTATTTCCTCTCTATACTCTACCCATTTCCTGTCCTTTTCTTCTCCTTTTTTCCTTTTTTGATGGAATATCTACCTTACCTCTCTCCAACTACATGTATATTAATAAAAAATAATATAAATGTACATGTATATTAAATGTTCTGTTTTGCATTTACATGTATCTTCCTTTTTTTTTATAAATCAATAATTCTTCCTGAGTTGTCATAAATAAACATGTAATGCAACAGTACATGTAATGTACATTAACAATTCATTTCATTTTGTGTACGTGTTCATGACGCAACTTGAAAACAAATTGTGAGCAGTGTGAGCAGCTACATGTAGTAAAAAATACATGGACATGCAGCCCTTTAATACAACACCAAAATAATTTTTGAATTAGAAATATCCTACAAAGAGCTCTTCTAAAGGAACAACAAACACTTTAGGCTCATTTTTATTTTCCAGAGAAACTTATTTCCCCATGAACCCAAAGACCCACTAAATGTTCATGCAGGCAACATGTACATGTTGTCCTTGTTTTCACGAAGTGACGGTAGCGAGGAAAATCGTAATGCAAAGTGAATGCAATTTTTTTTCACTACCGTCACTTTGTGAAAACAGCGACGATGTAATGATCATTGTACAATGTTTAGCATTATTATGCTATGAGGAAGCATCATTTCCAACAACTCCAATTTTGGGTGACATTTTCTGCTCCAGTGCAACCATTCTATTACACTTGTATTTCTTGGCTTTGTGCGATCGACCCTTTTGACACCAGGGGAAAAAACTAAAGAAGTAGGGAACAGCATACTTCCTCTTTCACTGAATTACAGAACAAATAATAAGCGTTATACCAGTACTCAGTGCTCATAGCGCAAACAATTTCAAATTCTATTAAAAATCAAATACAATGGCAGGTAAGTAGGTCAAAGAACAGAAACGATAACAAATAGTAATTAATGGGTGTAAAACCGTGTAATAGGGGGAAATCTTTGAAGTTGAATCTCAAGAGCCTTTGATACACTGTAGAAAGGAAGTATGATCATTTAATCATCTAACTTATATTATGCAAAATGCATTTTTAGTTCAGTATCTGACTTCATATACATGTGAATAGGAATAAATGCAATTATGCAAATATGCCAATTCATTTTTTTTTGGGAAGAATTATCTTAACTCTGTGTTAGTGTTCTGTGTACATGTAGCCTCTTCGCTTATGTAAATTTGACACTATTTCACCATATCTACAAAAATGATTATCTGTATATTCATTTTCTGGAATCATTCTATTTCTTCATTCCATTCAAATAAATAATAATCACTGAACGATTTACAGCATATAACTATTACCACCATCATCATTAACATCATCATAATCATCATCATTATCACCACCACTGTCATCATCATCATCATCATCATCACCACCACAGTCGTCGTCATCATCATCGTCATCATCATCATCATCATCATCACCACCATCATCATCATCATCATCACCACCATCATCATGAACATCATTATCATCATCATCATCACCATCATCATGAACATCATTATCATCATCATCATCATCAAGAAAGCTAGAGGGAACAGCAAAAAAAATGTTAAATGTTGTTTCATTAACAATACATACAGTACCCTCTTTGCTGACATTAATTATAATCATGTGCATGTATTCCAAAAGTTTCAAAAAATTGATGACCATCTTACCTGTTCCTCTCTCTTTTGTTTTCTGAGCTGAATTCCAACTTCTTCTCTTCTCCTCCTCAGCTCTTCTGAGTCAAGTGCCTTGTTTTTGAATAACCTGAAGTGTTCTTTGTTGGACGAAGCCATGGTTCTGATGTATCGTCAAGTTCTGGAAATAGGAGATTAAATAAAGATAAAATTTCTTGATTAGAAATAACTAAATAAACAAACATTTCAGTAAGCTCAGTATACAAAGAAAAGATTAATGTTTGATTAAAATGTGGAGATAAAGATGACTCATAACATGACATGTTTCAACAGCCTGCCATGAAATAATGAATGTATATTTGGAAGACAAAACAGCATTTCTTTAAGATCATTATCTTTTAAAGTCAAATGTATGTAAATTGCATTTTCTGATTATGTGACCATGCAAGTCTGTACAAAATATAAATTTCCCTTATTGTACCTTACCTTGTCTTCAAAGTTCAACAGCAATGTAAAACAATGACTAATGGATAATGCTGAATACAAATAGAATGTTCACAAACAAACATTTTATTTCATACCTGAACATTTTAGACTTAAGGTAACATTCTTTGTATTCCTTTTACATAGATGCTACATTTTATTAGGGCTGTGCACAACAGTGTAATGAGGTACCCAAGTACACTCCCAGGCTCACAAGCGAATACTTGAATATTCGGACGCCATGTTTTTTTATAATTTTTTTTGAATTTTTTTGAATTTTTTTGATTTTTTAAAATTTTGTTTGAATTTTTTGATTTTTTGAATTTTTTTGATTTTTTGTTCTTTTTGCCACTACCATACCACTCGGCAGTTTCCCAGGTCCCTTGACGAAAACGGATGCAATTTTACTTTGAGTTGCAGTTGAAGGTGCCGATTTAATAAGAATAATAACAGTAAACAATGCTGTTTTAAAAACCAAAGATGGCAGAATAATCCATTTTCCTCCAAGTCCAAACAGAAATCTGGACATTTGGTCCCAGTTTCTGAAAGGTGAGTTTGACAGTGCTTGAGTTGGGAAACATTTTTACCGACGGTACCATGCCAGCGGCTGCCGCTCTCCCTGGCACGGGTGAGCGTGGGCCTGGACATTTTTTTTTAATTTTTTTTCTTTCTTTTGCGGCCGAATATCCGTCGCAGCCTTACATTTTATATTTCATTTTATTTAATATTGATCATGCCTCATGGTACGCATGATAATATTGAATTTAATCGACGTTCTCCTGTCCCCCCCCCCCCCCTCCTCTTGTTTTTTTTCCTCTTTACATTTCTACAATTTTTTTCTTCTTCATGTTCTTTCTGTAAAATTCAGTGACAAACAAAACACTACAAAAAATAGTACAAGTGTTACTGTTACTTTACCCAGTTACCAGAACCACATCTTACATTTCAATTAAATGTAAATATCTTTTAATAGACCCTTTCTATGCTCCCCGTCACTTTCGACATCAAACACTCATTCTGTTGTCCACGCATACAGTCAGAAACAAAGTGCCCATGCCATGATCATGCCATGCATGTAATTTATGGCATACACATTCATTCATTCACGTCCTACCTACCTACCCGGCATCGAATCACGCATCTCTCATTCACAATCCCATGCATTCAATACAGGTCTACGTCGACAGGCCGAGACGACGCATCACATCAAACATCACAAACAAAAACATGCAAAACTCAAGTTGTACTACATGAAACTCATATGATCGATTTCTAGAATAATCAAATATTATCAAATCAATAATGAAATGTATACTCACGGTGGGAAAACGGGATATTAGAGGAGATAAAGTTGTGAATTCGTCGCCACAAGATGACGAGTTAGCACTGCGCAATTTGCGTATTGCTCCTTAAATAGGTTTCAAACCACTCTCTTTGTTGGATTGTTCGTTTTGTTAAGTTGTACAGATCAGCGATATAACATACAAACTCCTGGTTTGAAAACCTAATAACCGGCAACTATCCTCCCACACTGTGCTTCACAAGGAAAAAGAAGAGGGGCACCTTTTCTTTGAAAAGATGTATTTTTTTTTGCACTAGCTGACACTAGCTGCATGCCCGAAAATATACAATTTGTAGACATTGTGATTGTATTATCAGAGAAGATTTTAATGTTTGTTTCTCTCTTTACATGGTCTAAGATACATGTGGGTGTATTAGTAGCTGAATATTTATTTAATTGCGAGAGAAAAGCGTGCGTGCAATTGGATTCGATCCTGATGGGGTTTTATTTTTAACGGGGGTTTTAAGCACAATCTAAACATGAAAGACTGAAAATATCTTTAATAAAAAAGCATAATTATATCAACTTAAAATACGGGCGACCTTAATGCATGGGTGAAATCAAAGAAAACTGAGTTGCTCTTATAAGGCATATAGGAACACATTTTGTGGGGAAAGGAAAAGATGGCACATATCAAAGGGAACAGAAAGAGCAAATGTCAAAGTTAAAAGGGGCACTCACCAGAGATGGAAAAAAAAACACTAGTAGCAACAGAAAAGGAGCACTTACAACCTGTAAAGGGCAATTATCAGAGGAAAAATAATACTAATAAAAAAGGATATGGGGCACGTGTCAATTAACTATAAAAGGGGCACTTATAGTGAAAAGGGGCACCTTTCAAATTTGAATAAGGGCACTCATATAAGAATGAAAAGAGGGCGAACAAACTGGAAAGATCGAGACACTTGTCACAATATAAGCCGGACACCTGATTTGAAAAGAGGTAATTAAAAGGTGAGGCATTTATTGTACCTAAAAAGGAGCATTCACCTCAGATGAATAGGCGGACACTTTATGAGAGAAGTGAAAGGGGCGCTTTTTACAAAGGAAAACTGGCACTTGTTGAAGGAAAAGGGGCACGATTTTCATAGCGGCACGTACTGTATCAAAGGTGTCAGAAGCGGGGCGTTATACAAAAGGAGGAAAGTTATTAAAATTGTTTATCAGAAGGAAAAAGGGCACTTATTAGAAATAAAAATGGGGCGCGTGTCAACATAAAAAGGGCACTTATCACTCAGGAGAAGGGCGGCTTATCACAACAGAAGAGGGCACTTGTTAAAGTAAAATGGGTAGGCTCTCAGATCATCATAGGGGCAATTATCATAGGTAAAGGGGGCACTTATCAGAGGTGATAAGAGGCACTTATATTGTAGAAAAGACACCTATTAAAAAGAAGGGGCACTTTTCCTAGGTAAAAAGGGGCACTTTAGTGGTACATTGTACCTGAAATTAAGCCGGTGCACTGTGCCCCACTGCCTACCCCTACCTTCGGCTCCACTGCTTGAAGACCCTATAATTATAGTCATCAAGAATGCAATACTTTTAACATCCTTAAAATGTACAGGAGTTGAGCACTGATTTAATTTAATTTCATATTTAATCTTTATTTTATTTAACATCAATCGGCGTCGATCGGCCCCTAACTGAGTGCCACTGAATGTAATGAGCCAATAATGAGCCATTAATAACGCATTCTATGGGCAATCTATAGTGATACTGATATATTTGTTGTAATTTTTGATTTTGTTTGTTTTGTTTTGTTTTGTTTTTTGCAATCTGAAACTGTTAGCTAACGTGGATGCCTCTTTAATTAATTTAATCAATCGGCGTATAATTGATTTCGCGGATGAAGTGCATGGAACACTTTCATTATTTAACTCAAATGTACATTATGCATTTAGTTTGTGTAAATCCTACAGACCTACACCCGTTGTTTACATGTAAGCGGCACAATGTAAATATTATGAAGAATGAGAGTTCCGTGCGAGAAGTTTGTTAATGAAATTTAGGGCAAAATGAACTTTAAAAAATAAATGGTCATGCTAGTGAGTTCATCCAAGATCTTTACAACGGGTAATCGAGTAGATCAAGTTTACCAGCAACTTGCACGGTCTCCTGTTCTTAAGTATACATTTCATATCAAAGTATTTAGTTTGGGAAAATTACCTATAAAAAAAATGGTTATTTAAGCAATTCAAGATTTAGTTATCAATAATTATTATTATTATTATCATTAAATAAAATAGAGTTTTGTTCACTGCTCCCTGACTGCATGTATGTACCAATGTTTCAGTTGACCCAACTTAGAGGAAAATAAATCACAACCCTCAATCTATTTCAGTGAGTGGGATAAAATCAGAACAAGAAGAAAAAAAAGGGAGAAAGAGTAAAGGAAAAGTTGATATTCAAAGAAAATCACAAATATGGCAAATTATAATGAAAAACCGGGAAGCATGTATAGAAGGCCATGATATTTGTTGGATATCATAATATGGAAATCCCTCTAAAAACACATTATTTTTTAGAAACACCTCTCAGATTCAAAAATGGGATATGGAGATGGAAAAGGAGAAGAAGAAGAAGACAGGGAAGGAGACGGGTGGAAGGAGTTGGAAGAATCAAGAAAGAGATAGAGAAGGGGAAAGAGAGGAGTAGGTTGTTGTTGTTGTTGTTGGTAAATGTTTAGTGGCGTTCATTCAGTAATGAATATAGACTATACGCCATAAATATCTTCAATTTTATAAGAAAATCAGTTATAGTCTTCATAAGAAAACTGAGAATAAAGATTTGTAATGAAATAATTAATTAATAAGTAACGCAATTTATTCAGAGTCTCTGGATGGTTTGCAACTTCGTGTTTCTGCTTTAGAGTAGGAGAAGGAGGAGAAGAAGAAGGGGGAGGAGTAGGAGGAAGAGATAGAGAAGAAGAAATATCGTGACCGAACACTGCATGCACACACTGCGCATATTTTGCTCTAGCGCCATCTGCAGCCGAGTCATTCAAATTGTTTGTGCGCGGTGGATCTGGATGGCGGATTTTTTGTGCTGATTTTCTCAATTAAAGTCTACTCTGCACTTTAATGCAAGATATAGTGACCTGGAAATTTCACTTGCAAAGGATTCTATGGATAAATATTCACCATATGCATCGGTAATATTGCATTTTATGCCTGTCTTTAGAATGATGTCTTAGTGTAGTCCGGGATGTGCTATTTTGTGTTTGTTGTTGCTTGAGCAAGGTTTTTAACTTCAATTCATGTTTTTAGCTTTTTTGTGAATTCTTATCTCATCTTATTTTCTTATACATTGATAAAAGTATGTCACAGAGATTTATATCTAACTAGACCCCTATTGTTATACAAACCGGTGGCTTCCTAGTTCCTACACTGTCACTGGTCAGAATAAAATGATGTGACATTCAAATCTTCAAAATTCAAAAATTTAATTCTGCACAAAGAACTTTGTGCATTGAGCGCCGCGCTGTACAGTGAGTAAGTTCACGTGCTCTCATCGGCCGATCCGCTCGAGTTGCTTCAAATTTAAGTGAGAGGGGACCTACTTAACTTCAGGGGAAAAGTCAAAACGTAATTATTATGTCACACCACAGAGATTTCGACACGTCCTGATCTAGACCGAAAGCTTCAGTCTCTATACCGTCGGTTGTTCCACTGAGACTACGTCTGGCTCCACTAGACCTCCGGTTATAGAGACTGAACGATCGCCTATGCCAGCCTATGTTGAAGATACCACGGCTAGATTTTAGCCGTTAGGCCCCTCCCACAAACATGAACAAACTTGCCACGGCCGTATTTGTTATGCCCCCAAAATCCCCCAAAATGTCATTTTACCTCGTGCATATCCAATTTTACATTTTTAGGCCTAGGCTATAATACATCGGTTCCACTTACTAACTTGATTGAAATAATCCGTTTAATGGTCCCTTTTAAGGAAATTATGGGTCAAAATCGACATCCATGTTGAAAATCTTGCAAGCCGTGTTAAACTCTCGCTGCCATCAATCTCATCCCTTCTAGTCTACGCCGAAGGCAAAAATGATTATGAAGGAAAAACTGTGATAACGCCATTACGAACTTGTAGATGGCGCACAGTTTTTCCTTCATAATCATTTTGCCTTCGGCGTAGACTAGAAGGGATGAGATTGACGGCAACGAGAGTTTAACACGGCTTGCAAGATTTTCAACATGGATGTCGATTTTGACCCATAATTTCCTTAAAAGGGACCATTAAACGGATTATTTCAATCAAGTTAGTAAGTGGAACCGATGTATTATAGCCTAGGCCTAATGTAAAATTGGATATGCACGAGGTAAAATGACATTTTGGGGGATTTTGGGGGCATAACAATACGGCCGTGGCAAGTTTGTTCATGTTTGTGGGAGGGGCCTAACGGCTAAAATCTAGCCGTGATATCTTCAACATAGGCTGGCATAGGCGATCGTTCTGTCTCTATAACCGGAGGTCTAGTGGAGCCAGACGTAGTCTCAGTGGAACAACCGACGGTATAGAGACTGAAGCTTTCGGTCTAGTCCTGATCCTGCTTTAATTTAAACAGGTGTCGCACTTTACACATAACTGATGCACACACGGCATTGCAAACACATAAAATAGAAAAATAAACAAACATCTCAGAATAAATTTCCAGTTTGTACCTTAAATATGACGAAAATAAGAATTGTTCAAACTTTAAAAATAGTTAAGTCAAACTTAAACTTAAGTGAAATAGAGGTCTACTTAAATGAAAAAATCATAACAAATAGAAAGTTTGACTGAAACATCATAATTTTGGTATCGAAAAAAACGGAAAATTGCAAGCTTGCTCCTCGCACAAATATCATATATAATAGCATTGAGTGAATGGAGAACAGCGATAGCCAATCTGAAGGGCCCATGTCGGCTAGGCTAGGCGCCAACTTACGAAAATGAGGCTGAGATCGGATGAACAATATGCGCCTTTTTGTAATTGTAAGCTAAAGTTCTACGTGTGCACTGTGCAGTGTTGCTGACAATGTCATGAACAGTGATGACTGTGATCAGTTCTGTAGAAGAGGGCCCATTTGCTTGGCATCTTATTTCGGATAAGCAAGTGATGTCTGACCATTATGGGAGACTATTTCCTAGGCATTTGACACTGTTACTTATAAATATGTTGGACTGTTTTTAATATTGTTTCAGAAAAATGAAAATGGCAAAGAAGAAGTTTTTTTCTTTTTCTGTTCTTTAAACATATTTCCAGTCAAATTCAAGCTTAAAATCATGTTTAAAAATAGAAACCATTGCATGCTTATTTCCCTCTGTTGTGTCCTGTTTTGCTCGCTTTCACTACCGGTAATCGTCTAGATTTAGCTAACTACATGTAACTCAACCGAACAATCCCCCCCCTAAAACTTGGTCCCTACTCCCTACCATCTGCAAAAATGTTACAGATTTTCAACTTATGCGCAACATGGTAAGGTATGGAATCTATGGATCATTTTTTTTAAGTCTGATTTTTTTTGTGTACATTGAGTTTACTACATGTAGATTGCCGATTTTGAGAGTTAGTATTTCAACATCCCATTGCACGTGTGTATCATGACCAATGTTTCAATAAGATGTACATGTAGTCAAAGTGGCAAACTTGTACTTTTTTGTAGTTTTGTGAGGAAAAACTAGGAATCGTATTCACTTGGTCTAAACAGGTTTAATATCTCTTTACACCAGACATCAACCCGGAGGCCTGATGGAGTAGGTGGTCTAGCCTCGCCGTATAGAAGGACCACAGGTACACCGGGAGGGATGGATGGAAGGATGCCGGGAGGCGATTTATCCTTCAATGTGGAGTCTGTTTCCTCCTACCAGGATTACCCGACAGCCAGGCCGCTGCTGGGGGATCAGATCGCTAGGAGGAAGTACCCAGAACAGGTCCGAGCAGTCCCGGAGAGCAATAGTAGAGGTGAGACTGAGAGACAGACTTGCATTTCTCTATCAATTACAGGACACTTTTGATACAGTGTCTAAAATTTTGGCAACCCCCCCCCCCCCTACATTGTTCAAATGCAAACAGCACCTGCTTGCTACAAGCATGGTTGAAATATGATTTCTATTAAAACCAGCCAATTATCTTATTAAGCAGCCAATTATTGTAGCATAGGACAAAAAACTGGAGCTAGAACATACCCAGGCCGAGACATAACTTTAAGTTATTGTGCAAGATGATCAGTGTAAACAAGATGAGCATGTTTCATTCAATGATATTCGTTTATTTTATGATCCATCTTAACAGCTGTGGTCTCAGCCTTGAGAGGTTTGCAGGAGAAGATCCGTAAGCTGGAGCTAGAGAGAGCCCATGCAGAGAACAACCTCAAATCACTCTCCAAGGAGACCAGTCAGTACAGGCAGTCCCTGCAGGAGCACACCACCACCACCACCAAGAAGAAGACTCAGCGGGAGACACAGACAGCTCGGGACGTACAAGGTTTGACACATACCAGGGAAAAAATACAGAGGGGCTTGAGGCGACTTTGTCCCTGAAATGGCATAAAGAGCCCCCAAAAGGTCATAAAAGAGCTCCCCAAAATTTGCATAGAGTTCAATGCAAAACAAATTAAAGCATGTTATTTTCATAAGAGCAAGCTTGAAAAGTAGCCCCCCCCCCCAATATTTTTTTCCCTGACACATACTGTATGATATTCATAGACAAAGGATTGTGCACTAGGCAGAAGGGTGCAAAAGTACAGTGTATGCGCAGGCAAAGGATGCACATTTAAAGACAAACACATTCTAAACTTGTGATTGTTCTTTGCCTGCATCAACACGGCATATTTCAGTCTACACATTGTACGAAGTGATGTTATTACCCCAGCAATCGATGCTAAACAGTTCAGGAATTTGACTTAAAAATGATCATGTTTTCACCCTTCTGTCATGCGCAGAACAAAATAGCGGATACTCTTAAAATTAGTAGTTTATCAAATGGGGCTAAGCTATGCTACTTACATCCATTATTTGTTGGGAAGTGTAAGAATGACTGTCATCATGTATCAATACCAACCCTCAAAATATATTTCTGTCTCGATTTTCAATCATGAAGAAATAATTTTTGGCATTGTGTGAATACGTTTTGATGAATACTTACTACCCCCAAAAATGTCAGTGTTTGATTTAAATGAACGAATACCCTCTCTGAATCATTATGAATAATGATGATGATATTCAGGGTACTCACTCTTCCCAACCATTCACCACTTTTTCATGACATTCCCTGCATTTGTATTCACAGAGGTCCAGAGTCAACTGTCCGGTGCTGACCAGCGCATTCCACTGCTTGAGAAGCAGTTGGAGTACATGCGGCATATGGTGCAGAGCGCTGAGAGCGACAGGCAGGCGGCGCTCAGGATGGCTGAGGCTCGGAGGACGCAGGACACCCTCACCCAACGAGAGGAGATGCAGAGCCAAGAAGAGAAGCTGCGGAGGCTGGAGAGGGAGTATAGCCGTCTTATGGCTGGCCAGACAGTTTCTCATGTAAATACAAAAGACTAATGGGGCGTGGCAAGAAAGTTGAGTTGCAATCAAATGCAAATTGGCAATTAATTGTAAGACTTACGCTTGATTTTAGGGATTTGCAATCAATCGCAACTTTCTTGCAACGCCCCATGAGAGTCCTTGGGTATTATTTTGAAAAACATTTATCGTTAATTCTTCAAGGGATGTTTTATTGCAATTTAACCAAGTTTAGTTACACATTTTTATTAAATTGTGCTGATGTATTTAGGAAAGGTAAACGTACAATTTGAAGAGCGTAAATAGGTGTGTTTCATACATCATGTTTTTCAAGTTACATATACACAGTACATAGGGTAGGAGTATCTATCATGACAAAGAAGAAGTCAATTCTATTGCTGTTTAGTTATGGAATCTGCATCCCTTTGATTTTTCATAGAATTCATTTCAGTCACAAGTATTTTATGGGTGACAGGGCATCAAATTCATTCTTATCTTCCTCAAGCATCTAAAGTAGCTCCGCTCTATTTGATTTTATTCTACAGAGTAAAATCAAGGATTTAGAAAGCAGACTCAAAGAAGAGAGACGGCAAAGGAAGATGCTCTTAGATCGTGAAGCAGAGGTATGCTAAATCTTCTCTTAATTTATGTGACTTACGGTAATATGTTTTAGCCTTTCTGATGCAGGGTTTTTCCCCCATTCACAATGCACTGTAATTCATGGTCAACCTATGCAAAATGGATAAGATGTAATGTGGCATATTTTATTTCTTTTGAAATTCTTTAGTAATTTACTTTATCATAATTGTGGTATCTGCTTTTTCTTCTCCTTTTTGTACAGGAAATAAAAAATGATCAATGTTAATCAGCATTGGCTTGCTTTACTTTTTAAAGGAAGAAATGTAGTAAAGGAATTACTGTTTGGTGATATTCACCATAATGTAGAAACAACTAATTTCTTTTGCATAAAAAAATACAAGCCTAAACTCATTCATTATTCAAATTGATTGTTACTCAATAAAATTGAAGTTGAGATATGTTTGTGAGTAATGTTTACCTGTCATGTAACTATTTACATACAAATTAATAGCTGATTAAGAAATATATTATGTATCCTCCTTAACCTGCCCTCATTTTTAGTAGTAACAATAGATTCCAAGGAATTTTTACTAGGTCAATTTGCAGAATAGTTTGACACATGTTTATATGATAGTAATTTTTAACGGTCATGCACAATTTACGTTCAAAACAATAACAGATTACTGCATTTGTGTCCTTAATCTAGCAATACTGTTCATCTTGCTTTTGTAACCTTCAGTTGAGAACTCTGGCAGAGACCAACCGCATCCTGCTTGCCACAGAAGAAGCCACGGAGGAACGCAGACCTAGGAAAGTCAAGAAGAAAAGGAAAAAGGTTCCGCAACAACCACAACACACTTCGCCTGGTCGCCATTGCATGGGACAGATCCCATTTTGTGTAGGAAAGGTGAGCGTATACGTGAGGAGTGGGATTTCAATAGATCTGCATTTACAAAATAATACCACCATTACCAAACAATTTTTATGAATTGTTAATGACAGCCATTTTCACAAATACAAATAAATTGTTTGCCTATTACACAAATTTCAGTTGGTTTCACTTGTGATTCAATTATTGTGCAACATGAAACTTTTGCATGTTTTTTACCACTTCACTACGAGGGGTCACCGTCAGTGACACAAAGACGTAACTCCATTTTGGCCATTTTGAGAAAAAGTGGTTTATGTGTCACTGAGCATTTGGGCCTTAGGAGTTAAGTCTATGTTTCACTAGCCATTGACTTCAATGGGGTGTTGGGTGGAGTTAAGTCTTTGTGTTTCCTAGAAAGCCCACATTTTTTGTAATATTTTGATATCAAATACTAATTTTGGCAAAATATGGAGTTAAGTCTTTGTGTAACTGAACCCTCAATTTTATCTCCTGTTCCACAGTCAACAACTCCCAGTCATTCAGTGAATGCCAATCTTCAGAATGTCCTTGCCGTGCTGAAGACACACAACACGGCGTGGTGTGGAAATGGACCCCTAGCACCTCATCGACGACCTCAGAGTGCAAAGGTCAGGAGGTCAACATCGGTGTCGTCATCTGCTGGCAGTGACCTCTCTGATCTTGTGCTTGGACTCCAGGAAGAGTTTGCCCTCATGGGACTGTAAGTTTTTGTTTAAAGCCCCACTGTACTTCTTATAGCTACTTGCGCCCTCTATATAGAAACAATGCCTAGTCGGTGCCTGATGGTCCCTATGATCCCCTTTTTCTTATGTTAATTGAGAGGTGATTTAATGAGATAACCACCTGTCAGTGACCTTGCAGGGAGGTCTAATCCCCCTGGCCAAACTAGTGCAGACGGGCTTTAATTTTTTTCAAGGGGGGGGGGGGGGGGGGACAAGGGACGGAAATACATTTTGGGTCTAGGTAACCTAACTGCTAGCTAATTGAGATTAATGTGCTAATATATGGGAATTGATAGTCTGACTTAGTTTCAAATTCTGGAATTCTCAGCTCTATTCATTGTTTCTTCGGGCTGAAAAAAGTGTTTTCAAAATTTCATATACAATTACAACATCCATTAGTTATTTACTGTATGACTTCTGTCCTTCTTGTATATATTGTATATGAAAATTATAGAAAGGAAAAACAAAATTGAAAAATTTGTCCCCATTGCCTACGATTATGAAAAATCGCACTTGTTGATATTGTGTATTTGTAAATATGCCCACATATTACATTGTACATGAATTTGGAAATATGGCTGTGGTTATGCTGTACCAGAATAAATAGTAGAAGCAAACTGATTTTGCTGGTACAGGCACAAAGATGGTAAGATCACATGAATTTGTTGCGCCATGCATGACCACTTCTCTTTTTTCTGTCTTTGGTTGTATTTTGGGGACGAGGGAAGATCACCAGTCATGGGCATCCCACCAAAGTAAGGTGGGGCACACCAAGGGCAACCTGTCCCCTTAGAGAAATTCCTCACAGACTAATAAGCTGTGGAACCTAGGGCTACCTAGGCTCGTTATTTTCCTTACTCATTAGTTTAAGGCATGAAAGATATAGGGTCGCTCAATGTTACTAGACTTTTCATGCAATTTTTGGTAACGGTTAGTGATATCAAAATTTATTATTGTGGCAAGATTTAATCGAAATACCACTAAAATCATCTCCATTTTGTGTGATAGTAATCTCCCAAATAATGTTGGAGAATTTTAATGCAGTTTGTGCGTTTAAAATGCATGATTTTCAGAGAAAAACAAATTTTGCATATTTAATGACATATGCAAATTAGCTCATGAATATTCAGGATGTGTGTAGTTCAAGCACACAAAACCGGTAGCATATAGCAAAACTTTTTTTTTTGGAGGGGGGAGGGGGTGGGAATCTTGTTAGATGTTAGCTATGGTAATACTTCAAACATTCTGTTTAGGACTCCAGGGGATTATTGTTATTTGTTTAAAGAATGTAGCCCATTTGATTGAGAAGACTTGATAGAGATGGTTCGTATGATGACATGTAGGATGCAGGCAATGCTCTATGGTAGTCTGTGATTATGAAGGCTACACTGACAAAACATTTATTTACAATAACTTATGTGCATTTCATTCAACTGTTTGCATAGCTCTATATCTTGGCCCACTGTTTCTCTCAACAACCACCCAAACTTGCCTGAGGTTTCATGACATAGCAGCAAAAAACACACTTATATTGTTACTGGACGACGGCTTCAGATAGTGGGAAGTTGTGTAGAAGAGTTATAATGTATTCAGATTTTGTACATGTTTCTGAAACAAAAGTTGTCTATGACAGACAATCTGAGAGCTTGCCAGAGGCTTCTCCAACATAGCAAAAAGTTATCTACGGTCATAAAGGTTCTTACGAACGAAAATTTCGTACGAATCTCCGTTTTTCCATTGTCTGAAAATCGTTCGTACGGCGTTCGTAGCATTTCGTAATAGCATTTGTGACTGAGGCTTTAGTTATGCATGGCGAGTAAGATCTTCATAAGGGGTCCTTGAAGAAATAGCCATGAATTTGATTACACAGTCTGTACATAAACCTGTTTGTATTGAACAATTTTTGAAGATCTACTCTTTTCTCTTTTCTTTCCTTCTCTTATTTTCTCCTCCTATGTTCTATTCCCATCTCTTGCTTCGCTCCACTCACTTGCCTATTCTTCCTGTTTTTCTCTCTTTCTCTCTCCATCTTCCCCCCCCCTCTCTCTCCCCACTCTTTCTCTCTCTCCCCCTCTCTCCCCACTCTCTTTCTCTCTCTCTCCTTCTCTCTCCCCCTCTCTCTCTCTTTCTCTCTCCCCCTCTCTCTCTCTCTCTCTCTCCCCCCCTCTCTCTCTCTCTCCATCTCTCTCTCCCTCTCCCAATCTCTCTACCACCCTTTCTCAACTTTTTCCACAGGGAGCATCAAGACCTTGCCAAGCAGATCCGTGAGACGGAAGACTCTAACATCAGGGAGGATCTGGAGAGGGAGCTGGATCACCTGGTCTTCAAGATGGAGGCTAAAGGAGACCAGATTGCTAAACTCAAGAAGCATAAAGAGCAGGTAGGTTAGATTGTATTCACCTCTTATGGAGACACTTGTATGACATTTAACTTTTGTTAATTGTAATTGATTACCTTTTTCTTTCTCAAGATGAGCAAATTTCTGTAGTAAGTGTTGTAGTTGAAACGTGAATAAAATTGTAATTTATCTGAGTGGTGGTCGGTTGTATGTGCAACTTTGATATTGTTTGAATCGCTAATGTTGATGGTTGGTCATTTACTTATTTACTATTTTGCTAATGCTAAATATATTACTCATTGCGGATGTAGTGATCTTTTAGATTCCTTATTGACCACATTGCGAGACAAACGAATATCACTAGTGATATTATTTTCGATACTATTTTGCTGTTTTTAAATTAGCTGTGCTATTTGATTCTCCACCATTTTCATATTAATGATTGTAGTTGCCTGCTAAAATAAACTCTGTTTATATCATGTGAAATGATTAGTCCTTTCTATTATTGATAGCTATTTGTCCTCTAAATTCATGATAACTGTTATAATACAATGAACCCCAATCCCCTTACATCAAACTTTACAAAGACTTAGTTTAACAAAACCAATTTTTTGTGTGCATATTTATTCAGCTCTCTGGCAAGGCAAAGAAGACAAAAACTTCAAAAGCACAAAAGACCCAGCCAAGACCAGCTCGAACAAGACAAGGATCCGCCCCTTCCACTTCAACCGGAGCCGAAGTCCAGGTCATCACCACGGTGAAGACCAAAGGTCGAGGGGCGGGGCCTATCCATGTATCTAGTGGCGATTCAAAACGCAATCTACAGATGCTACGGGACATGCAGGTGCTGCAGACGTCATTACGAAAAGATGATGTTAGTTGGGATTGAATATAGAATAGGATGGTAATAATAATAATAATAATAATAATAAAAACGGTACTTATAAAGCGCTTACCACCCAAGTCTCTAGCCCCCTGTTGGATGTGAACAGGTTTATTATGACTGGGAACCATCAAGCTTTTATTGATTAATGATTAAGAATAATAATGGATATCATAGATTAAATCCTACATGAAATAAGTCTTGAATGGGGTCTTTAGTGTCATGTATATATGCTATTTTGGAAATAGTGTACAGTTTCAAGATGATGTAACTTGGTATCATGGTTGAGTTATTAAATCATGAATATCTGAGGGGTGTAAATATTGATGTGCCTACAATACACAGAGGAAGGTCTATTCACATCTCAAATTATGAACTGAATTATTTAGATAATTCAATAGAAAGGGAAATTTGTCCAGACAGGATATCTGCTCCATTGCAAGGCTCTGGAGTATTCAAGAAACCAGTCACCAATTTTGACAGTAAACTGTCGTTTGTTGCCAGTCCGTGATATTTACATACACATGTGCGTATGTAATGTATCTGCGGCTGTTATTATTGACATCAAGTTTTATGAAACAGGGTCATGGTGTAAAAAGAAAATTGAAATAAAGAAACAGAAAGGAAAAAAAAAGAAGAAAGGAACGAACGAAAGAAATTCACTCCTACGCAAACTACATAGCATTAGAAATTGCCCAAAATTAAAATTTCTATCAATAAAGTACCATCAGTACTTCCATAACAGCTGCACATTCCATGTACAGTACATGTCATTTCAATTGATTTTAGATGTCAATGAATACTGAAATAATATTGATGATGTACGATGTACTGTAGATCAGTACGCATGTGTGGGTGCTGTGCAAATAATCAGGTTATGTCTTAATGTACTCTAAAAAAGAAATATTTTCTAAATGTTAACTTATCAGAATTTTGAATCTGATTCATCCAAATCTTTAAACCAGCAAAAAGTACACCGTCGTTGGAAGCCAAATCAGATTTGATTTTCTTGCAATCACAAAGTGATGCGAGTGTGTCAAGGCACCTTCAAGGACTCACAATTTCCTAATTTTTGTAATTTTACTTGTAATATCGCAAAGCAAAACCACATGTGAAGTGAAGCCGATAGTTTACATACAAAATACCAGCACTCAACCTCAAATGTCAACCGTAAACAATGTTTTGGTCCTTTTACTGGAAATATTTGTAACTTTGCTTGCTCCCAGCACCAAACTTTCTCTTTGAGCCCTCAAAATGCAAGATTCATGTATAGTTTCTGAATTTTCAACACAGTCGAGTATTCCAATGTCTTGTGTGCTTGAATGTTGCAAGATTTTATCTAAAATATTGAAATATTTATTGATGCACGAAATAGGAGGCTGCAAGTATTTTTGTATATATAGTTTTCCATATATTGTTTTCCATGTTTATAGCTTCATTATAATCTACACTTATCTTCCCATCGACAAGGGTTTTATTCTACCGAATGTATCACTAGTATACTTTACAATGAAGGGTGCCAAAACTGTCTGTACATATATAGAAATTGAAGAGAATGGGTAAAGAAGACATTTTCGTATTTGTTATTAGTATTTATCTATTAGCTTACTCAGTATTCAATGAAAAAGCCAAAATGAAGATGGTGTACAGAGTGTATACTCTCCCTCACAATGACTGAAATTTGTTATTGAATAATTTTTATCATATATTATGTACGTGGTATAATTGCGTCTGTGTTTGGTCTTAAATGTTGGGAAAAGTATTTTATGTATTTCAAAATTGTTGAAATACATGGAGCATGTTGAAAGCTCTGTGCCATAATCACAGTTCTTGAACTATCATATGAATGTTTGTGAACAATTTTCAATCTTGCTATATTTAAGTACTAGTACATGTACTGAAAGTTAGAGTTTTTACATTTTCATAAATAAAGGCCATCACACACCCAATGACATGACTTTGACTGTATTTGGAAACGAATTGCAATAGAATTAGATAAGGAAGTACAGAAAAACAAATGAACAGCATATTTGAGGTACTGAATGATATTTTGATGTTAATATACAAATATCGCACTTGCAAGGTATTTTCATTCATTCCAGACACTGAAAAAGCAAAAGCTGCTACCAGTTAGTGGTTAGAATTAAATTAATTTTTAAATGCAGTCAAAGTTGGGTGGTAAGGTGTGCGATGAACTTTAGTTGACCCACCGACACAGTTCATGTCTGAAGGATTAAGTGCTGTATTAATGGTCTCTATTTTTCATCTGTAATATGCTTCAAAACAATACCAGATTCAGAGATTTTCACAAATAATATGTGTTGCATGTATCAATGTATAATTACAAACATTAAAAAGAAGGAAAAAAAATCCTTTAGGTAGAAGTTTATGGTGCACAAATAGAACAAATGCAAAATAGTCAGTATGATACCTTGTAAATAAAGTATATTTATTTTCATTTAATCAATCATTATACAATGAATGGGGTAAATAAAAGTTGTTTCCAGTACTCATTTAACTAGTGAGTAACAAAGTCACTTTGTTTGATTATGATATACTGTTGGGTTTGAGAGAGTAGCTTAATGTGTACCAATCACGTGAAAAATTATTTGTGTAAAGCTAGTAGGTATAAAATCAACCCTTAAAAAAGCTTCATCCATCATTCTAATGGCTAACAGATAAGGAGTATGAATAAAATAACATGTGGAACTACATACACATGCATCTTTTGGGGTGACCGTGGCTGGTACAGTGTGTAAAAAAACAGAGGTGGAGACAAAGAATGGAAGAGAAAGTGAGGAAGGAGAGGAGAGAGAGAGAGGAAGAGATTAGTCATAACACTTACCAATTCCTCACTTCCACCCTGGACATAACCAACACTAACCCTAAAATGCAACAATTGCAACCCTATCCCTATATTTATGGACAAAAAATATAGCGAGGAGCAAACATTGTCAGATCATGTCTTGGATCTCATTTTCCCACATCCTGATTTCCTAGCTTGTCTCTAACCCCCAACAGCTACTACCTAGTCTACTGTTCAGACATGGCTCAAGATATTTAAAGATAAATCTCACTTAATTGGTTTTCCTCTTGAATCTTGCCATCGAGTACACTTAGAATCAATTTCTCGACGGAGCATGAAATGATAATAGATAATCAACATACAATGATTCAAATTTTGCTCATTTGTTCCTCTTCAAATGTGTACGACATAAAATATCTAGAATTTGCTCTATTCACTCTTGAACCTGCTGCCTCTGATTGAATCATTGTGTAACAAAATTGCACGCCTTTGTTTGTCCACATTCGACGGCGCAGTACTAAATTTGCTGCAAGAATGATCCGAGTCGGTAGATCATTTTGCCTTGCCTCTCCTCTTCTTCTTTTCATTCCCCTCGTCAAACACAATATCCGGTTTCTGTCCTTTCCTCTTCTTCCTCATCTCCTCCATCTTCTTGCGTTTCCTGTTCTTCTCCCTGAAGGCCTCCTCCGCCTGGATGGGTTGGATGATGGTTCCCATCTTGGTGCTGACTTTGGGCGTGGTCAGGGCCTTGACCGCAGAGGGGGTGTTCCAGGTGCTGCCGACAGGGGCGCGGATGCTCCTCTCGAACTGATCCGTGTTGGAGAAGGGGAAAGGGAGCGAATTCACCTGTGCAGGGAAGATGGGGGGAAAAGATTTAGACATTCATATACCAGAATTCTGTTTGGGTCACTGAACCTGTCATACTGACAGATCACTATTGAAGATGATACCAGCAGATATGGGAACTACAGTATATCATCATTCTCATCATCATCATCATCATCATCCTGTCATCACATTCCTCACTATCAACATCATCACCTTCTTGTCTGCACATTTTTCAGTATTTAGACATTTAACAAAATTCAATTTGATTTATTCATTCATTTGTGGGAGGTACATATGATATGGAAAGCTGCTCTTTCCAAACACGAACAAGTTGAAAATCAGTGATTGAGAAAAGAAAGATTATTAACAAAGTCCACTTCATTATTACCTACATGTACCTACATGTGTGTAGCCTATAATCTAGGCGGAGTGCCGAGATTTTTTCTTTGCTGCTAGACTAACCTTAAGCAGAACGTCTGATACAGCGAGACTACAAACCGTGAGCCGCGCACCGCCTATAATCACTGGTCTAGCTTTAGTCGTTGTTTTTTTATTATCGACCATGAATCCGTGGCAGTTTTTCGTACGAAAACTGCCGCGGATTCATGGTCGATAATAAAAAAAAAAACGACTAAAGCTAGACCAGTGATTATAGGCGGTGAGCCGCTTCGCGACTCACGGTTCGTAGTCTCGCCGTATCAGACGTTCTGCTTAGGGTTAGTCTAGCAGCAAAGAAAAAAGCTCGGCACTCCGCCTAGATTATAGGCTAACATGTGTGTTGACAGGCCCAAATACACGTTACTTCATGTAGAGTACCAATACCTATCTATTCTTCTCATACATGTATGTGTGAACCCCAAATTGCACAATGTTATTACTCTTGTTCATCATCTATTTCTTTTTTTCTTCTTTCTTACCTGATGGATGGCGATCTTCTTGTCTCTATTCTCATTGATGATGACATGAGCTAACCTGGCATCCTGTCTTGGAGCTTGAGGTTTTGCTTTCATGGTGAATCTGAAAATTAAAGACAAACAAACAGTTAAAATGGAGGTGCTATGGAACATACGATTTCCCTACAGGTGTTCTGAGCCTCGGAGCTTCAATAATGTTAAACACAGATTCTCATATTTGTCTTTGTAGACAGTAAATAATCAAAGCAAACTTGGACATACAAAGCAAAATTGTCTTGTAGATTTGTAAATATCGGAGAGAAAAAAATTGGATATATGAGGATAATTTCTGTTTGAATACACAACAAAATACTGATCTTATTTCACTTCTATAGTTTTTTAGCATTTGCAACAGATTTCCCCACAATCCAACTACCTTAATTTTCACTTGATAATTTTAAATTATTAGGTATCTTCAAAGGATTGGGGAAAATTAGGTGCATTATTCTTTTGTATTAGTCATATAGTGAGAAAATTTACCTTTTCTTTTTCTTTTTAGAAGCTTGCACCCCTGTTCCTCCCCAGTCACCCCACCCTGGAAGGGTAAGGTCGATGTCCTTTGGTTTGTCTTTCTCAATTCTTGCTTTCTTTTCTTCCTTGAACTCTTCCACCACATCGTCATCTGCAAACGCCTGCTGGATATTCATGCGGTGTACCATCCTCTCGTTGTCTCCATCGACTTCGTCTCCCTGGTCGACCAGCACCGGCATCGCCGACTTCAGCATCTCCTTGGGTTTCACGATAAAGACTTTGCTCGGGTCGACCATTCCTGAGGATTTCTTCTTTGATTCTTTCTCCTTCTGGATGTTACTGTCGGTATGGATGGCATCGTTAGATTGTAACTGTGGCGACTGCTTGCCTTCCTCTTCCAGTCTGTGTAGCCAGTCTTGGTCCTCCAGAGAGGAGTGTGTCTGACGTCTCTCAGTTCCTTCCTCAAGGAGGGACTCCCCTGCACCATCACCTTCCTTATCATCCTCATCATTCACTTCAATGACCTTGACTTTCTTTCGCTTGCTCTTTTTGTCCACTTTGGTTGACTTAGTCCTTTCTTGCTTTGTAAACCCTTTGCTCATCTTTTCTCTCTTCCCTACTTCTACTTCTCCACCCTGGTCATCATTGCCCTCCTCCTCCTCCTCCTCCTCCTCATTCTCATCACTACCATCCTTCCATTTCCTCCTCTCCTCCTGTATCTCCTTCAACATCCTGTGGTCCTTCTCGATCTCGTCCTCCTCCTCATCTTCAGCTTCATTCTCCTCTCCATCTGATCCGTCACTATCTCTCCTCACCTGTACTGCTTCCAGAGCCACATACTCTTCCCCTCTGTTCTTCTCTTCCTCCTCCTCCCCTCTCTCTTTATCCTTCCCAACCATACTGCCGGTGAACCAGGGATTGTTGATATCGCTAAGTGATGGCTGAGCAGTATTCTCCTCTTCCTCCTCCTCTTCATTCTTCTCTCCATTGTTGTCTTCGTTCACCTCTGCAATCTTCTCAGTCAGTTCATGGCTTTTATGAAGCTGCTGAGCAAGCTCTTTTCTTGCCTGTACAAAAAAAAACACACCAGAGAGGATACTTTAATTAAAGAAAATCATTCACCTACCGTATATCATTTATTTCATGCAGAATTAGTTTTGCAAAACATCTTTAGAAGGGTTGCTTCACCGTGTTGGAATGGGTTTTCCTTGAATATTCTCCTTTCTCTATTAACAAATAATCCTAAAATCAATCATTTTCCCTTCCAGTGAGCATTTCCACATTTATGTAGAGGTGTCGTGGTCTAGTAGATGAGGCACCGGACTGTGGATCAAATGGTTTGTGATTCAAGTCCCGCCATGGCACTAATGTTCTTTGCAAGACATATATGTACATTTTCCACACTCGATCCAGGTGAGGTAAATGGGTACCAGGTAGGAATTAATTCCTTAAAATGCTAGAGCGCCATAATGGAAGCCAGGCTAAAGCCTCTGTATCAATTGTGGAGTGCCAGGAGTGTCAAGTTTGACAGACATGAGTGCTATACAGGAACCCATTATTACAATTATTATTATTATCATCCCACTCCCCTCCAAGGATCCAAAATTTGAAAAATGGCAGTCTTTTTCAATATAAAGTGTATCATGGTGTTCACTTACACACCACAGAGTGGTACACATACAGAGTCATTCTCGAGCACAGACAGTATTGGTAAATAAAAAAAAGAAGAAAAGACAGTAGGGACGACACAAAGAGAGGTAGGGAGAGAGGGAGGGGGAGAGGAAGAGAGAGAGAGAGAGAGAGAGAGAGAGAGAGAGATAAAAAGTTACTTACCGATATATTGTGCTTCCCATATCTCATCAAAGTCTTAGCCCACTTTCCAGTGTTCCTATGCTTCAGACTCATTCTTTCCTGTGTGTATGAGAAGTGATTGAGAAACAGTCATAGATAATCTTCATGACAAAGTAGGATTATAAATGTTGCAGACATTACTTTGATATAGCTTTTCAAGCATCGGAAATTCAATTCCAAAATTTCATAACATTAAATGGCAACATTCCACAGCCTGAAAAAACAACTGAAAACAACTTTAACAAAAATGTTCTCTCGTCATACATTACCAGAATTATTGTTCATAAATATCTTAAAGTGATAAATGAAAATTCCACTACTGCATATCTTGAAGGTATATTTACCAAACTTCATGATGTTCCAGTCTTTACAAGAAAATAACCTGACCCCTTTGAATGAAGGTACTGTTACTTGTATGCAGCAGCATTATCACTTTCAGCATGTTTTCAAATATATCTTTAAGGGGAAGACGATAGGAATCTTCAGACATACCGTTGCCCTTGCTTTTTCTAGTTTGTCCATAGTTTCTTTGGCACCTTCAGGGTCATCTTCCATGAGTTCTTCCATCTTCTTAGAGTCCTGTTTTTCCCTGCTCTTCCTCTGGATACGATGGTACCTGCATCACAAGACAAAATATCTTTTAGCAGGCTGTAATCTAAAAGTTCATATTATCAGGTTCAAGAGTTCCGGTGTAGAGAACCAGAGTGCATTCTAATAACAGGTTCTACTTATTACGAGATGAATTCTTCGACCGTCTTTGAATCCTGTGTTGCTTTGCTCTTTCACTGCATCAAAAGAAAAAATATCTACTAGATGGCTGAAATGTAAAGGTTCATATTATCAGGTTCACAAGTAACGGCGTAGAGAACCAGAGTGTTTTCTACTTTTCACAAGATGAATTCTTTGATCTTCTTTGACTCCTGTCTTGCTTCGCTCTTTCGCTGTATACCTTAATACCTGCATCACGAGTGCATCAGATGATAAAATCTATTAGTGGACTGAAATATCACATTTATGGAAAACTCTTCGCTTAGATCGAGATGAGTTCTTCCATCATCTTGGACTCCCGTCTTGCCTTGTTTCTCGATGGTATCACCGTCAGCTCTCGACCTCCATCTCATCAACTGTGTCATTATTTTCTTTTTATATTTTCTTTTTCCTGACTAGTATTTACTTTTTCTTTTTCATTTTTCCTACAGCCCGTAGAGATGTTAACAAATGTATTATGCGCTTTATAAGAACTGTACTATTATTATTATTATTATAAACATGCATTTAGTGAAATCATAAGATCAGATGTTAAAATTTTCAGTATTTCACTCAGAAGAGTATAATTGCTTACTTTTTGCTCTTGATCTTTTTCTGTCTTCTGCACTTGGCTTCGTAGAAGGACATGAGAGCTCTGTGCTTTTGGAGCTCTGCTCTCCTGTCTCGAGCCTGATGATGAAAATACAAAGAGGGAACAGAACAGAATGATTAACAGCTCAATGGGGATGTTGATCATGAACAAACATGTATATACTTGATGTTTTTTAAAAGAGAGTGAAATAAATTATTGAAATGTTCTTCTGACTACAAACAATGCTAACCAGTAATGGCATGTCAAAACAGTGGGGTTTTTCCGCACAAAAATATCCCGTGCAAGAGTTGTAACAGGAAACATTCTCATTCTTGATAAAAGATCAACACCCTGAATGGGATTAAAAAACATTCAAGTGTATGTCAATTAGAGTAGAGGTCTACAAAGTGCCAATTTGTTCTCTTTTATTTTAATTTTACAATGAAACAGAAATGTGTGTCATACCTCTGACAGGCTCATGGCTTTGATAGCCTCTTCTTCAGCCTGAGAGAGTTGTTTGTTGGGCCGCTCAGCAAACTTACTGCCATGCAGAATCTTGTAGACTTCTTGCTCCAATGGAGTGCTTGGCTGGAAGGAAGACAGATGAGAACAGTGTATTGTCAAAGTTGGAAGACAATGGATGGATGCTTATAGACCATTGTAAATATAAAATTTCCCCATCCATTCCCTTGACTAACCCTGTGTATTGCCTGAAAAAAAACTACTGTCTAACATATTACAAAGGAGTGTCTTCCAGTTTTTCTCCACTCCAATAACAGTTAAAGATAAAGATCAGTTCTGGTCATGCGATTGCATTGTGAAAGAAACATTGTGGAATCGATCAGAAAAGGTTGATCATCTAGCATATAAGTATTGGTGTGTACTGCAAGGTTCTGGAATCATCAAAATGATAAGAAATTAGGCCCAGTCTTGGTAAAGTTACAAGGACCGAACACAGAAAGATGTATATGGGACCACGCACAAGTGCATTTTATCTATCACATAACAATAGATACACTAATTTACCCAATATATATCAATTAGTAGGCGGTTTCTCGGCAAAATTTTTATCATTGTATATTAGTCAAAACATATTCTTTCACATGATTGGTAATAAGAGCTTCCATTTCATTTGTTTGAAATTGGGGCATTTCCAATACTGGTCTTTGCCTTTAAGCGCAAGAATTTAAACAACAACATATTAATTGTACATACAAATTTAAAGGTGAAATTCAAAGAAAATTACAAATATGTCAACTAATGTATCACTAGAAACTGGTAAGCTAACAGATGGCCATCGTACAAGTTTGAGGTCAGCTACATATCGGGAGATTTATAAAAATAAAAATACAACCACCTCCATAGCAGCTGGGATATACAAGAGATTCGCCAGAAAATAACGATGTTTTAATGACGTCACAACAGGGAACAATACTGCCCAAGCAGACGACATCCCGTAAAGAATGAACATAATTGCAAAGCTATTATTTGTCAAATTATAATGAGTTTAGTGTATATAAATGTACTGGCACGTCAAACCGATCAAAAGGGGACATGACCCGATTCTGATAACTAAAATCTTATGCTTGTAAATACACAGGATAGGGGTTAATTAACAATCAAAGAAACCAGCCTTTCAAATTGAAAAGCCCCCGGATTGATATTAAGGACGGCATTTGTTCCCTCTTAAAACGCCGAACATACCGCGGTGTCTGCAGCTGAATATACAATGGCGTCTTATTTTGTTTACAAGCGACAGATTCCTTTATTTTTGTATCGCTGCATTTGTCATCAAAATAAAACCATGCGCGGGGTTTAGAGTGAGGCAATAGATTATACATTTAGCCTGGCGGTAGTGAAGTAAGAGAAAGAACTCAAGAGAAGATGAAAATACAGGCACTGAAAATGTGTGAGATGTCATGGTACATCGTCTGCTTGTGCAAATCATGTCCCTGCTGTGATCTCACACATCTCAGCAGCGTTCGGAGAGCTATATTCAGGTGCTATGCCGGGGCTGTATTTAAGCGTTTTGTAATTTATAATAATCATTACTTCGAATGTTTCCAAGCATTGAATTTTGATAACCTTGTCGAATCAAAGTTTCAACTTTGCAATAATGAAAATAAAGCTAGATTTAAAATCAATGAATATCTACTTTAACATAGTCTTCAAGTGGTCAATATGCCTTACTGGCTGTACATGCTCTAAAGACAATCACTCTGCAGTCAATCTCTTTATAGACTGACCAAATTCCTAGATTCAAACCTGGATAAAACCCATTCCTAATCTAACCTAAAACAAACCTAAAAAACGATGGAAACGTAAAGCATAACCCTATATCTTTGACGAGTTACAGCCCTGCGCAAATGTTACTGCAGCAAATGTCGGGCTATCGCCTCACCTTAAACTTCTTGACAAACTGGTCTGTGGTCTGAAGTCCAACGACATCTTGATTGAGAGGAAAGGACAGGTGCTCAGCCTTACGGTTGGTCTGGACTACCTGGTCCCACTTGGAAACCTCCTTGCTCACGCCCTCGTAGGCCATCGTCCGCTGGATCTGCTCAGGTCAAAGGTTACATCGCAAGCAGTATGACATTTAAAATTAAAAATACATCATGAATAAATGAATACTTTTAATGGGAAATGTTCATAGTTTTATACATTCTATTGCATAACATGCACTAATGTTTAAAATCTATATATCCAATTTGGCATTTGGGGGGGGGGGGGGGGGGGTACAGGAATTTGTGTCCTGTTCAGGTGTGTATACATTTCCTACAATCTAGATGATGTACATTCAAACATAGTAGAGAGCAAACCATCTACTGTAAACATGGAAATATTCGCAGTACATTAATTTTTGCGGATTTCGCGCTAAAATCGGTGTCCACAAATTTTAGAACCTGCGATAATATAAACATGACTTCTTATGCGTGTTCTTTACGGGCTGAATTTGGTGCAATGCCAAATTAAGAACCTGCGAATATCTTTTGGGGTTGCTTAGCGCGAAAATAACAGCGTTTACAGTATTATATAAAATGCCTAATCAGTATGTTAGAAGAGGTTGAACAAATTCAAAAGGAAGATACAGCAAACATGAATCTTACTGCCAAACTAGGACATATTCACAGTATCATACTACAGTGATACCTGTACATAAAGACCGCCCAAAGGACAGATGAAAGGTGGTCTTTATGTACAGGATCCTATAGTACAGGTTTCAATGATAAACTTTTTACAAGGAAAACAAAAATTGTGGTCTTTATAGACAGGTGGTTGCTAAAGCAGGTTTGACTTTACAAGTCTTCTGTTTAATAATCATTATCAATCTCTGCACATACCTTCTCTGCTTCATGCTTGTGTAGGGGAGTGGGCAGAGTCTTGCGTTTCTGGACATTGTTCATCTGTTTCTTCAGTGCAGAGTGTGATGGGGTGTTCTTCAGAGACCCCATGAGATCGTGGATCCAGACTCCTTTTCCCTGGACTGCATGGTGGAACCAACAACATAGCGATATACTTTCACTATGAACATGACTGACAATGAGAGCGGACAAAATATACAGTTCCTCAGGTAGACAAAGGAACATCCCTTACTGCTATTATGTAAAAATGTGTAGAACAGGTGTCACATGCATATTCACCTTTTTACATAATAGCTGTGAAGGGATGTTCCTTTGTCTACCTGAGGAACTGTATATTTTGTCCCCTCTCATTGTCAGTCATGTTCATAGTGTTTAGTAAGGTAAAATACATATACCCAGAGGTGTGTCTGGACAGGTTGAGTATTCGATGAGCGAGAGTTGATGTAAAACAGTGATTTGAAGAAGTTTACAAGCAGTACTTTATAAATATTCTTAGACTATGTTGGACAATATTTTAAAGGACAAATATTCATGATGGTTAGTGAAATTGTATCCATACATTTTGTTCAATCTGAATAACAAAAGAGAAGGATTTATGTTTTAAGTGTCCAGACACCTATTAAACTCCCTATCATACTTCCCTCAAATCATCAAACAGACAACACACTGTCTATTTGGAAGGTTGTTAACTCTGTGTTGATGAATATGGTCTAATACCCCTGTAGCTCCTAACAGGCAAAGAAAGGATTTAGGCTGGCATTTAAAAATAATGTACATACATTGCAGCTTTGTAGTACATTTAATTCATTCTCTTTACAATGTCACCATTTCAATGCAAGCAATGTTAAGTTTCTAACTTCTAGATGACAAAAACTTGAAAGTGTATGGAATATAGATGCTCTCCCACCCAGCTTTGTCATTGAGAAAGAACGGTCTTAATGAAAGGAGAAAAGCGTGTGTTGCATGAATGCAACTTACTTACCATCCTTGGTATTCAGCTGGTATTCTGAAACTACTGCACTGGCTTCTGACCTCTGTTTGACCTTTGACCTGCAAATTACGCAAACAAGAGAGGCACAACATCAATATAAAGTAGGGTGGCATTCCTGTTTAATACTCAGGAGAGATGTTTTGACTTCCAAGGAAGTGTTAAAAAATGAAGAAAATCAAAGGAATACCAGTATTCAATATTCAAATTCACATTTATTCGGCAAAAGATAAAAACATCAAAATGAAATCATTACAAATGAAATCATTATAAATACCGGGATTGCTAAAATAAGTTAAAAACTTGAAAACAAGCAACCCCAAACATAAAAAACATACAGATACTATACAATACAATACAATGAAATACGATACAATAGAATAGAACACAATAATAATTATGTAACATGCTGACAAAATATATGAATCAATTATGTATCTCAATAAATCAATAAGTGGCAAGTATTGTTCTTTTCAGTTTAAGTTTAAATGCGTTGTGGTTCTTAATACCCTTTAAATAACTTGACATGGAGTTCCATTTGTGAGGACCTTGATATCTAATTGATTTATTTTGCAAAAATGAGTTAGAGAATTTTGGTAGATGGAAGTCATTTTTTTTCTCTTGTATTAAAGGAGTGGACATCCGAGTTCAAATGAAAACTGTCATAAAACGTTACTGGAAGCAAATCATTTTGGAGTTTGTACATAAATAATAAAGTCTGTTGAGAAAGAATATCTGGAAGTTTGAGTAAATTTAAGGATTTAAATAACGAAGAGGTGTGCGCCCTGAAGGAAGCGTTGCAGCACACAACCGAACAGCCTGCTTTTGAAGTATGATAAGGGGCTTTAATAAATTATTAGACGTTCTCGCCCACACTAAATTACAGTACGTTAGGTAAGGATATATGAGGGTATAGTATAGAGAAAGCATGGTAGAGGATGGTAGAAAACTTTTGAGCTTATTCATTACACTGACTTTGGACCGAATCTTCCTGGAAATTAATTCAATGTGTTTTGCCTATGTAAGTTTGTTGTCAATGGCAACTCCTAAAAAATGTGCAAATTGTACCTGGTCAATACAGTTACCATCTATTGTCAGATTAACATTTTCAATTAAAGTATCATTTTTTTTGCCAAAGTTAAAAATCATGAACTTTGTTTTGGTCTGATTAATTTTTAGTTTATTTGCTGAAAACCAGCTAGCAACCTTTTGAAGTTCAACACTGGCTTCGAAAATTAAGTCTTTCAAATTTTTACCAGAATAGAAGATGTTTGTGTCATCAGCATACAGTACATAATGTAATATTCTTGAAGACTCAACAATGTCATTTATGAAGAGCAAAAATAATAACGGCCCAAGATACTACCTTGAGGAACACCTTGCTTCATTAATAGCAATTCAGAGTCAGATTCATTATATTTTACAAATTGTGTTCTATTAGACAGATAACTTTGGAACCATTCCAATAGAATGCCTCTAATTCCATAAAAACTTAATTTTCTTAATAAGATTTTGTGATCCAAACAATCGAATGCCTTGCTAAGGTCTACATACACTCCTAAAGCTATCTCTTTCTTTTCATAAAATTTGTACAAAAGTTTGGATGCAAAAAGTAAGGCTGACTCTGTTGAATACCATTTTCGGAATGATATCATCAGTAAATCTTGATTTGTTTAATTTGAAAATGCAAATATTACACAATGAAGAATAATGGTAAGGAGAGAACTGTACTTCATGACAATGAACTAGAAGTGAGAGACATCGAGAGAGAGAGAGAGAGAGAGAGAGAGAGAGAGAGAGAGAGGGGGGGGGGGAGAGGAGAGATACATGTAGTAAGAGAATGGGATAGGAGCAGAGAGAGAGAAAGAGAAAGTAGAAGAGAAAGAGAGAAGTTGACTTCAAATACAAACTGTGGAGCATGTGCAAGGAGCAAGTCTACTGGCACAAGGAAAAGAATGCAATCATTACATTTTCTAGCAAAATGTAGAATCCATCTTGACATTTTGTATATTTTGGATGGACATAAATACCTGTAGTACAAAATATCTTGAAACACATCATGCTTACCTCCTTTTTGTTTCCATGCCGCCAATGGCTTCCAAGAGTTTAGAATGTCTTGAGTCGTCCTCCAAGTCATCCTGTTTATTGAGATAAGATGAAAGCAGACTGTCAGTCAGACTCGGTTTCCTTTTTTAAATTCCAAAATACTTTTAAAGAGGTGCTCATTATTCAAATAGGTTGAACCTTTAAGAATCCTGGGCCCCGTCTTATAAAGAGCTGATATCAATCGCAACTATGTGAATAAGAGATAGGAGACTGGCAGACTGCAAACTTGCGTTTGATTGGAGGATTTATAAGACGTAAAGGCGGGCCGAGTTAATTCTGCTGCCCAAAATTTAAGTTTCAGCCTTTGCTGTACTTTTTATTTTCTTTAAATACCTTTAGTCAATATAATCTGTGAGAATGCTGAAATTGAAACGTTTGAAAAAGGAAATAAAAAAAGGGATTACTGGCATTAATTCCCAACTAAAAATTGAAAATAAACAATAACAAAACTACTTCAAAGTGGTTTACCACTGATCATAAATGTAGCTATTCACCCTGTTGTCTACTGAAGATAGCATCTTTCATAGTATAGTAATACAGTAAAAACAACTCATAAACTAAATGCTTTAAAAAAAAGAAGAAACTTTCATCACAATACTGGGTTTGGAAAACAAATCTGAAATTGTTTTCAGCATCAGTGTACAGAAGTGAGAGGTGATCCTGTTAAAACTTCCAGTCCTTAAAAAGTTTTAAAGATATTTAAAAATGGAAAAAATGCAAGATTCTTTTTTTCTTGTCTACTGAAGACAGCATTCATTTTAAAATGAATGACCAAAATAATACGATGAGTTGGTTCCATATGAAAAATCACCCTTTCGTCTGTCTATTTTGATTAAAAAATTCACCTTACTTTTTGTTATGATCCACACACAATACCAATAGGTTCCTGAACTCAGAGAAGGCAAAATTTGGCTGGGAAAAAGTGCATGGTTGTTGGTGTTGTTTCTTTTGCACTTTTAAAAGTTAAATCTTCAGTATGGGAGACAGTTTCTCAGTCTCAAGTAGGAGAGATCTCCCAAATCGGTTTGTATGCCACTAGCCTGGAGTATTGCTTTACCTCATCTTCACTCGCACTGATGTCAGGGTGAGAGCCATCATCGTCATCATCGCCCCTTCCAACATCGGAAGCCTGAAGGCTGGAGGAAGAAAAAAGATACAATTTGCTTCACATAAAATAATTCCTAAATGGCTTTGACAATGTCATTTATAAAAAAAAAACCAAGGAAAACAAATCAATCATATTTCTCTGCCTGTCGCACCTTTCAGGCAACATAATCATGACATATAAGCAGTGATAAGACTTGTTTGACCAATAGTCAAGACCAAGCCAGATAGAACGAGACAAGAGGGATGAGTGCACCTGTACCCAGACCTGTGACATACAAAGTGCGATGGACATTGTGCCATCCTTTTGAGTTTTACCATTTTTGAATATTTTTGAAATTAGATTTTTGATGAACTCTTACTTTTAGTTTTAGTAGTTCTTTCTTGGCAAGGTATGGTTTCACATTACCCACCTGGAATATGCTGGACGACATGACATCGACTTGGGTTTAATTTATGATTAATTGCAGGTACCGAACAAAAGTCCCAAGTTAAACATACAGAAAGTCAGAATGAGTCTCAGTTAGTGCAATTACGTACTGAATTTGCATTAATTAGGGCCTATTTTGTCTTTGAAATACAAATGGTAGACAAAGCCTTTCCATAGAGGGTCTCATTTTCATGTTAATCAGTTTATCATTATCAGCCAGTGTTTATAAGTCATGACATGAGCTTAAATGATGATCCTCGATCAGGATGAATGAATTTTTTTGAGAAAGACGAGATTTTAAACTCTTTCATATCCCGTTATTTATTCATCGGCATATTATTACCACACTCAACACAACCATAACCTGATAAATAATTTAAAGGTGATATTTACCTTAGCAAGACGTCCATTGTCAATGTTCCTGTCCAAATACGTTGTCTGAAAAGGCCCAAATGCTCTCACTTCGACCTCCGGAAAACTTCTTTGATCCAGCCGTCCGCTAGCTCAGCTCGAATTATCTAGCTGCGTGTTCTAAACAAAACCCAGGCCGCTACTGTACCGTCAACATTCGCCCCCAAAGTGCTCTTACTCCCCACTATAGTACTACGTGAAAGGTGCCGGGTGGTAGGCGCACGTGTGTGAATACAAAGTGGAAGACGATCGTTCTCGGCTGAAAGTAATGCAATTTATTTTAATTAAATAAATTATTGTACCAACCTATTTGGGTTTAATATCATTAATATGTTTATAAGAATATTATTTCGAGATTTAAAAATATTAGCAAGAGTAAATGAGGCTTTTGAGGGTCAGGCGAAGTGACCTCAAGTTGACCTTTCTCAGGAAGATCCAGTAAAAAGATTGTCAACGAAGTTGCTTTGACACAACTCGTATGAACTGAAATCCTGATATGAGAAGAAGTCTATAATCCTGAACATGTATACTGGTTTTTATTTTGAAATATGAGTTCCAAGACACATTCCAATTCATTATTGGCAGGTATGATACTTTATGACTTTCTAAATATTAAGACTTTTTAAGTTCACTTTCCGTTGTGCATGGCATTGGCTTTGGCTCTTCAGTGTTTCTCATTTGTCTTGTGTGTTTTTGTGCTGAGCTGAGCTGTGGCGAGTATTAGGTCTATGGCTGTGCTGTGTGATGTGTTGTGCGACTTCATTGACTCTCTGACTCTGAGCTGACTCTGCCAGTCTGAGCTGAGCTGAGCTGAGCTGAGCTGAGGCTGAAGGCCTGAACACGTAGAGCTTAAGCTGTTAAGTGAGCTATCATTATCTAATATGAAATGGCACAAGTGTGACGGATGAAGCATGCCAGTCAGGAACACGAAGAAGAATGTTTCTGGAGGTGTGATTTGTGAATTAGAAATCTAGAAGAACTGAATTAAACATGTTGTGTTCAATTTTAGATCATCAATCCTGTCAGTAGATCGAGGCACTGGTCTGAGAATAAGGATCATCCACACAAATACGGATCGTCTTCCTAAATGCGGACAGACTCGTCCGCAAAATTAAGGATTGTCCACATTTTTGCTGACGATTCTGATTTCCGATCCGCGCATTGGATTCTGCAATGATTTTCTTGATGCATTTTAGTTGACTTTGTAGTATTGTACAGAGCCTTTCACGTTCGCGATAAATCCTTGGGGAGACGGCCCATAAAATTAAAAGTAGACTGAACTGGTGGTAATTTATAACGCGGAATCAATTTTTAGCATCGCCAGCGCGCAGAAGTACAAGAACCCGAAACGAACTGCAGAGCGCTGAAGAAAAAAAAACGTACCCAAAAATGTTCACGGACGATTCTTATTTTTAGGATACATGTTGTCCGGGTAGAAGAAGAAATCCTTGTTTATGCGGACAATCCTCATTCTCTGTCCAGCGCCCCTACTGATCATGCTAGATTTTTTGACCTCATTAAGATGACCTGCAAAAATTATATACATGTAGATCGACTGAGAAAATATGAGATATTTTGAATGAGTACAGGGCCTAATACACAATTCAACTATGAGCAGATGAGTATGACAATAGACCAGTGAGGCTGTATGTGTCAACATCTACATTGTACGTGTTTAAGTTATTAGCCATGCTTCGTGCACCAAATTGCTGAGGTTTTTTGCTGGAAAACACTAGTCTATGCCTCTATGGCAAGAGGGGTAGTTTTAAAAGCATAGTATAACTCTCAGAGAGATGAAAATGAAAGATTTGCATTAATTAATTTACATTTTACCTTGATTTACCTTGATGTTGGGCTTCATGTATAATTACTTATATGCCCCTCTGCAGCAGGATTAGTGTCTGTATGTACTGGGGATTGGGCCTACGTCGGAGCTTCGGACAATGCAATAGCAAGGAAACATTTCTTTAGGGTTGTACTAGACCGAATTTTCCGTCTCTTTCGTTCGTTAGCCTCTTATTTGGGTAGGGTCGGCCGGCTCTCTCTTTAGAGACGGAAACCGTCTATACACATTCCCTTGATAACGCCACGGCCATTTCAGGTCGTAGCGTTTTGCCCCCAAAATCCCCAAAATGTCATTTTACCTCGTGCATGTTATATTGTAAATTAGGCCTAGGCTATAATAAATCAGTTCCACTTACCAACTTGACTGAAATAATCAGTTTAATAGTCCCTTTTTAGGAATTTATGGGTCAAAATCGAAATCCATGTTGAAAAAGATTTTCAAAATGGATTTCGATTTTGACCCATAATTTCCTAAAAAGGGACTATTAAACTGATTATTTCAGTCAAGTTGTTAAGTGGAACCGATGTATTATAGCCTAGGCCTAATTTACATGTGGATATGCACGAGGTAAAATGACATTTGGGGGGATTTTGGGGGCAAAACGCTACGACCTGAAATGGCCGTGGCGTTATCAAGGGAATGTGTATAGACGGTTTCCGTCTCTAAAGAGAGAGCCGACCCTACCCCAATAAGAGGCTAACGAACGAAAGAGACGGAAAATTCGGTCTAGGGCTGTACATGTCATATTCAGCCCTCCATGCTTTTTGTACAGTATGTGCATTGTGCAAGTACATGATCATCCCAGTATACATGTATAGTTGAGGACCTGTTAAATTGGTTGAACAGAATTTTACTTACAAACTTACATATGAACACGTATTGTACAAGGGTAGATATGAACTTGACTGTCAAAACTTCTTCTTCAGAATGTATGTGAGATCAGTTAAAAGCCTGTCTCTACTAGTTTGGCCAGGAGGGATTAGATCACCCAGCTTGGTGACTGACGGGTCACAGGTGGCTATCTATCTCATCAACTCAGCTCTCGATTAACATAAGAAAAAGAGGTTCATGGGGTACCAACGGGCACCACTTAGGCATTGTTTTCTATAAAGAGGGAGCAAGAACTGTAGCTACAATTAGTGCAGCGGGCTTTAAGTTTGACTTGTAAGTTGTAGCTGACCTAGATTTTCGTTCAGGTTTTTTAAATTTCACTTTGTTTTTATTTTTGTACATATGATGGTTTCTTGTTATTTTAATTGATCCCTGGTCAATCTACCCACTTAATAAACTTACACCTTCTTACCCACTTGTATTTGCTGCCCATGTTTGATTTTATTGCCTCCCTTTAATCTGTCCGTGTTTGATTGTATTGCAGCCCTTACAGAAGTAGATCTGAGAAACCCATCGTTGGGGTTCTCGCAGAGTTTCACTGTTTTCAACCAACAGTCCTCTTCACCGGCAGTGAGCAATAGTTCAACAAGAGCTTCTTCATCAACAGAGTAAGAACCGAGACAATTTGAAAAATATAAATTAAAGGCCTTCTGTACTAGTTTGGCTAGGAGAGATTAGACCACCCAGGGTGGTCACTGACAGGTGGCTATCTCATCAACTCAGCTCTCAATTCACATAAGAAAAAGAGGATCATGGGGGACCAATGGTCACGATTAGGCATTGTTTTTATATCTATAGAGGGAGCAAGTAGCTACAAGTAGTACAGTGGGGCTTTAGTAAAAAAATCAGATTTGAAAGACAGTTTCAAGTACTATAAGGAACAAAAAGTTTCCTATGTTGCTACATGTACAGTACATGTATGATTTTTAATAACGTAAAATATGTGGAATTACAGGTCTTTGCATTAATGTTGTATATAAAACACATACATAAAACTTGGTAATAGTTTTTGTCCATATCATCTTCCATTCATCTTTTATTTGTTCCCTCTTGTGATGTGGAACCAGAATGAATAATATGTTACAGGTGTCATTTTAAATGATATTGTGGGGTGCTTTTTGGTGTTTTAAACATTTACATGTACACATCTGTAAGCAAAGAAAGATTTCCATACAACCATTAAATTAATCAATAAAATTGATCATGTGGCTGTCATTGACCACATTCACATTAACTTTACTTCTCGTTTCTCAATTCTCTTTTTCTTTTAGTGGATCTAGTAGTGAAGAAGTTCAAGTGATCAGCTCCAATACATCAGATTCTTCAACCTCATCAGCACCACAACTACACTTAGTCCTGTCACCTCAACATCGTGATCCTCAGGTATTAAAAGAAAATCTTTAACAGGGGGGTGTTTCACAAAGACTAAGATCAACTTTAAGTTGAACTTAACTATGGCAGGCCTTTCATGCCACTAGTTCCTCTAACCATTCCTGGCATTGGTTTCCCAAGGGACGTACAAATCGTGGTCACAAATCTACAGACTTTACCTTTTTTGACAGTTCATTATTGAAGGAAAAAATAATTATCTAAAGATCATAATTGGGAGACCAATGGTAACTAGTGGCATGAACAGCCTGCCATAATTAAGTCCAACTTAAAGTCGATCTTAGTTTTTGTGAAACACCCTCCTGGTAGCTGTCATGCCTCTCTTTCCTGCTCATTCTGATAAACGCTCATTATATCCCGCAAGTTGTAGAGGTAATTTGGTCATGTGGTTTAAAGATTCCTTTGGACATGTGAATGTTATAGGCTCAAGTCCCAGCATAGTGCTAATATGAATGTGCTTTGGTATGACATTTTCTACATTTTCCTCACTTGACTTTAGTGTAGTACATGGTACGGTACATGTCATGATGGACTCATTCCTCTCAAGCAGGGAAAAAAATATTAAACAATTTGGGGGCTACTTTTCAAGCTTGCTTGCATGGAAATAAGTGAATAAGGCTCTTTTGTGACTTTCAAAGGCTCTTTTTGGCATTTGGATGGCAAATCGAGCCCCCATGTATTTTCCCCTGTTCCTCTGCACAATGGCAGTAGAAGCTAGGGCCACAGCAATGAGTTACAAAAGTGTACAGAGAGGTTTTAAAGTGGTTGCTACATGAAGAGTGTACACAGAGACTGTTATGTAATTAAACAGTTCATTATTATACATTATTACTTGTTTTGTATATATATTTTAGGAAAGACATACCAAATTATGAGGACACTCTCAAACTTCCTCACTCTGAACAGAGGATTTCGAAAAGTAAATTATTCTTGAACTCGGTTTTCTGTCTTTAAATGATCTCAACTCAAATTTATTCAGTTCTTGATGTTTATTGACTTAAGAAAGTTTACATTATAATATAAACTAATAGATTAATATAATTTCATTTGTTCCAGTGTGCTTTCTTCATGTTCTTTTTTTGTTATTCCAGACATATGACAGGAAAGATACCAAAGCAATTCCAAAGAAAGGTGCGTCACCAGGCAATCAGAGTGCTCCAGGTTTCAGTCAGAATCCTTGGAACGTGAAGAAACATGAAGTCAAGCTCAGCATTTTAAAGGCGGGAGGTGACAGGTTGGTCAATTTTCATTTGTCTTCTTGAAATTTCTAGAGCAAATTGTTTAGATTGTGCAAAGCTATTTCATTCATCTTGTCAATAGAGTATCGAAGTGCTAATGACATATTTGCTCGTCGTCCAGGTTAAAAATTCAGTGATAGTGCGCTTGTGTGAACTCTACACCATAGATTAGCACAAAATTGTTAAGAACCAGCAACCTTGACAACTTAGCCAGTATAATGTCACAGTTCAGTATTCTATTGATAGCTGGTAGATCATATTGTACAAACAATTTCCATTTTGGTCCAGTTTATTTCCCTTGCTTTGAAAAGCTCTTAAAGACATTTCTTGCTAATACAGTGTATTGAAAGCATTCTTTGGTGTTTTTGAATTGTGCGATACAAAGAGATATGTTCAATTGAATTAGAAAGTTTGAAGTGTAGATAGTTTGTAATGTCAGATGGAGACAATTAGAAATATTTTCAAGAAAAAAAAAATATTGTAGGGATCGTCACCTGTAAGTAAGGATGGATGTGGGTTTTAAATGTTTCCAGCTCCGATGATACATGTATGTTCGAACCTTGTATAGAATGGCAACCATTGATTAGTTATCACAATTAGTATGCTTAACTGAGATCAAGAAATCCTGTTGTCATTCTAGCAACGTCCCTGCTGCAATACTTGAGAAGACCGGTCGGTGCATAACTGCAATGAATAGCTCCTCCCCGCAGAGTGGGGGTCGCGGAAGGGGGAGAGGCAGAGGCAGAGGCAGAGGGAGGGGCAGAGGGGACCATGACAACCAAAGCAGTGGAAGGGGGCGGGGCCTTAGAGGCAATGCAACAGGCTTGAATATGGCAGGGTAAGACATTGTGTAAGACATGATGAAAGCATGGATTTATTTTCTTCAAAAAAAGAACATTTGTAACCTAGTAAAATCAAAAACATGCATGCAATGTCTACAAATGGATTTTCTGTACAAATTCCCCCACTTGCTGTTTACTTTGATGGGGCATGTTGCCTCTAGACTTTATTCTGATATGTGTTATTAAAAGCAAGTGGGCACCTGGCTGGAATGCTCCCCAGGGAGTGGAGAATGTGCATACATTGTGTGCGGGTAAGCCTGAATCCAATGACTGGGGTAATAATATGATTGCAGAGCCCTCAGGGAGAACAGTTTGAATACTGATGAGTCTACCCTGGGAAAACAAGACATATTATTATTATTATTATTAAAAGAAAAAAGAAGTTGATTGAGAGAGAGAAAAAATAATATACTCATACTGTCAACCAAAGAGGTTGTTCTTAATGTTGAATAATGAATGAAAGTTTTTTTGATTCACTGAGAAGATTTGTTCTTACATGAAGAATAAACTTAATGTGATTACCTATCTTTGTATGCTTGGTATTCTAGGAGACAGCAACAGACAACTCCTGTTACAACAGGGCAAGCTCCTCAAGTACTCTCTAGGAATTGGCGCTTTGCCGACAGGTCAGATTCAGCTTAGACCAATAAATAGAGGCAGCATATGCCTCACATCAAAAAGAATAACATGTTGTACGCGTTTGCATGTGTTTAGAAGAAGAACAGATTAGAATTTTTTTTCTCATAGAAATGGCGGTCCCTTGTTTTCTGTGTATTTTCAAGTTCATGGGATCACTAGAAGTTCTTGTGTACATTGGATAAAAACTGCCTATTTTCGATGCAGAAATCGTTAGTGACATTTAATAGTTATGCAGAGAATAAAATTTGTGGACATGAAGTTAGATGTAACAGCTCAAAGGTGCTAGATTGAGATCATACTGGGATTTTTTTTGTTTTCCTAACATACAGTTGATTGAGTTGAGATTCCTACTACATTGTATTTGTAAGGGATGTAGATACTGTATGCCCTTTTTAGACATGAACAAGTCGCAGTGGGAGTTATCATGGATTTTAATGTTAGATTATAAATCCTTTTTCTCTCTTTCTCTCGCTTGCACAGAATATCAAGTAGCAATTCAAGTGCCCAGTTGCCTGTCCAGGAGCATACCATCTCTATGGTAACCGTACCACACACCACCCCTATGGTCACGGTACCACACACCACAGCTGGCACCGCCAATGCCACCAGCAACGTTGCAACCCACCTATCCCAGAGTTGCAGCAACACGGCAAGCAGCTGTTCCACTGCCATTCAAATTGGCAATAACTCTGCCGTATCTTCCACCAAGTCAATGGTAGCACAATCCTCAGGCCTCGAAGACACTACACAGAGGATGGAGGTTGGAGCGACGGAAAGCACAAAAGAAGGTGTGTTGCAAGTACATGTAGGAGGGTTTTGCAAGTGAAGTTTTAAAGGCATCCTTTAACAATGTTAAATCTGAGATGCACAGCCCTACGTGTTATCAGTGTCTGTGATATGGTGTCATATTGAAGCCCTAAAAATAATTGCGCTTCAAAATGATCAAGAATTGCCTCAAAGAAGTAAAAAATCTTTGAGTGACCGGTTTTACCATATTCGTTTTCCTGAATAGACTGTAGTGTTATGAAAACCGTTTTGCAAAATTTGGTTTCGATTTCCAGTCATAAATATCTTGATAATCACACAGGAGATCTGCTTGTAAAAATCATGGGATTCCTGAAGGGCCTATCTCACTGAGCAGCGAATGCTTGCGAACGTTGCGAATTTGGATTCGCCAACTTTTCTGACGAATGTTGGCGAAAATCAGCGACATTAAGTGACGTTTAGCGACAATTAGCAACATTTGAGCGAATGTCTCCGAAAGTGTTTGCGAAAGGCAGTTGGCGACTATTAGCGACTGTAAACAAATGTTAGCGACAACTTTTGCGAAGATTAGCAACTATTTGCCAATCCTTTGCCACTATTTGTGAACGTTTGAGACCTTTTGCTTACGACTGTTTTGCAAACGCTAACGACTGTTTTGCAAACGCCTGCAACTGTTTGCGGAAAAATAAATTCGCAAAGAAAACTGTTTGCGATCTTTCTTGCAACCTTTTACAACATTTTACAAACTCTGGCGAAACCCCAAATTCGCTACGTTCGCAAGCATTCGCCGCTCAGTGAGATAGGCCCTTGATTGACCTAAAGGTTTTTAATAATCATTGCAGCATGAGCTAAATCCAGGATTTTCTTTCAGAATCTGAGACAAAGTTTCTGATTCCCTTTAAGGTGTATCATGGCGATGTCTTGTAGGTAACCTCCTTCAGTCCTGGTATTCTATGAGAGGAGTGAGAATATAAAGCCTGTAACACTTGTTGAGGGGGTAAATATCAGAGCACTAGAGATGCAACACTCATTCTGGAGAACTGTGATCTATTTTCTCTCTGTGAACCTCAAGCATGGTCTGGGATTGATTGAAACAAAAAATGATTTGATATAAAGAATGATTTTATGATTTGTCATTTCAGAGAATTTAAATGCTGCAAAACCAGAGAAAGAAGAGTCTTCCGAAACGAATGATTCTAGTGAACCTTCTAGTCCTCCCAAAGAACCCATGGTAAGTTTTATTTCCTTCAAAAGAATTTCTTGTTAAAATCAATGTCATATAAGATTCCTTAGCTGAAATTATGTTATTCTTCAAATCTTTTATTTTTTTCTTACCTTGAAATGTCTATCAAACAAGCACTAGAATAGCGCGATTGCTCATGTTTTGATCACAATGGCTAAGTAACTGTTGGCCAGTTATTAAAAAACAATGAATCTCCTTGTCATTAATTGCTAGTACGTTTCAGAATTTAGCAAATTATGCTACCAAGCTTATTTCATGAATGCACAACTACCATTCTTGTTTTCTTTTCCTCTTCCGTAGGAAGCTTTGTGCTCAAACTGTGGGGCATGGTCTGGGACTGATCAATACTGTTCATTTTGTAATGTTGATTTTGCATCCAACAAGCCAAAGAAAACTCGCCCAAGAACTACTCAATTTTTCCCTACTCCAAGACCAACCTACCGTAAAGAGGATGCAAAGGGATACAGAAAATCAATTAGGTTACCGGAACCTGCCAAAGATTTATTGTCAAAACTGAATGCTGCAACAGGAACGACTTCACACGGGACAAGCACGGTATCAAATACTAGTACAGGAAACACACAGAGTGGAAATGCACAATCAGATCTAATAAGAGTAAAGTCACTGGCACAACCTGGAATCTGTTTGAAACCACATCCTACAAATAAACAGAGATTCATCGTTGTGAACAGTGTACCAACTACAACAAATGCCCCCTCGACGACAACCACAGGACACTCGATTGATGCAAAGACATTCTATGTGAATAGGATTGCAGCGGTCAGCTCAGCACCTGCTGCCAGTATGGGAGGCATTACTAAAATGGTTGCCTTGACAAAGGATGCTAAGGACAATAGTATCCCGAAAAGTAGGAAGAGAAATTTGAAGTCAGGAGGAGGAAGGAAAACTCCTGCAAAGCGAGTCCCACCGAAGCGAAAGGAACCAGGTGAGTACTGTAGAAAAATAATGAAGACAAGGATACATCTTGTGTGTGTGTGCGTAGGTAAACGCCAGCAACCGCGGACCACTCCATAGAAAACTACCTCAAACCGCGTACGTACCTGCAATGGGGGACTGTCCACGGTTGCGATACCGGTTCCGCCGTATCAAATTTACGACGTAGGGGGCGTTTGAATATTATATGTCACAGCGTGTAGGCAACATCGACTGGATCAATCCTAAGGGGATCGCGAAATGTCACAGCGCCCCCTTCGATGACTGCGCGGGAGAGGCGCTCGCTACCTGATCATCCCATAGCAGGTACGTCCGCGGTTTGATGTAGTTTTCTATGGAGTGGTCCGCGGTGGTGGGTGATTACCTACGCACACACACACAAGTACTAAACTTGGTCCACGGTTTGCACCATAATTGTGTAGTGGTGTGTGTGTGTATTGGGTTTTTACAGACGTGTATCAATCAGATATGATTATTTACGTCTTGGGACCAACCTTTAAACATCACCATCCGAAAGACGGGGCTTAGTTTCGAACTTGTGTCCTCTGCTGAATCAGTTTGTAACTTCCATTGTTAGCTGGATTACAGGCGCACGCCACAACGCCCAAATAGCTATTGTTAGATTAAAGACGAACTATTTACTTGAAAAAATAATTATGTACAGTTGGTATATATAAAATCCACCTAAGAAAATCTTTACCCCATATTCTATGGGTTAACAGTCAATGAATATGAAGAAAACAAAGATCGTTCAAATGGGAAGGCCGCTTGAAAGCAAAATCTGCTATGTTATCATCAAGTTCTTTTAAGCCTTCAAAATAGAGAACCTGGTGGATGTTTCATCCACAGACTTCATGACCGATGTTCTTGGTTTCATAATAATAATTTCTCTAATCTCTATGCACTTTGTATGATTTCTCTTCCTTGATATCTATTTGTCATTTTGAACTGTGATATCATGTCTTGATGTCAAATTTTCTTTGAAAAGTGCAAGTAGATGTGATGAAATCTAATTTCTTACATTTCTTGCGTTTGTGAACAGACACTATAACTGGGTGTAAACTGCTTGTGGTAGTGGTAGTTATTTTACCTGACTGCTAAGAAAACATAAATGCTTATTAGTAAGCAACCAGAGGACCGACGGCTTAAGCATACCTGCCATCATCCCGATTTAGGCGGAGTTCCTCCGCATTTTTCATACCAACTCCGAATTCCGAGTGCATGCCTCAAAACTCTGATTTTTTTTAATTTTAAAATATTTTTAAAACAAACGACTGTTGCATAAGACTAAAGCATAACACAGCACTGATAACCAGATCACGCCGACATCTGCGCTCACGCTCATAGAAGATATACACAGCGCAGCCCGAACGTGATCGTTAGTTCCGTGTACTGCAGTCATTATCCATGTACTGCATGTACTAGTACATGGAAGCATGTGCGCAAGCTATATCGATAAAGTGTGTGCGGACGTTGTACTAATACATACACTACATGCAGCGTTGTTGCATAGTAACTGCATGCGTATAGCCCACGTGTATTTATATTACATGTGCAGTTGATACACCGTGCATAAACACTGTATACATTGGCGTGTTTTCTTCAATGCTTGTGTGATGACTGCGATCGTGGAAGCTTGTTATTTACTGGACTTCCTCGGATTTATTTTGGATTACTACTACTATATACCTTTGCAAAATAGGGCTCCTAACTGAGGTGGGTAGTGAAACATGTAGTTTTGTGAGTGTTCACATTTTGATATTTCAAAAATTGTTTATGTGTGGGGCGAAAAGGTTGAAGGAAAAGGCCCATTTGCACCATTAAAATGGAGAGAAAAAAAAATAGACCCTAAAGTCCTGTGTACCCCCCCCCCCCCAATCTACGGGCTACTACCCCAATCCTTCGGTGGTTCGCGACCTCGTAGTCCATCCAGAAAAATTTACTCCTAATTTCTCTTGTCTCAGGTTGGCAGGTATGCTTTAGGTCCTTTCCGAAAGACCTGGTAATGAGGATTAATGCCTTACCAAAGGGCACTAGCACATTGCCTTGATTTCGAACCCGGGTCACCGGATTACGAGACCACTGCTCTACCGACTGAGCTAAGAGTCTTGAGATGATTTTATATAAATTATTCTTTAGTAGTTTTCTTCATGCAGATATGTTATAATAATAATATTAATAGTTTGTTCTTTTATAGCGCATTTCAGGACCGAAGGTCCTCTCAAAGCGCTTTACAATGTACAATGTACGATTACATAATAATTACTCAAAGCATTCATCAAAGAGGTGAGTTTTCAGCATCCTCTTAAAAACTTCAACATCAGTCATGGAGCGTAGCGACACTGGGAGAGCATTCCAAAGTTTTGGGTGTAAATTACTGTTTATAAAATTTCTTGACATGATTTTATATAAATTATCCTCTATTAGTATTCTCCAATTGCAGATATGTTATAACTGGGTGTAAACTACTGTTGATGATTCTTGACATGATTTTATATGAATTATCCTCTGATGCTTTTCTTCACCTGCAGAAATTGTTCTAATATCAGATAGTGAAGATGAGGAGGAAGAAAGTGCCAAACAAAAGTCTACCGATGCAGCTGCTACAGAAGATGGTAAATACATGTATATACCTTTTACAATTGAAATAGGCTATAAGCTTGTGGGATCGTCAAAATTGGATGTACAAATTGAAACGTTGAGTGGCCAAATGTGGATTTAGATGTAATAATAGGTCATCTTTCACCAAAAAAATTGGAATCTTTTGGACACCCAGACACCCTCCTGGCTAAGAACCTGCTTCACAATTGTATTTACAATTACAATTGTGTAGATTAGTATTCGCAATGATGATGATAGCAATGCTGACAAATATAAAACTTTGATTTTAATAGTTAACAAGGTTGGTACCTTGATCATATTTTCTTTAGCATATTAGCTACTACAATCACATGCATGCTGGAATAAGGACTGGGTCAGAAATTGTTTCTTTGCCTGCTTTATATGTTGTTTTGTAGGTAATATTTTTACGAACATGTACGATTTTCTGTATATTTTATTATACACGTAGTCCATAACAGGGACTATTACAAATGCATGTAAATTGAGACAACAATTATGTTTTTTTTTTGTACTCCCCCATTCCCCCTTTTTTCTCTCTGTCGGCATCTTCCTTTCTTGCTCTGTATGTGTGTGTCTCTGTCTGTCTGTCTGTTTGTCTCTTTCTCTTTATCTGTATTTCTCTCTCTTCTTTTGTAGCCACAGAAGCAGATGAGGAGGAGTTAGCCAGGTCTTTCATGACAGTGAAAGCCAAGATGAGAGATCAGGTAAGAGGGAAAGCTTCAAACTACCTTTGCATCAAACATTCAATTTATAACACAGATAATTTTGAGACCACAGATGCAATTAAATGAAAAATGTAAAGTCTGAGTGCATTATGCCAGATTTATGCATTAATTGCTTAACTATAGACATTGTCTATGTTAACTTTGTGGTGAGAGTTACAAGAGAAGTGGAGACGATATATACAATAACAATGGAGTTTATTGAGAAGAAGTTTGGGCGATTTTTTGCTGGGGGGGGGGGGGGTGGAGAAGGAGATGGGATTGATAATGAAGAACAAAGATGTTGATAGTTGTATGCTGATAAGATGGTTATGTGAGATATATTACATTTAGGACACTTTCTAATTTATGCATATATACTACATTTCGGACAATTTCTAATGTTATGCATACTGTATATATTACATTTAGGACACTTTCTAATATTTACATTTACATGAATTGAACAAAACCATCCTGCACTTCTCGCTGATCAACTTGTTGACCCACAATCTGCTAATGTTTATTAAATACAGAAAGGAAACTTAATGGGAAGACCGGACACGCACGGTGGAAACGACTCTACCGATGGTCACCATCCTCAGCAGAGTGATCCTAACTGTCTAAGGGTAGCCTTCAACGTCTCGATCCTAAGGTTTGGGTCCTGGCCTATGCATACCATAGGAACCAGGTTAAAACTGCCTGCCGTATCGATGACACCTGACGGCTTTCATTTTCACTTTCAGCGTAAGTTCACCACCCTCAGACCTGTCAACCAGTACAATTTTTCATCAATAAAAAACAAAAAAATGCATGTTCGCGGTGAGAAATCAAAATCAAAATCAAATCAAAAATAGGATTTTTATTTTTAAAATAGGATTTTGGGGAAAAGAATAGGATTTTTGTTCGGTTGCTGTTGGCAGCTCTGTCAAAGGCATTGATCCGCATATCAGTCCCTGTTTTGTTGTTGTAAAATACAAATTTTGGGATTAAAGAATACAGCTTTTGAATTCCAGAGGTTAGCAGGTCTGCACCCTACTGTTCTCTTCATTTGGTAGAATGCCTAATGATGATAATGATAATGATAATTACATATGAGATTTGTAAGGACCCAAGTTCAATTGAAATCATGTTATTTAAGTCTTGCATACAATGATAGTAATAATTTTCATGAGATGCTGTTCAACATTTTGGGATTAGGGCGAAATAGCCTTCCAAGGGTCTGGAACGGAAAGATAAAGAAGGATAACAAATACTTTATAATTAACCATACATTTTTTTCAGAAGAATTTAAACATGTTGCTTAATAAGTCAATTTCTACTCCAGTGCATTTTATAAAGAAATACGAAAGGGATATTTCCTTTTTTGTTCTCCAAAATATAAGCGATGGGCTTCAAATTGTGTGCTTACTATTATGGTGCAGTTACCAGTAGCATTATGCTCTATTACAAATACTTTCATTTCAGACATCCCCTGGGCTTTGCAGCCTCACAAAGTGTGTTATGGACTCTCAAGAACCTGGAATGTATTAATTTCAGGTTCCTGCAAACCGGAAACTTTCACATACAAAATAACATTCATGAATTTTGCAAGTGTGTATGATTTGCAAAAGTTTCATGCCATGATATATATTTATCATAAATGCCATTAGACACTATATAAATATAGTTTTGCTTATTGTAAATGTTTCCTGACACAAAAATTTCTAGTTGAACAGTAATCAAACAATTTATTTTCCTTTTTTTTCCATAGAATTAACCCACAAATGTGGTAAGATTGAGCTTCTAATTAAGGACATAGAGAAATGTGATCATTATCTCAGTGACAATGGCTACCCAACGTTCTTCATCACGACCACGCCTCGCTTCGCCGGGGAAGTACGATCCTGGCTCGCTATGAACCGCAAGGAAGCGCACTTTGATCCCGGAAGTAAAGGTCAGTGTTTTAGAATCTTGGGATGGAAAATCTTATTGATTATTTATTTTTATGCCTCCACTACAAAGTAGCCGGAGGCATTATTTCTGAAAGTGTTTTCTTCACCAGCTAACGTAATTAGGTGGGCATAGAAACAAAAAATGGTTTAGTTGTTAACAATTCAATTCAAATTAAAATGTTATTGTCCAATTATTGGAAATTTGTTTCGTTTGCATGTCAATACAAAATTTACAGATTATAAACATCAATAAGATTCAAATGGATACAGAATAGTTCATTTGACTTGAACATAGGAGACTGAAATTTGATTCATAATTCAGACTACGTATTTCAATTCAATTTATAATTCAGATTAAACTCGATTCACAATTCAGATTAAATTCAATTCATAATTCAGACCAAATTCAATTCATAATTCAGATCAAATATAATTCATAATTCAGACTGAATTCAATTACTGTAACTGTACCCATAGCTGTATTATAATGTAGAATATATGTAAAGTATTATCTGTATGTATAAAATGCATTTCATAGTTACGTGTTATTACTGCGTCTAATGTAAAGCGCAGTGAATGTATTATTTAATGTGCTATACAAATGTAGCATGTTACTATCGTTTTCTGTATCTTTTTGGCAGAGGAGTATGAGAAAATGGTTGTGATTCGTTCTGCGGATGAGCGTAACCTCCATTCCTACAAGGAGCAAGTCCAAAAGGTGCTGGCTGCCATGGCTGAGAAGAGTAACAACTCGGGTAGTGGTAAGTGTCTTATCTCGTGTCTGAATTCATGGTGTTTCCTCACAGTTTAAAAAGAAACCTTTTTCTTTTGTTGTTGTTCAGTGTGTGTGTGTGTGTGTATTTGCATCTAGTTGGTCTAAAACCAACTATTTTGGGTCATCTTTGAACACTAAAACAAACAGTAGGTTGACTTTTGTAATCTGTGTGGCCATGAATGTGTTTCCCTACTTGTGGATACATCTGTTAAATATCACAAATGAGGTATTACATGATTAGGTAATCGTTATGGAGAGACAAATAAACCAATGCCAAACTTGTGATTTCTGGAAAATGCAAGCATTCAAAGGAAAAAATATTAGTCATCATGTTCTCTACCCTTGTATATTTTGTGTACATATATATATACATATAAAGTGGTAACAAAATGTTATTCCTTCAACTTTTACTGACAATACATAACTTTCTAGCAGTAGTTATACATTATGTGATTTAGTTGCAATTGTTATTGTGGTAGTCTAAGAATTAATCAAGATCAATATCTTCAATTCAATTGCAATTGCAATTTCAATTTATTGATAAATATTGGAAATTTGTTTTGCTCACATTTTTACAAACGTACAAAGAATCAAGATATATTTACATACATAATATATATCATATACTTTGACATAGAAATCCTTCAGAATATTGCTATACAGAAGTTTCTTATGTTATTATAAACAGAAAAATTCTTGAAAATAAAGAAGTGCATAAGAAATAAAGATTTGAATAGTCCTTTCCATCTACTTCCCCGGTAAAAACTTGTCAAACAGCCCAGTCTGAATAGGGAGGGTTAAATGATCATCTGTACCTGTTGGTGATTGATTAAAGGGATCCGGTAACTTTGTCTCAGATTCTGAAACAATATCTTGGATTTAGCTCATGCTGCAATGATAATTATAAACCTTTAGGTCAGTCTGGAACCCTATGACTTTTACAAAACCGGTCACTCAAAGATTTTTACTTTTTTGAGGCACTTCTTGATAATTTTAAAGCACAATTTTTTTAGGGCTTCAATATTACATCATATCAGAGACACTGATAACACGTAGGGCCGTGCATCTCAGATTTAACATTGTTAAACCTTGCCCTTAATCTCCGTTTTCTCTCAGGTTTGAAGTTTGAGCCCATAGACAACACAAGGACCGGCGCCCTTCTTGACTCCTCCACGAGACCAGAAATGAAAGGTGCCGTCTTCATCACCAGGCCAAACAACGGCTCCCACGCCCCCACCACCCTCAATTCCACTGACCGTCCAGTTTCCATTACCATGCAACAGCTCGCCATGCTGAAAAGTGGTCAGGGTGGGGCGGCCTTGACCAGGGACACCAAAACCAGAGCAAGCTTGGATGACCAGTCCGATAAGTGAGTGTTGGACTTCTTGACCGTTAGTGGTATTGACCTGACATTGGATATGTTTTTATTTTGGTACAACAGGCATTTTCCATAGACACCAGCCAGAATGATCACAGACCAGGTATTCAATGGGTCAGTGATATAGGGGGTATTGCACACTAATGTGTTTAACTCTTTTTATGCCACACAAATAATCTCCCTGTGCCATATTGTGTTTGATGGGAAAGATATACCAAAGGGTTCTAGATTATGTAATTGTCTCTAGTGCAAGATTAATCTATGCCGGTGTTATAGGGTCGACATAGAGCTAATCAAGATCAGATTAGGGTAATTTTTTCAAAGCCATTGTGATGCACAAAGCAAGCCATCCGTCAATTGGTGCCTATTGTTTTGTGCAGAATTACACATGTGGCAAATGAGTGAATGTGCAGAGAGGTGAAGAAATCAACTGCGCGTTAAGCTAGGTTATTCAATAAGAGTTTTTAAGGTCAGAGTAAATTCATTTCAAGAAAGTTGGAACACTCTCCTCTTTAACCATGTCATTACCTATGGTATTGTTAAAAATCCTGTATAGACCCTAATGAGTATCTATATACAATCTGTGCAATATGACATTCTTTTATCCATGCTCTTTTCATTGCAGTAAATGATACAATGTTTGTCTCTCCAGTACTTCTAGAGTTGAGTGGAATATCACTGAGACAAGAGAAGACAAGACCCCCTCCCCCTTAAATGAGTTTTTTTTTAAACCTTTAGTACAAATAAAGGGAAACTGTTTATAAAAACCACTTCGCTTTATAGATGTTTTTCTTGTTTCTTTAGTTTCAGCAGTCATGTTTTATACATGAACTGTTCCTCTGTATATTGAAGTGTGGTATTTATAGTTAAATGGCAATATACAGCATTAGTTCATTAGTTTGGAAACTCCACTTTGATGGACTGTATTACTGTTGTTCTTATAATTTTGATAGTGATTTCATTTGGTTCCATCAGAAATCCAGGCAATACCTACCTAATTTGAAATATTTCTGCTTGTTCTTTGTCTTTGCAGTAAATTATTTGTCTACCCGCCACCTCCAAAGTTTGGCGGAATCACGGTGACGACAGAAGACAGAGACTGCCTTGAAGAAGGGGAATTTCTGAATGATGTCATCATTGATTTCTATCTGAAGTAAGTTAAAAAACAAAAACATAACAAAACACAAACAAACATGAAAGTCCCAGGTTCTGTAATTGAGAATTTCAAATTGTGTCCTTGTTGCACTCATCCTGAAAGTTTAATTTGATACTTGTATAGCTTAGAAACAGAATTTCAAGAAATTTTGTCATTTTGTCATTTCCTCTTTTCTGTAATTAATACTGAAAAATACATGTATGAATATAAACTTGTGATTTATATTGTCAAATAAAATTCCCTACTCCTTTCCTTGAAATTAAATGGCACCTCATGTTCTGCAAAGAAGTCTCACATTGTGATTTGATAGTGATTCATTATTTTTTGTTTAAACGCTGTAAGAATTTGAAAAACTGTTCTAAGGGGCAACTAGATTTAGGACCCACTGTCCCGACATTGCAAGAAAGAGAGCAGAAATGTTGTGCCTTGCTTTAATGCACTCGTGTAACTGATTTAATTTTAAATCAATGACAATGATAAATAATAAAAATTGATAAGGTTTACATAGCGCTGGTATACACATACAGTTTCTAAACGCTTTACAAAACAAGAAACATGAAATGAATGCTTAATTTAAACGAAACAAACACATCACACTATTGTTATCAGGTACATTGTCATGGAGAAACTGAGCGACGTTGACCGGGAGAGGACGCACCTGTTCAGTTGCTTCTTCTACAAGCGGTTGCTGCAGAAGGACACGCCAGGCAACATCTCACCGGACCTCAACGGCCTCACCCCTAAGGAGAAGCGACATCAGAAAGTCAGGAAGTGGACTCGTCATGTCGACATCTTTGCCAAAGACTTCATCATAATTCCCATCAATGACTGGTGAGTGTGGAATTAGGATTCATAAGGGACATCTTCATTCTCCATGCTTTTAACAACTTGGAACTTTGTGATATTTACATGATATATGATCACATATATATTGACAAATACACTTTTATACAAATAGATGAATTCAATTAGAATATTGTGACATATGTATGAAGGGAAATAGTTATTGTGTTTTCAGTTTTCATGCAGAGAAACACAGAGAGAGAGAGAGAGAGAGAGAGAAGAAGGGGGGGGGGGTGGTAGTGAGGGGCAGACAGACAGGCAGGCTAACTATTTTGTTTCAGTTTGATTGTTTAACACTAGGAAAGCGACTTTGAGGAAATGTGAACAAGATACTTCAAATTAGATGAATTGAAACCAAGACAAATTTAGTAAGGATAAGCCTGTATCTTTTAATTGTGTTGATGTGCATGTACATGTTCTCTTTTCAATGTAAGTCAATCAAGGTTTCTTGAAAAGTATTGCTGGCAGTCACAGACTGAATTATTCATGTTTTTACAGTGCAAGTAAAACTACAATATATATATATATATATATATATATATATATATATATATATATATACAAATTGCAACAATAAGAAAACATGTAAAACTGAATGTTAAAGATACATACATTTGATTGCATTGATAAAATGGTATTTATAAAGCAATAGAAGACTGTTGTGTAAGTATTATAATTGTATTATTATGTTTTATCTATAAAAGTATTATAATGTGGTTTAATTTGTTCATTTTTTGTGTGTGTGTGATTTTGTAATTTCAGCGCTCATTGGTTTGTTGCAATCATCTGTTTTGCTGGAGAAGTAATCCATATGAAGAAAGGAAGTGGTAAGTCTCCATCGCAATCTCCCAGTCCGTCATCATCAAATCAGCCATCACCAGCATCCGCTGCATCGCCTGCCACGCCTTCTCCTGCCGCTCCCTCCCGAGCCACGCCCTCGCCATCAGACCAGTCAGTCAATCATAGCTCACCGGGCATACAGCCTTCAAAGTCGTCTGACCAACCAGCCAATCACAGGACGCCGGGTGTCCAATTGTCATCATCTTCACCACAACAATCCATCAATCCTCACTTGGAGGCGGAGCTCCCCTCAAAGTCACCTTCAGGACAGACCGCACAGACAATGCATGACAGTAGCGAATCGGCCAATAGAATGGCTGAGGCTGCGCATGTCTGCCAGCAACCAGCCACTCAGGGAAGCGATAGCACAAGGGAGGAAGAGGAGGAGGAGCCAATGGACACTTCAGAGAGTCCTGATGAAAGAGTGGACAAACATGAAAGTGAAAGGACAGCACAAGAGCTGAAAAACACTGAAAACAATCCTTCAAACAATCCACTTAACAAGTCCTTAGGAAACAGTACAGAAACACTTAGTGCTTCAAACAATACAGCAGCTTCAGAAAAGGTAATTAATCATATTTGTTTGAATAAAAGCTGATTGTGAAAGTAACAGTCACATGGCAAACACTTCAATTGATAAAAGACAATTTTCATCTCATGCAAGAAGAGCATTACTTGAAACACAATCCATCCTTTGACATTTTATTTTGTTTCACCATTTCAAAGCATTTATACGGGGCTATGACTAAAAACTTTTACAATTAATTTCTTTCAGATATATATTAGAATTAATTTTTATCTCATAAGAATTATGTTATTTGCATTGCCTTGATGAACTTCCCCTTTATGAAAAACACCCCAAAACGCAGTTCATCATATATTCACAATTTGTAACTAAGAATTCTAACTAAGGGGTCTTTTCATGTCTGCTCACGTCTTTAGTTTACTATTCAGACATATGATTCTATTAATGTTGATACTATAAACATATGCAGGACAAAAAAATGTGGAAATTTAAGATTTAGGGGTAAATCACAGTGGTGTTGTTCAAATTTTCTTCATCACATGAAACAGATAACTTTCGCAAGTGTTGAGTATGAATTCTAATAAAACAGCTTTGCGAAGCTTTAAACTTCCTTGTGAAATGCCCTTTTTTGTAGACTAGAGTGTAATTCCTGTGTCATCATATGTACAACATATTCCCTTTTTTTCTGACTAGGTTATACCAGAAAGTGCAATATCATCAAGCCAAGCTGACCCAAGGTCACTCTCTTCCCCTGCGACCATCCAGTCACACCCTTCCCCTGCAACCGTCCAGTCACACCCTTCCCCTCTGACCGTCCAGTCACCTGCGGTCAATGGCGGGGCATCCGGGGGAAGGCTCCTAGACTTTGATTATCAGCAATATCATGTCGGAGAACACAAGCACTTCAAGCAGTAAGTTATTGCGACTCTGAGCTCTGAGCAGTGAGCTGGAGAACAAAGACACTTTGACTTGGGGATGGGTGGGGGGATGGGTGGGGGGATGGGTTAAATAAAGAATACAAATACATAATGGAACGAAAAAATCCTTATATTTTTACATTTGATAATTAATTCAGATTATAATAAGAAAGGCATTGAAAGAAGAATAAGAATGAGAAAAATAAAAATGGCGTAAATATTCACAACAAAAAGGAAGAAAGAAAGACATTAAAAAAACTTTGGTGATGTGGAAGGAGGGTGGGGGTGTTGTGAATGCATTACAAGATTGGCCTAACAGCTCTCCAACCCCATACCTCCACCTTTTTTTCTTCTTAAGAAAAACCAATCACCTAAAAAAATAATTTGTGTACAGCTAGAATGTGTACAATCAACCTCAAAATACTTCATCCGGCATTCTATGGGGTAACTGATAGGGAGTATGAAGGAAATAAAGAATAACATACAACTGGTTACACCGTGTGGGCCCTCCTTTAAGAAAGCGCTTACAGGTGCATGATGTAGTCTACACACAAGTCACTTTTATGTTTTTTTTTAGAGTGTATTTAAAATTGCAAAACATCATTACAGAATCGATTTTAAAAACTTATAATGTGAATGTAGTATTGAGACATGGAACTACTGACATAACAGAACAAAATATCATTTAATGATTGGTACACTTTAACTATGGGTATTTTGCTTCTATTATAGACCATGCATCCTGGTGTTTGACTCATTAGCCGGTCCACCAAGGAGAAACGTCATCGCCAAGCTGAGAGAGTGAGTACAGTTCTTCATGTTTATTCTAACATATATTGGTGTATGCAAATTATAAATAAACTGCATTCCTGTCTTTTTTCCTCTCTCTTATATTATTGTTGTTTCTAAGATATTTGTCTGTTTGCTGATGTATCTCTTTGCAGATGCATCTCTTTGTATATGCATCTCTTTGCATATTAGTCAAATTTATTAGCTTCTGCCGCTCTTGTGACATCTTAATTTCATTCCCCCAACTCAACTCGAAGATAAGATTGATGGGCTAGAATACAATAAAACTATCAGAATAACTTAAGTTATTTCCTTGGGTGAGGTTTTCTCTAATATTATAAGGCTGTATGCAGTTTCAAAACTGAGTAGCTACTGAGTCAATGGAGAGCAAATTGTGAAATTGCTTATAATATCAATGTATGTATGAGAGTATTTCTTGAGAGCCCTGTCTTATGATAATAAAGAGTTGATATTAATCATAACTTATTTGCAATTCATACATGTATCAATCGGAACTATGTAAATAAGAGATAGGAGAATGCAAACTTGCGATTGATTAAAGGACTTGCGATTGATTTGGATCACTCGTAACTCTTTATCAGATGGGGCCCTGATGAAAACGAAAAGAATACATTTTTAATTATTTTCTTTTGATACAGCTACTTGACGATAGAGTGGGAGAAGAGGAAAGAAGGGAAATGTGAGTTCACTACTGCCAACATGAAAGGCATGAATCCGAAGATACCTCAACAAAACAACTTCAGTGACTGTGGGCTTTACGTCTGCCAATATGTAGAAACATTCTTTGAGGTAAGAATGAAGATTGCTATAATTATAATAATACATTTAAAGAGCGCAAAAACTATCCAACATTAAGTACATACTGCACTACAAGAGCTCCTGGTGCGGTATTCTGAACCCTGTGTTATCTCTAATATTGTTGTATCTTTGAAGATAAGATAAAGTTGGTATTCTGAACACTGTTGTAACTTTTGTGTTATCTTTTGTTGTATCTTTTCTCTCATCTCATTGGCCGCGCCTGTGCTCATAGTTTGGTGCGCTTGTAATTGTGCATATTATTAATAAAGTGGCGTTTAATCCTCATTTGCATATGCGCACGAGAGATAATATGTCGAGATAATTGGTATTCTGAAAGTTGTTGTATCTTTTATCTTATCTTATCTAGCATGGTATTTACAACAGGTAGGGGATTGTTGTGTCTTTCGTTGTGATATAATGGCGGCAATATTTCTTGCCCAGAACCAACTTCGTGCCAATAGACGAGTTAGAAGAAGATTGTGTGTTGACCGGAAACATCACAGATGAGAAGTTTCTAAGAAATTACATGCTAGGATATGACGATTTTAATGCTCTCACCTTAACCAATATGGTGAAAGCGTGATTTGTCTTCATGATCCACATTCAACAGCGCATAATGATGACTCGCGTAATAAGCGCTCAAATTACTAATTACGCTCAAGATTAGTATGCGCTAGGCGCATCTTTAGATATGGCCTAAATTATTCCTATTGGTTGACCTACTTATAATGCTTATATAAAACAGATTTTGATTTGTAGGGTCCATACAAATGGGCGTGTCAATAGTGGTCAAAGATAGGATAGAGGCGGTCCTTCGAGAGATAACACGGGGATAAAATGATGTTCAGAATACCAACTTACAACAATGTTAGCGCTGTGTTATCTCTGGAAGATACAACAAAAGATAACACAAAACCTACAACAATGTTCAGAATACCACCCCTGATATGCTTAGATGAATTAAATGATATATCTTGATAACATTAAATAACATTAAATTGCATTAGCATTAAATTGCTTGAAAAAATTGATTCCCTGTAGATCATTGAAAGTTGTCTCTTCATGATAATCTTGAGAAGATTTCTTGATTAGCTCATTCAGTATTTTCAGTTTGTAATACACATTTTGAAACGTATATTTCATTATCTTATCATGTCCTAGTGAGCATGTCCAATTTTGCATTGTAACAATATCATGAAACATCATTAATGATATGTTCTAACACTGTAGTGCATCCCTTCCTTAAAATGCTGTGAGCGTCGAAATCGGCAGCCTAGCTAAGCTGGGTAATGTTGGAGCGCCTTGAGGACCTTGCAAGGTCGATACGTGCGCTATATAAGAATCCAATATTATTATTATTATCACAGAAGCCTATAAGGAACTACCACTCACCGATGAGAGGGCTACAGAGCTGGTTCCGGGCGGAAGTTGTCGCCAAGAAGCGTCAGGAGACCCGTGACGCCATCCAGCAGCTGCATGAGGCTTACAAAGCCCGGAGGTGACATGACTCCAATGTTTCCTTGGCCTTTCGGGAACCAGGGAAAGTCGCCCCTACATTACCAAAAAATGGGGAACAAAACCATTCGTAACAAAGCTGTCAGGCTTTTGTTCATTGTTGAACACCTGTTACGCCATCCAGGAGCTTCATGATGCATACAAGCAAGGAGTGAGACATGACTCTCAGATACACGTCCTTTCAGGAACGAGAGAGAGTCGCCCCTTCATTACCAAGAACCACTGGAAGTAACCCCTTGACGACCCCTTGAGAAATAGCGAAACAAACCCCGTCAAAACCAAGAACCAGGTAAAGTAACCCCTCGAGAACTGGAGAACACCTAGAGAACCAAAGATATTTTCCTTTTGCAATATTTCTGCTTTGGGTACTGATAGAGATTCAGTGAATGTGTTCTATACTATTTGTTTTCTATGCGCAACTAGAGAGGTTTTGTCCGATGAACACAATTGGATAATCTGAGTTCCAATTGTCAGATGGAAATCATTATAGGCTGATAGAATGTTGCATAACGTATTGAAGCTAAAACCTAAACACTTTGCGTTGGGGTTAGAATAATTTTTAGCCCTTTGCTCAATTGACCTGTAAATCTGACCACCCCTCCTTCATATTTGACCCAATGTTGACCCATTGCCTATAGTATAGTATATCAAGCCACAGTGTGAAAAGAAAAATCATTTGAGAAAAAGATGGAAAATGTAAGTAAGGTTGAATACTATTACATTTCACATGATCTCTGATTTCCAATGTTGACCGGGACTGGTTTGCTAAGTCCATAAAAAATCATTGTACTCAGTGACTCTGATTTGTATCATTTGCATTTCCTGATATTGATTAAAGGTACTTTGTAACATTTTAAAATGTATGGTTATGAATTTATTTGAATTGTAGATTTCTGGGCTTACAGGTAAGAACCAAAATAGTTAAGAGACAATTGATCCACACTTAGCTTAGCATCATAAAAACCTGTGTTCATTTTCATGTTCATTATGACATATAATTACGATGACTTTCATGCAGTATACAGTATAAATACAAACTGAATCATACCTTTTTAATATTCCAAAATCGAATAATTAGGAAAAGTGTGCTTCAAGTTACAATCTTTTTGTTCCTCTCTCTCTTAGAGGTCTATTGAGATGGGAAACACTTGATTTGTGTTCCATAAAGACTCCAGATTCACAATCATATATGTTCATATGGTCTGATTTTTTCTTTTATTCACACTAGTGAGAATAAGAGGTCTTTTTTTTTCAAATAGAAAAGCTACTAGTGATGCTTAGAGATGTGCAGTATTAGCTACATGTACAGTACGTCCAGCATGCATATATCATTTACAGGGTTAACATATGAAGGCTACGGGTAGAGAATTTCGTGAAAGTATAGGGAATCTACGGGTGCTCTTTCAAGGCCCAAAATGTTGATGAAAAGATGAGCATTGCCTTGTTAAGTTGAGGAATCACAAGTGTGGATAGTACAGTGGAGACTTGTTATAAAGAGCTCAAGATAACTGATAAAACAAGGTATTTTTAATGGTCTTGATGTCCTTGTTATAATGAGTTTCCATTGTAATAGGTTGCTGATGGAGTTCAGTGAGGGTCAGGAGGTCATTGAAGGTCATGGAAAGGTCATAAGAATCATCGCAATGTATTCCTTAATTGCTGAATTTAGTGTTTGTTGTGATTAAGTTTTATAAACCACATATAGGTGTAATAATTATTAAAAAAGGAATATTTCTTAAAAATTAATTTGATGAGTTATAATATATTGAGATTACTTGGATGTTCCCCTTGTAACATGGCATCGATGTCATTCTATTAAGACAAATGTATTCAGATGTTAAAATTCCTTGAATTTGTTGCGTTCTACCTTTATGAGGAAAAGTACATGTAAACATGATAATCTTAATTTTGATGGGATGGAGTTTGGTGGTGAGCAGAGCAGCCTAATTTCTTATTAATTTTTTGATATTGAATCTAGAGTGTCTCCATGCAATGAAGTTCATTACTAACAAACTTTTTTTTTTTCTTTGTTTTGTCAAAATCTAGGTTTCTACTTCTTTAGAAATCCATTTGTAGCTTTGAATACACACATACCATGCATTTTTATTTTGGCACATACGTTGAACAATAGACATCAGTAAAAACCTTGTTTAGGAAACAGATGATTTCCTTTGTTTCAAGCACTAAATATTAGATATATTACATTTATTCTGTTCAAATTAAAGTATTTAATTGCGATTCAATTTCAACTACAGGTATACCTGAGACATTATTTTATTTTACATGAAACACATGTACAAATGTAAAGATTATTTATTGAAGTATTAGGCAGGGTTCCCTGTTTGTAAACCAGCATGGTTGCCCAGTTTGCAGAGGAGGAACATATATATATATATATATATATATATATATATATATGCAAAATTAATTCCCAAAGTTTATTGGAGGAATTCTTAATATGGTAAAAGCATACCATGTACTTTTCTCTTTTGCTAGGCTGAATGATTATGCCATCGTCATTTGAAAATTCAAACAGTGCTATGGTGGCCCAAACAAATACGAAGGAGCTATCTCTATTTTGGCACAGTCAAAATGACTATAGGCAAATTTATATTTACATCTTAATAATTTTGCTAAAATTACCTTTTGGACTATTGATGGCACACCAAGTGTAATTTTTGCAAATTAATGTATGATGGAAGTTAAAAAAAGGGGGAAATGAAGGTCAGCACATAATGTACTGGTACCGTTGTTTTTTAATGATTTGCTGAGGTATATGTTATCTTTCTCATAATGTCCTTGTTTGTGTATTTAAGTTTGTATGCCCTCTTTACCCGTATGTCACTTGAAAACTTGGATAAGTCTTGGAATACTCAGTATTGTCCCAAACTTTAGAACTAGTCACATGTGTAGTAGTAGAATATTGCTGAAATTGTGAATAATCTACATGTGTATGATTTTAATATTTTAGTTCATCTTTCAAATTTTTCTTAACAAATAAACTGAAAGTGCACATTATGTTATTAAGAAATGATAGACAAATTGCACATGTGTATATTTATTTTTCAAAAATTCTTCTTCTATGTGTAAGAATTATCACACAAGATATTGATATTTATATTTATAGTGAATATTTCATTATTTCAGGCCTGATAAAAACCCGATTTAAATCGGTTTCCCGATTTTTTTTATTTTTCCCGATTTTTTCCCGATTTTTTTTTTCTTCCCGATTAAAAAAAAAAAAAAAAAAAAAAAAATCCAGATTTTTTTTTTTTTTTTTTTTTTTTTTTTATACCAATTTTTTTTTTCTTCCCTTTTTTATCCTGATTTTCCCGATCTCCCTCTTATTTTCTCTATTCTTCACTATTTTGCCCTATTTTTTCCCAATTTTCTTACTCGAAAGGGGGGAATGTTGTTAGATAGCATTTTTTCCCCGCGAATCCTCTTTTTTTTTTTTTTTTTACTCAAGGGGGGCGTGGTTGAGGCGAAAAGAAAAAACCTATTTTTTTTTTAGTGCTCACTATCACCCCTGTTATTTAAAGGCTCAAAGCAAATTCAAATGGATTAGAAATGTTACAATCCTTTCAAAAGAGTTGGAACATCCTCCCATGTGTCAGAGAGCATATTAATGACCTTTTTTTTGGGGGGGGGGGGGGAGTGTTTGAAACGACCACTATTGAAAATATATGCAATTATTTACGATTTAAATCAGTACCTTTTTGCAAACATGTATGGCAAAGAGCAAGTGGTAGTGTTGCAGCTGTGCATTTTGCAAGGAAAAGTAGATTGTCAGATAAATTTCTTTATATGATACTTTTGAGAGATGATTACTGCCAAAAGCACCTTCATGCAGTTTAAATACTATATTGGAAAATGCAGTATACATGAATGTTAAAAAGAAAGTTTTATCAAAAGTTCGGAATCAAGTTTATTGTATGGACACAATATGGCGACTACTGCTTTGTTGAATTGGGCAAGCACAAAACAAGAATTACAACATGTTGTGACCCAGTGAAACCAAGTTGGCCAAACTCTGTATATAGATGGCTCCGACATACCTCATTGAAGAGCTGTTTATCAAGGAACATCTATAATTGAGCTCCTGGATATGTGACTTCCCTCATTGAGCGGTGCCCTCTTTGTCTTGGCTTGTGGTCATCAGGTCTCGCTCTCTCACCCTAACACATCTCACAGGATATGGAGACTTTGCCTTCTCATCTGTTACACTTCGTTTTGTGGAACTCATTCCCTACCTCTCTTAGTGAGAATGACAGTCGAGAACACTTCAAATTATGCCTCAAAATGAACTTATTTGTGTAATTGTGAAATGGAAATTACTGACTTCCTTTAAGGTACCTGCACCTTCATTTTTTGTTTAATAAACAGAAATACATGTAAGCTCCCTATTAATGCTGTGAATCATCATCATCACTATCATCATCACAATTGCTCCAAGAGTAAAAATGTAGAGCAGGCTAATTTCTTGTTTTTGTTAAAAAGTTTCCCAAGTTATTATTGTGAAAGAATGTTGATCCTTAATGTAAGTTAAATTTACATTGTGTAATTATTCTAGGCAAATATGTGCCATCTTATAAGTAACTTGTTTCTTCCTCATTCCCAGGTTTCTAAGAAATATGTTCAAACAATCACAGATAGCATACTCAGTGTATATGATCACCTCTCCAACTATTTGCCAATTCTGCCTCATATACTATGACAATCTAATCATTTAGTATTAAAGATGATTTTGTATCACTTGTACATGTAGATCCAAAATGAAATTGGCTAGCCCAATTCAGTTATTTATTTAACTCCAAAGGCTCGTTCAGATATGACTCCCCAAAACCACAGCGTTTTTTTCCTCCATGATAACGTTGAGTTGAGTGTAATGCGCTTCCTATTCCTGAACCTTATATCACAAAGCTTGGTGAATACACGCAAAGTCCTTTTGTTGCAGCAGTTACCCTTCTAGCTCAGTCGGTAGAGCAGTGGTCTCGGAATCCGGTGACCCAGGTTCGAAACCAAGATGATGCACTAGTGCCCTTTGGTAAGGCATTAATCCTCATTACCAGGTCCCTCGGAGAGGACCTAAAGCAGTGGGCCCTCTGGTTGCTTACTTACAAGCATTTATGCTTTCTTAGCAGTCGGGTAAAATAACCACCACCATTCATTCATTCCTTCATTCCTTTACATGTAAAAAAAAAACCAAGGAAGGACAGCATTTTTCCAGTGGTTTTCCTTGCCATATCTGAACAAGCCTTAAGGGTACGTTCTGTCAATCTACGGGCAAACGCACAAGGAACGTTGTGTTTGGGGTGAGTGAGGAAGTGTATTGAATCAGATACTTTGTGAAGTTGAGATTGTATGTGATGTTATTGTATTTGTATATATTCTACATATTGTAAAATAAAACACTTCAGAGAAGATTACACACAAAAATGAGACGAAGCAGAAAATGCAATAAAGACAAGTTTTTGGAAAGAATAGTAAAGGACTGTACTTGTGTTATTCATGTTCACTTTGTTTTTATTAGGCCTACTTGCATTAAAAAAGTAAATTATATAACATTACATACCATGCTTTCTGCAAGAGGGCTTTACTAACGTTCTGTTATTACCCAGAATTTGTTTCCTGCATAACTCTTGTTCTGGATCTTTCATTTGTACTCGATTTACTATACTAGTGCAGCTTTCTCATGCCATGCTTTGTACTCACTGCCCCCCCCCCCCCCCCCCTCTTTCTAATCTTGCCGTATCTACCCTTTATGGCCTACATTTATCAGGCCTGATAAAAACCAGATTTAAATCGGTTTTCCGATTTTTTTTTAATTTTTCCCCGATTTTTTCCTGATTTTTTTCTTCTTCCCGATTAAAAAAAAAAATAATAATAATTTTGCCCTGTTTAGCCTCCTATTTTCTTAATCGAAAGGGGGGAATGTTGTTAGATGCCATTTTTTCCCGCGAATCCTCTTCTTCTTTTTTTTACTCGAGGGGGGCGTGGTTGAGGGGAAAACAAAAAACCTATTTTTTTTTTAGTGCTCACTATCACCCCTGATTTATAAGTTTTAATTTTAAAGTCTCATGGTATAGTGTAAATTCTTTAATTCAGAGTACTACCTCTTTTTACATGTACATATCCTTGTGTGCAATGAACATTATTCAAGATATGCTTCTATACACTTACACATATTTCAACCATGGTGAACACTGGTTGGAATTTAAAATCTGGCATGTACATGTGTATGTATGTTTATATGTGTGTTTGTAATTTCCTAGTCTTGGACATTTTTTGTTGTCAATCTATGCATCTCTCTTCTCCCTCCAGTTTTGATCTTTACATCCTCTTTTCATGTCTGCATGTACTGTATTCACGATCTCTCTTCTGGGCGATTCCATGCAATTTGTCCCATACAAGTTTTTTTCCACTTGAAGTATGTGATCCAAATGAAAATTATCTTGCTATATGACCAATAATAATGTTAGTGATGAAGAGATTATTATTATTTTTTAAATTAAAAGCTGGATAACTGTCATATGATGTAGGGGGACACATTGCATTGAATTGCCCTTCCTCCAATCTCCTCTTGTGTTTGCTTTTTCTCTCTCTCTCTTGGACCTTTTCATTTTTAATCTCTGAAGAAAAAAATCCCCCTTGTTCGTTTTGTATTTTTCTAAAGTTTTCTCTTGCATTGCTCTCATTTTTCTGTTTCCACTCTAGTCAAATCTATATGAAGGTTGAATTCCACATTTTGACAACTTGCGATATGTGTTAAGGGCATAAATAAAGATCCAACAAAATATGTAGCACTTATATCCTTCAACTATTTTTTATTAAGACCAGAACAACACTGGTTTTTCTCTTCACCTGTATTGAGAAGTAACACGGCAAGCACATGCAAAACTAGCAAAAGACC